GTAATACTGTCAAAACCTAGAACAGTCAAATACAAGCAAGCCAAGCCGACTCCTGCGAAGGCAACACGCTGTTGAAAAAAAATTTTTATGCCGAGAACAAGGACACGAACTCGAGAGCGGAGCTTTTTTACAAGAACAGCGCAATTCTTGAAAAAAGTATGCGAATTTTTAAAATCACGCACCAGGCCAGTTCTATCCTTAGTGTCTTCGACAGAGAGATCTATATTGTCAAGATCAGGATTAGAAACATTAACGTCATCATTAAGTCGATTAGCGTCAATTACTTTGTTTGCAAGAGCAGGACAGGAGTAGTAAACTGATGTTATCATGGTGTATTCAACAAATGCGGATAGTACATTCCAACTAGCAATAAAAAGCACTCCTACGAAATCGGATCCAAAGCTTAAAACCAAGCCAGTTAAAACAGGTGCCAGAATATTACACGTTAAATCAATGCGTCGCAATGTGGAATTTGTACCTGTAAAAAATGATGGACGAAATTTTAATGCTGCTCAATCATAAAATGTAGCTATTTCAAACACATGAAAATCTTCAAAATAACAAAACGTAAGTTCTTCCTTAGATTATTAAGGCAACTTCAATCTTAACAATATCCCACAAAATGTGTAATAGACACAGTCAATTAAAATCCCATTCATAAAAAAGTAACTTAAACTAGGTAATATACAAAATCAAAATATATATATGTATATAAAAAAGTTTTATTCATGTTCATCACACCTCACTGTAATCTACGTAACACTCATAATTACACTTCTAATATGTAAATATAAACGCACACTTATTATACAGAATACTTTAAACAAATAGCTTTGTATTAAAGCTATTACATTTTACCTGCAAGCATAGATTTATTTTCTTTAGCAATCACAACAACCCAGTCTCTCTCAATAGCAATTGTAGTTCCAAGGCTTGAAAGTCTAGCAATAATTGCTAGTAGCACCAAAACAACAGCCAAAATGAGAAAGATAGGACTGCTTTTATTTTGATGAAACATGACCAATACAACAACAGCACAAGCTACCACTGAACTATTTTGAATTATTATTGTCAAACGGGCAGCTATAAATTAGGATAAGATAAAACAGTTTGCACTATTCATGAGTTGACAATCACGCCATAATTTGTCATATTTGCTTTGATTTATCAAAATTCATACACAGAAAATAATGATGAATGTAGAATGATAATATATTAATGCATTATTTCATTGATAACATTATTCATCAAATTTCCCTGTACTTTCCGTCAATCTTAATGGATATACTTATTGTTAATGTACTATAATGCTAAATCACATTTTGGCTTACCTTTCAGTCTTGGTGTCATATCGATCCAGTTTCCTACAAGTGTCCCAAAGGCAACAACAAACAATGACACAGCTAAACCATATAGCGCAGTAAAACGAAATGAGCCTGGTGTCAGTTTAATTAAAAATATTGAAATAGCATACATCCACATTCGATCACCCTAAAAATTGAAAGGCATTCAACATCTTAGCATCACAATTAATATAATTTCGTAGATTTCATTGCACATGTCTGTGACACAACTTTTTTCTGAATTTTCAAAAATGATCAAAACAATATCCAAAGGCACCAGCAAGGATAATTTAGTTGGGTGGGGGGGCAACCCCCATGTAAAAATGGCTTTTAAATATAAATTTAATTGTTTTCAGTTGCGCACATGCAAAGCCAAAATCATTGTGCGAATTAACAGTGTGCAATGTGCAATTTGCACATTGTTGTAGCTAAAATGAAAACAATTGCACATCACTTTTTCAAACGATATGCAAAAACTTCTTTATTGATTATTACTAACTACCACATAAATTGAAAAAAGTTTAATCTTTACTGATCTTTACTTTATGAACGAGTGCGCATCATGACATTAAAATCTTAGGCCATGTTGACACAAAGTCATTAAATTTTAAAGATGTTGTCACTTTGAGACTGGGAAGTCTGTCAACAGTCAACATACATGGTGCTTATATGCTTATGACAATAGGGGTGTAATACATTATTAATGTCAATTTTTGCATTTGGGTTGTTTTGTAAACCGTTACGTACTGTTTTTGGCATCATAGCTATTTTGAGTATTTTCAGTAAAATCAGAAAACATTTTGATTTTGATTCTTAAATGAAGGCAAAAAAAAACTTAAATAAGCCAAATTTGAAAAATAAACCAAATGGAATTTTGATTTTAAATAAGCCTAACGTGAGAAAAAGAAGCCAAGTTTGGCTCAAAATATCAAGCCAAACTGGCAACCATGATCAGCCATACTTTTTGCTTTTACATTTGCTTGTAATATGACATAAATATGATGTTTTTTATTGTAAGTAAACATCAAGGATGTTACTGTTAATAATCAGAAAACAAAAGTATATTCGGTTATTCTCTTTTCACTTTTGTCTTTCTTGCCATTTTCGTCGAAAGGTTGTAGCTACCAGCAAAGTTAATACAGTAAAAAAATGGATGGAAAGATCAAATGCTGACTCGTTTGATTACTAGGATGATGGCCAAGTGATGAATTTATTGCGCTGTAAAGTTTGCACAAAAAAGAGGAGAGAATAACACGCGCAAAAAATTTCTCTCATACATTTGTGACTGGATAAGCGGTTGTAACGAAAAACACTGTCGTAAATCATATGAATTTGTTCACGTCTAAAAACATTAATTTAGCAAATAGCGCTATATAATAATTAACGTAATATCGATTTGATTATGCCTCTAAAGAAACACTTTTGTCAAAAAAAATGCACATCGTTTTCTCTGAACTAATTCGCACACTGCATGAACATTGCCCCTTCACTCGACTGAATTTAGCCAGAGCAGTGGCACAGCATGCTGCCTGCCCCCACACATTTGTTCACATCTGAATATTCTCTCACTGAAAAAACAATAAATTTCTAAAGAGATGAAAAGTGCTAATGATGAAAAAATTTACAAAGCACTAATTTATGGGTGGCTGACAATGCCACTGGAGGGGAACATGAGAAGTCAAATTGAAAAAATGTAATGCATATACACAAACTAGTGGTCTAACTGTCTTTTATAAATAAAATGTCAGTTTGTGGAACTGCTAATAACTAGACAATGCACTCTGAAATGTCAGACTGATTCATTATACGCAATTTAATTTAAATTGCCAAAGTAATTACGAAGCTGTTTTGACACCATATATAAACACAAAAAAAGATTTTCTTTATACTCTACCCAAGCTGATAAAGCATGACTGATGCAGATTAAAACAGTTGGTGAGAATCCACAGCGAGCAATTATGTTTGCTTTCTTTGGCATGGTAGAGGCTGTAAAGAAATATTTAAAACACACAGAATTATATGAATGCCAAATCATGTCAATAAAAATTAATGCAACAAGAAAGCCCAAATCCATCTTTAACTGCAGATTTAAAATGATCAATGACATTTAAATACAATGATAAATACCATCATGTAAAGTGGAGTCGGCATCTTGTTGTGATGCGATGTCTCTCAACGAAAATTCATTAGTCGTTGAGTTATCACCAGAACCACTTTTCTGATCTTCCTCTTCAACTTTAAGCAACGGCTCGTTCATGGTTAATTCTTATGTAAAACGCAATAATACAAACTTCTCGCAATGAAATGCGAATACAGAAAACTACTGTGACATTGGCACCCCATCGGGTACCACAATCAACTAAAATTTATCATTCAAAATGATAAATTGAAAAATCGTCTTTAAAACACGTTTTCTATCAAATACAACAGAAAAAACAATTCTTAGCTATTTATTAATATTTTACTGTCCTTAAACATCACAAAAAAAGTATAAAAGTCAAGAAATTGAAGAAAACACTTAGCTTTATGTTACAGTGTACTTTTCATTTCTCTTATTTAGCGTATAATTTATAAACTACATGGTAGAATTTTTTTAACCTTTTCCATATTGTAGATATTTATATTGTCTAAAATATATCCAAAATCTGGAGAGTGCACAAAAAAATAAGTTGTAGAAAATCATCGACAAAATTAGGTGACACGAATGCGCGTAATATAATCTTGTATAATTAACTTCCGATATCCATGTAATTTTGCAAACAAAGGCCTATAAATAAAAAACAACATGGTAGAATTTTTTTAAGCTTGGCCATATTCTAGATATTTACATTGTTTAAAACATATAGAAAATCTAGAGAGTGCACAAAAAAATAAGTTGTAGACAATCATCGACAAAATCGGTGAACACGAATGCGCGTAATAATCTTACATAATTAAGATAATCTTACATAATTAAGTTAAGAATTCCGGTTCTTTACTAAACTTTATATTTTTGTGCCATCTCCAGATTTTGGATATGTTATAAACAATAAAAATATCTACAATATGGCCATGTTTAAAAAATTCTACAGTGTAGTTTTATTATTTATGGGCCTTCGTTTGCAAAAATACATGGATGTAGCAGACCTCTCAAGTCTCACGATTTTGTCGTGAGGCTCACGGTTTTCAGTTCAATCTCACGGTCTCACGACAAGACAGAAAAATCTCACGATAAATAGTGGCGCAAGCTGACAGAACAAATTTTTTGTTGTATTATTTCATTTTTGGCGTTTCTTGCGCCAATTCTGTGCTAATCCGTAGTTAAATTTAACAAACCGTTACCCAGCTATTTAGTTCATGACGGACTATCGACTATGGCAGGGGTCTCCAAACTACGGCCCGCGGGCCAGATGCGGCCCGTTGGGACTCTCAATCCGGCCCGCAGAGACACTTAAGAAGCCAATTTCACCACTCACATTGAGAAAACTGAACAGACTTATTGTGATTTTGCTATGATATTACTCTTGGTTGAAATTTAACCTTTAAATTTTGAGCTACTGAGCAATTTCCCATTTTGCGTTTCAGAATTCCTCTCTACAGCATGACTAGGCTGCACCAATGAATTGTAAATTAACTTAGATAGACAGCTACTTTTTTCAAGAAAGCAGCTCAATAATGTATCATTCAAAATATATTTGCTAAAATTGATTGATGATGTACTAGAACGATTACGTTTACACTTAGAATCATTCAGTCATGATTTGTAGATATATTTGCCAATATTATAAATTATATTAAGTAAAGTACGAGTTCCAACTTTGTATGTTAAGCTATCAACAAAGAAGTATTAGTCTATTTTTATGTTAGATAGACGATAATTTTATCTTTTGGGCACCTTTAAAAACAACTACAAAGTGACAACAGTTTTCACTAGGATTGTAGAGAATAATTATCGTTCTCTAAATTCAGAATTTCACTCGGGGCACTTGAAGTCGAATTTCGTCTACTTTCATCTCTTAATCTTTGCGAAGCACCTTCGATTGAGTTGTTACTTGAACTCTGACGGATAAGACTTAATTCACTTCGGTGATTCCACGCAAAGAGACAATAAAACATTAAGCCAAGCGTCACCATTGCAACAGATATTAGAATCAATACGCTAAATTGTTCTGGCTTTGGTGCAACTATAACCATGACAAAATGTGCAACATCCATAATGCTATTGAAAGAGTTTTGAACACCACTTACAATACCTCGTTCGCTTTCATGTACGTTTTCTTGAAAAAGTTGAGTAATCGTCAAGTCTGTCATCCATAATCCTATTCTCGACATCACTATCCCACCCATTAAGAAGACAAGAGAAATTAGCGAGTTCTGTTCATTGTTTACCGTTTTTGTAGAATTTTTTGAAGTAATGTTTCCACACCCAGGAACATTAGTCTTTGTAATTGAAACAAAGGATGAAAAAGTTCGTGTAGGTTTAATCTGCGAAATTGTCGACAGTGCTTTATTTGGCAATAATGACATGTTAATTAACGCAGATGAAGGCAAGGGGAAATCTGAGGCCAAGCTTGTAGTTGGAGTTGAATGCATATTTATACGTACAGTAGGTGAATTTGAAACATTCAAACACCTCTCTCCTTGTATCTTTTCATGTCTATTTGAATGATGATGATAGTGAGGGTCAAGTAAGTGTCCAGAATGTCCTGGTGCCCAGATAGATGCAACACAAAACATCAAAAAGAATAGTTGAATCGAGTTCGAGATGAGTCCTGTCTTATCAAGGCCAAATATTTTTCGAAAAATTGGAAACAAGAAAGTACCAAAAATTCCAGTGAGAGCGCCAGCGGCAGTCAGTAATCCAAGGGTAAGGGGGCTCACATGCTGTGAGTACGCATAAGCAGTAGTAATACTGTCAAAACCTAGAACAGTCAAATACAAGCAAGCCAAGCCGACTCCTGCGAAGGCAACACGCTGTTGAAAAAAAATTTTTATGCCGAGAACAAGAACACGAACTCGAGAGAGGAACTTTTCAACAACACCGCAATTCTTGAAAAAACTAAGCGAATTTTTAAAATTACGCACCAGGACAGTTCCATCCTTAGTGTCTTCGACAGAGAGATCTATATTGTCAAGATCAGGATTAGAAACATTAACGTCATCATTAAGTCGATTAGCGTCAATTAATTTGTTTGCAAGAGCAGGACAGGAGTAGTAAACTGATGTTAACATGGTGTATTCAACAAATGCTGATAGTACATTCCAACTAGCAATAAAAAGCACTCCTAAGAAATTGGATCCAAAGCTTAAAACCAAGCCGGTTAAAACAGGTGCCAGAATATTACACGTCAAATCAATGCGTCGCAATGTGGAATTTGTACCTGTAAAAAATGATGGAGGAAATTTTAATGCCGTCCAATCATAAAATGTAGCTATTTCTAACACATGAAAATCTTCAAAATAACAAAACTTAAGTAGTTTTTCCTTGGATTATTCAGGCAACTTCAATCTTAACAATATCCCACGAAATGTGTAATAGACACAGTCAATTAAAATCCCATTCATAAAAAAGTAACTTAAACTAGGTAATATAGAAAATCAATATATATATATATATATATATATATGGGATTTTGTGATAGAAACTATCGCAAACAAAATCGCACGGATAGAGTGCTCAATGCCACATATATTATATTATTATATTATTATTATTATTATTATATTATTATATTATTATTATTATATTATTATTATTATATTATTATATTATTATTATATTATTATTATATTATTATTATTATTATTATTATATTATTATTTATATTATTTTCAATTATATATATATATATATTGATAAGAAGAAAATACACAAAAACTACAATTTCATCCCGACAAGCCTGTTTCGTGATTTCTCACTCTTCAGGGGATAATATTAAATGAATACAAAAGCATATGCTAGATTATATATACAAGAGGAAGTTAGGGTAAAAAATTAAGATAGAATTACATAATATGTTGAGTGTATGGTTACAAATTGGATTAAAGTGCCTTGTGTCTATGGCGACAAGAGGAGATAAGTTCGTTACGTTTGTTGAGTGATGATAGTTGTGGTTGGTAGGTGATAAAGAATTTTTCTTTCAGGCATAGGTTGCATCTTTTGTTGGCGCTGTTGTACGGTTTGCTGTGAGTGATGATGTTCCATGAGATATCGTGAGCGATGTTGTTGTCTCTTAGTGTCCATATGTGTTTGCTGAGTTCGGTGGAGTTTCTTAGTTTTTTGTGGCGGAAAGAGGCAGTGTGGTTCCTGTGTCGAGTCTTAAATTCGTTTTCTGTAAGTCCGATGTATGTCTCAGTTGTGTTAGTGTCCAAACGTTTAACAGTTGCTTGGTAGATGACAGATGATTGTAGGCAGTTTCCGTTAAGTGGGCAGTTTTGTTTTTGTCGGCAGTTGCATGTTTTAGTTTGTGTATTTTTGTCATTGATGGTGTCATTAGTATTGTCAGGTTCTCTCAATATGCGTTTGTTATGGTTATTAATAATATGTTCCATATTGTTCATGCAGCTGTAACTTAATTTAATTGTGTTGCGGTTAAATAGTTTTCTGAGTTTGTGGTCTATGGGAAAGTGCTTGTCAATTAGTGAAATGAATTTGTAGCCGATGTTTGTGATGACGTTCTTGCTGTATGGTGGGTTGTACCAGAGTATGTTATTTCTAAGTCTGTTTTTCCGTTTCGTAGTAGCGTTCGGGTCATATTTCAGTGTGTAATGATATCCATTTTCGTCAAGTGCTTTTTGGTATGGAGGAATTGCTTGGTCGAATGATGCTCCGTCGGATGATAAGGATGAAAGGCGTTTGTTAATGGTATCGGGTATGTTCTTTGTAATGCTAATGTTTGCAAAGAGGTGTTGGGCTTAAGTGTAAGGTCGATGGGAAGAATTCTTTAGATTGAACGTGATGTCGAGGAAGTTAATAACTTTTTTGTTAGCTTCGATAGTGATACGCAATCCGTTGTTGTTAAATACGCGGCATGTCTCTTTTTTAATTTTTTCTGTTTCTTTAGGTGTTGCTTTAGTATTGGCTAGTCTGTCGTCGCGATAGAGTCCTATGTTAGTGATGATGTGTTGTATTTGTGAGAGGAGATAGCTTCCTACAAGTTCGCATGTCTCGGCGCCGTCGAAGCTGCCCATTGTCACGTCGAATGTGGAGTTGTGTTTCTTTTGCCAGGGTTGTTGGTTGTGAATGAGGTATGAATTCTTGGCATGTATGATAATGTTTCTCTCTTGCTTTGTAATGTTGTAGTGGGTTGAGGCGAAATCAAGTGCTTTGTTTAAGAGGTATGGTTGATAGGAGTGCTTGGTTGATAGACGGGTAGAAGTCTACAATGTCGAAAGATATGAAGTTGAGATTTTGTTGAACCACTTGACGACAGATGATGAGTTTTCCATTGGTTCAGCGAAGTGGCTTTTATGGTATTGTTGTTTATTCTGTCAAGTATTTTTTTGCTAATTTTTCCAATTTCAGATTTCGTCGGGTTGATTAGTCGGCAGGTGGGTTTTATTTGCGAAGTTCGGTTTGTGATCTTTGAGTGTTATGAATGCGTCTTTGTTAGCGGTGGAGTCTACTCTGTCAGATATACCCAGTTGTGATGTGATATTTTTGTCTTCGGTGTGGATGGCTTGTATTGCGTCGACGTTTATTTTCTTGTATGATTTCGTGATATTTTGTTGTAGGAGGTCGTTGTATGCTGGCTTGTCTAGTTTGTAGAAGTTTGTTGTTTTGTCGGCTGCGATAAGTAGCTTTTTTTCGTGTTTGATGGCTGTGGTGTTGTCTTTTATTTCGGTGAGAAATGCGCTGTGTACTTTTTTAAATTTTACTGATTGGATCATCTTCATCATGTCGTTTTCGAATTGTTTTAAGTCGTCAATCGGTGGAGGGTTTTTTGTGCTCTTGAAAACATAGGTGTCTTTAGAAGCTGTGGTGGTTCTCGGGTTGAGAAAGAAATAAGCCTTCCAACGCATATTGCGTAGGAAGGATTCAGATTTTTCGATGAGTCGTTGCAGGTATTCATTTGGTGATGGTAGAGGAATATTCTTGATGCTGTAGCTGAAGTTTAGTTTCTCCATTGCGGATTATCATACAGTGCTCGACAAAATTTTATATTGGAGCGTAATAGGAAGTTTTGTTTATTTGAATCTCCGTAAGTACAGTGCTCGATGCTTAAGAGCAGAGCGTAAATATTGATAAGAAGAAGAAAATACACAAAAACTACAATTTCATCCCGACAAGCCTGTTTCGTGATTTCTCACTCTTCAGGGGATAATATTAAATGAATACAAAAGCATATGCTAGATTATATATACAAGAGGAAGTTAGGGTAAAAAATTAAGGAAGTTTATATATACAAGAGGAAGTTAGGATAAAAAAGAGATATGCCGCGTATTTAACAACAACGGATTGCGTATCACTATCGAAGCTAACAAAAAAGTCATTAACTTCCTCGACATCACGTTCAATCTAAAGAATCCTTCCCATCGACCTTACACTAAGCCCAACACCTCTTTGCAATACATCCACCACGAAAGCAACCATCCTCCAAGCATTACAAAGAACATACCCGATACCATTAACAAACGCCTTTCATCCTTATCATCCGACGGAGCATCATTCGACCAAGCAATTCCTCCATACCAAAAAGCACTTGACGAAAATGGATATCATTACACACTGAAATATGACCCGAACGCTACTACGAAACGGAAAAACAGACTTAGAAATAACATACTCTGGTACAACCCACCATATAGCAAGAACGTCAGCACAAACATCGGCTACAAATTCATTTCACTAATTGACAAGCACTTTCCCATAGACCACAAACTCAGAAAACTATTTAACCGCAACACAATTAAATTAAGTTACAGCTGCATGAACAATATGGAACATATTATAACCATAACAAACGCATATTGAGAGAACCTGACAATACTAATGACACCATCAATGACAAAAATACACAAACTAAAACATGCAACTGCCGACAAAAACAAAACTGCCCACTTAACGGAAACTGCCTACAATCATCTGTCATCTACCAAGCAACTGTCAAACGTTTGGACACTAACACAACTGAGACATATATCCAGGGGCGGATCAAGAGTATGTCAAATCCGTCGCGCGACTGATGTTTGAAATTCAAAAATTAGAGGAAGATCATGGACACTGTCATACTACCAGCAATGACTTATGGAGCAGAGACGTGGGCACTTACCAACCATCAAAGAGAGAAACTGGCAATCACCCAAAGGAGTATGGAAAGATCAATGCTCGGTGTCGCGAGGAGAGATAAGATCCGGAATGAAGACCTGAGAGCAAGAACAAAGGTGAAGGATGTCATTGAGAAAGTTATTGAAGCCAAAGGAAAGTGGGCAGGACATCTAGCCCGAATGAAAAACCATAAATGGGCAAAGAAAACAACTGAATGGACCCCGTGGGACAAGAAAAGAGGCAAGGGAAGACCAAAAAGGAGATGGAGAGATGACATCGAGCAGAGAGCGGGCAGCATGTGGACCCAGATAGCCCAAGACCGTGAAGAGTGGAGAAAGATGTGGAGGCCATCCGCCAGCAGTGGCGTGACAGGCTGATGATGATGATGATTAATTAAAAATTCATTAATTATTCTTACTTTATTATCGCATTTACTTCGTGATTAAAATCCAGCTTTATTTATTATTGAAAACTAATGACTAATCCAATGAATATCTCGTTGGTAACCAGATCAGTTGAATTTTAATTGACCTGAAATAACCGACTGATATCCGGGGTGGCTTGACTGGTTCGACGGATAAAGGATCTATGAACGCCAAAAACGCTTATTTTATTGGTTAATGGCCAGATCAGTGGACAGTCTGGAACAGTCTCGACCGATAAGAGGGGTGGCCGGACGTATAAGGGAGTCCAATTGCTATCTTACAATTGGTTCATTTGAATTTTTGTTTTATTGTGTTGGTTTGATGGATTTCGACTGATAGAACTAACATAGTCATGCTCACTGTCTGAATTGAATGTTTGATCGTTTCATAGTAATTTTTATAAGCATGATAGAAACTAAACTACAATCAGATGAAATTTATGGAAATCTTTTACAAATTCATATATTGACCTGAATGCTGCTGTCCAAACTGTGAATTTTTTCAAGAGGGTGAAAAATTTATGGATAAATTGTAAATGCTTGGCAAAGACGATCTCGCGAGCGACATTTCAGTCATTGATGTTTAAAAGAAAGCCAACATTGTTTGGAGTTTTATCAGCAGAAATTTACATCCAAAATCGTAAGTAAAGGACAAGTGAAATGTATGCATGAATGCAATATATCATAGTCAATTTATACGAGTGTGTGATGCGATTTATGTCAATATGGCGTATGGTAAGCAGATTGATGCGTCTAAAATTGTTGTTGCCGAAGGACTTTTAGCTGTGATTTCTTTAGTGCTTGGGGAATCGTGGCCGTTATATGGCAGCGAAATCCTACATTCCTGCAAATATATTTCAATGGACAAAAAATCTGTAGCCATAAGGCGCCATACTATTATTTACTTTATCATAAACAAATGTTTGGGGCTTTTCAGTTTATGATCATTCAATCATTGGACAGTTATACTACATATTGTATAAGATTTGAGAAAACTAACTTTGATTACATGAGAAGCTGTTTACTATAACCTGTGATTTTGAGTCTTCTGATCCATGAAGCTTTTTATTTTGACAATTTGATTGGAATGGAATTAAACCTTAGTATTTCACATACATGAAATGTTGTCCCATGTCACATATTGTCCCCTTTTCTAACTGAACACCTCATGTAGAGATGTAAAGGTGTGTTAATCTACGGCTCATACCAGATTGTTTGCCATAAATTCCAAAGGGCTATTGATGTATGAAAAGCATTTTCTACAAAATAAAAATGTCTTTCTATGTATGCAGATAAACCTTGAAATTTGGCAAAACAGCAAAGTATTTTCCATGTTCACTAGGTAATTTTTCTGATGATCATTATAATTTCTAAACTAAAATATTTCAGATTTACTTTTAAACGAGCTTTGATCATATGAAAAGATATTTATCATAACCAGTAAGCATGACACATGAACCAATTTTAACATTCATGTAATTATATAATTAAAGACATGTTAGTTACATTCTGTTTGTACTTGCAAATACAATGCTACTAGTGATTGCTATATAGCACACTTTGCATATACTTACAGAAGATAATAGTCTAGTGAAATGCTTAATAAACATTTATAGCATTAAGCTGTCCTTAACTGCAAATTTTCACTCTGATAATTTTTGCTTAATCTTTGGCAGAAAAATTTTTTGAGTTTTTTCTCAAAAAGTGAATTTGCTGGCACTGATGTGGAGATGGGTAAAGGGTTACAATAAACTTGCATGGTTTGAAGTCTGAGCTTTTCTATATCTATGAACTGTCACTTGTAGTACCAAATTTCTAACTTAACTCATTACATAGAGGTTTGAATGGGGGTCTCTAGGGGGGTCTATGCCTGACAACTTGGTAGAAATTTTTAAAGACTATATCTGTTTTTGAATAGCATTATTGAAAAATAAATTTTACGTTTCTAGACATGCTAATGAGCCTAAATATTTGGCAAAACATTCAAGTATTGTTCACTTCATTTTTTTTGAAAAAAACGTAAGCAAAATGTGTTGCTTTAACGCAAAAACGATGCCCACAAAATACATTTTGTATTGCTCTAAACGCTGAAAATGGCATTTTCAAGGCTCTGAAATTCAAAATTTCTCAGGGGAGAATGCCTCAGACACCCCCCCCAGGTGCGGAGCGCCTCCGACGTTTTGTGACTTATGTTTGAAAAATCCTAGATCCGCCCCTGCATACATCGGACTTACAGAAAACGAATTTAAGACTCGACACAGGAACCACACTGCCTCTTTCCGCCACAAAAAACTAAGAAACTCCACCGAACTCAGCAAACACATATGGACACTAAAAGACAACAATATCGCTCACGATATCTCATGGAACATCATCACTCACAGCAAACCGTACAACAGCGCCAACAAAAGATGCAACCTATGCCTGAAAGAAAAATTCTTTATCACCTACCAACCACAACTATCATCACTCAACAAACGTAACGAACTTATCTCCTCTTGTCGCCATAGACACAAGGCACTTTTATCCAATTTGTAACCATACACTCAACATATTATGTAATTCTATCTTAATTTTTTACCCTAACTTCCTCTTATATATATAATCTAGCATATGCTTTTGTATTCATTTAATATTATCCCCTGAAGAGTGAGAAATCACGAAACAGGCTTGTCGGGATGAAATTGTAGTTTTTGTGTATTTTCTTCTTCTTATCAATATTTACGCTCTGCTCTTAAGCATCGAGCACTGTACTTACGGAGATTCAAATAAACAAAACTTCCTATATATATATATATATGCAAAGCTCACCTTTATAGGTTTGAGCACTGTGGTGACTCTACAATACAATCCATGTGTACGCTCACTGCGCGTGCGTAGTTTGAGCACTGTCGGATTGTGTAGAGTCTCATATGGAGACGTTCACCGTGTTCGCGATATGCAAAGCTCACCTTTATAGGTTTGAGCACTGTGGAGACTCTCTATATATATATACGAAGTGAATTACAATGTGCCCTCCCGGCTATCAGTATCACCATATTAAAATGGTGACTCCTGCACTTGGGACACATGATGTACGGTTATATATATATATATATATATATATATATATAAGTTTGAAAATTTGTAATCCAGGCATTGAATACATAAAGATAAAGTTTCTCGATTTTAAATGATATTTCAATAAAAATCATTTAAAATCGGAGAAACTTTTTATCTTTATGTATATATATATATATATATTTGAAATTGAAATTGAAATAAAATTGAAAATTGGTAAAACAAATCCAGAGAATCCTTATCATTATCATATATATATATATATATAAAATGAAATAAAATGGACAAGTGTTTGCTGTCGCTACTCGGAGTTTCACGCCGTAGGGCGATCTTCAGGCAACATATATATACATATATCTATTATATACAAAGTGTATAACAATGTGCCCTCCCGGCTATCACCATAGTAAAATGGTGACTCCTGCACTTGGGACACAGGATGTACGGTTTATATATATGTATGTTAATAAAAAAGTTTTATTCATGTTCATCACACCTCACTGTAATCTATGTAACACTCATAATTACACTTCTAATATGTAAATATAAACGCACACTTATTATACAGAATACTTTAAACAAATAGCTTTGTATTAAAGACATTTTACCTGCAAGCATAGATTTATTTTCTTTAGCAATCACAACAACCCAGTCCCTCTCAATAGCAATTGTAGTTCCAAGGCTTGAAAGTCTAGCAATAATTGCTAGTAGCACCAAAACAACAGCCAAAATGAGAAACATAGGACTGCTTTTATTTTGATGAAACATGACCAATACAACAACAGCACAAGCTACCACTGAACTATTTTGAATTATTAGTGTCAAACGAGCAGCTATAAATTGGGATAAGATAAAATACTTTTCACTATTCATGAGTTGACAATAAGACGTTAACATGCCATAATTTATTATATTTGCTTTGATTTATCAAAACTCATACACAGAAAATAATGATGAACGTAGAATGATAATATATTAATGCATTATTTCATTGATAATATTATTCATCAAATTTCCCCGTACTTTCTGTCAATCTTAATGGATATACTTACTGTTAGTGTACTATAATGCTAAATCAAAGTTTGGCTTACCTTTCAGTCTTGGTGTCATATCGATCCAGTTTCCTACAAGTGTCCCAAAGGCAACAACACATAATGACACAGCTAAACCATATAGCGCAGTAAAACGAAATGAGCCTGGAGTCAGTTCAATTAAAAATATTGAAATAGCATACATCCACATTCGATCACCCTAAAAATTGAAAGGCATTCAACATCTTAGCATCACAATTAATTTAATTTAGTAGATTTTATAGCACATATCTGTGACAAAACTTTTTTCTGAATTTTCAAAAATGATCAAAACAATATCCAAAGACACCAGCAAGGATAATTTAGTTGGGTGGGGGGGCAACCCCCATGTAAATATGGCTTTTAAATATATATTTAATTGTTTTTAGTTGCGCACACGCAAAGCCATAGTCTCGGAAAATATTATTGGAGAGCAGTGCCTCTTTCTTGTTGGTGGCTATGACAATACCATCTTTACATGGTGAGCATGAGCCATTAACAGCATACATTTAGAAGTATATATTCAAATATATTTAGAAGTTCCTTGCAACAAACAAGATATGTATAAATTTGCTTACTTGATAAGTGAAGGGGATTTTATTCATATATGCATGCTTTTCCATATTAAGTTCTTTTGAAATCAATTGTTTCTTAGTTAAAACATACCATCTGAATATTCACTCACCGAAAAAACAAAAAATTTCTAAAGAAATGAAGTGCTAATGATGAAAAAAAAATTTACATAGCACTAATTTATGGGTGGCTGACAATGCCACTGGAAATAATGAAACGCATTTCGCAATTTGCAAAGCAACTGAAGGGGAACATGAGAAGTCAAATTGAAGAAAAGTAATGCATATACCCAAACCAGTTGTTTAATTGTCTTTAATAAATAAAATGTCAGTTTGTGAAACTGCTAATAACTAGATAATGCACTCTGAAATGTCAGACTGATTCATTATACGCAATTTAATTTAAATTGGCAAAGTAATTACGAAGCTGTTTTGACACCATATATCAAGACAAAAAAAGATTTTTCTATATACTCTACCCAAGCCGATAAAGCATGACTGATGCAGATTAAAACAGTTGGTGAGAATCCACAGCGAGCAATTATGTTGGCTTTCTTTGGCATGGTAGAGGCTGTAAAGAAATATTTAAAACACACAGATTATTATATGAATGCCAAATCATGTCAATAAAAATTAATGCAACAAGAAAGCCAAAATCAATCTTTAGCAGCAGATATAAAATGATCAATGAGATTTAAATACAATGAGATAAATACCATCATGTAAAGTGGAGTCGGCATCTTGTTGTGATGCGATGTCGCTCAACGAAAATTCATTAGTCGTTGAGTTATCACCAGAAACACTTTTCTGATCTTCCTCTTCAACTTTAAGCAACGGCTTGTCCATGTTTAATTCTTATGTAAAACGCAAAAATACAAACTTCTCGCAAAGATATGCGAATACAGAAACATATTACATTTCAAGTCAATTACAATAATGCAGTTTTATAATAACAAATGAATCGGAAATGCTCGTATTCATTCGTCGTTAGTCGTTAACCATATCGAACGTATGGTTGTAACAAATTATGAAAACAAACTTTGCACTTTAAAGTTACAACTTTAAAGCACGTTTTCTAGAAAAATTATGAATTTTTAAAAATGAAAGTTATAATTCTAGCAGCGGGTTACGGCACTCGACTGCAAAATGATATCGAAAACGATCCAAGCAAAGAATACAAGCATTTGATGCATGTCCCCAAACCTCTAGTTCCAGTTGGAGGAAAATCGTTAATTTCAAGATGGATGAAAGAGATTTCCATTTTGATGGGCAAGAATAACGATGATAAATGTCTGATTAAAATCACTAAAGTTTATGTCGTTGTTAGTCATATTTAATTATACAAGTAAACTATGCTAAGCTACAGTCATATAGACCAGGATTACCAATACCTGACCAGCAACTTTGCTCCATCTCTGAATTTCTTTCGAATAGAATTTTTATTGAAAAAAGCAAGAATAGAATAATAGCCTTCAGGCTGTTATTAAATATAGTAGTTTAGTATGCGATGGGCAGTTTCACAAATTAGTGTTAGATTTAATCATTAATGAAGAAGCTAATTAATAGTTAATAATGTACACAAACTAGAGAATTTTCTAGTGCAAAAATTAATTTTTCAGATAGTAAAATTCTTTGCTTCTACTATAGACAAATCATTTCTACATAAAGCTATTTTCCGTGTGGGCAAAAGAATGGCCTGAGGTTGAAGTGTTAGATGATGGCACACAGACAAATGAGGTACAAAGCTTACTCCAGGTTTCATGAAAAGTCAGTGATTAAGAGGGCGGAAATATTCATACATAAATGTTTTACTTTATTAGTTTCTTTTGAAATCAATTTTGGTTATGTACAATAGCATATGAATATATATGAGCCCAACCTCTCCAATAATCAATCTTCTGTAGTCCATGTACTTGTCTGTGTAAGAATTTTAGGTCACTGTTCCATGTTAAATTGTGAATTTTCTGCTAATTAATGTTCAGTACCTTCAATAGACCAGATTGGGAGCTGTTGCAGATATCAATCTTTGTATAAATAAATTTGAAATAAAAGATGATGTGCTAATAATTGGAGGGTATGTATCTTAGATGACCCAATTATGTAATATAAAATGGATTCATGGAACATAACATAAAATTATTAAAATAAATCAACCAATTTTTTTGGCATGTTAATTTGTTTTCATTAATCCATTTCACTTCTTTTTACAGTGATACATTGTTTTACCACGACTTTGACTTAAGAATATTTCTTGAAGAATTTAGTAAAAAGAATGAAGAAGGTTTTGATGGAGCTTTAGTTACTTGTTATAAATGCAAAGATTCAGGTAAATTCACACCAAACAGATAGAACTATTAAAGATGTGTCACAGGAATGACAGCTTATCATGTCACTGAGATAAAAGAAGTTGAAATGTACAAAAAAAGGAAAGATTAATGTAAAAACATATATAAAAGACTCTTTGAAATATGTCATAGTAAATAACTGAATTAGAATATTTGGCTCAAAATTATTTTACAGACACAAAAAGAGCAGGAATTTTGGAATTAGATGCTAATAATCGAGTTGTTGCATTTTTGGAAAAACCACACTCATCAGAAACTTTGTCAAGATGGGCTGTGAGTAGAAACTGCTTGAGGCTTCAGGCCATTGTTAACTATCATTGGAACGTGAGACCATATTGCTATTTTTCATTTAGTGCCCTTGTTTTTACGTTCTCTCAAGACACACTGTGCAATTTGTTCCTGAATTTCTCAAAGTGAAAAATGTACTCAAATATCTGAATTATTAGAGCTTTTCTAACTTGTAAAGTAAAAAACAATGTTTTGGAAATGTGCGCGAATTTCCCCTAAAATAGTGGAATTGGAAACACGATTGAAAAACAACACATAAAACTCAAATGTTTTCTGACAAATAAGTCTATTTTTCATCTATATTTCTTAGACTTTTAACTCTGACGCTAACGTCTAGCCAGATTGGTTGAATTTTGAAAACTTTTCATTCAAATTTTGTTAGCAAAGGTGATAGACCAGCTAAAACCTGAACTTTATATTTGCATTAGACTGCGCCAATGAAAGAAAAAGATGCTCCTGGACATTTCATAAAATATTTACAAAAAAAGTGAGTGCCTTTATACTGTAATTTAAAGTTTTTTAGTCAAACTCTAGTTGTGGAATGTGAGCACCAAGATTTGCGATTCTTTTGGTGGGTATTTTTTTCGTACAGACATACATACAGGTAATAGTTTTAAAATTATCGTTGTTCTCTAGTCTAATTTGAGCTGCACGTCCTGACCCAAAATTTTAGATTTTTAGTCAGGTCTAGTTTGAAACTGAATCGTTCTAAAATCTAAATTGGGCAGTTCTGAAAATTCAAGTTAATTTTTTTACGAACTTAAAATTGCTTTCTTAAAACGATGAAAATCTTGCATCATTTTAAAGATCAGAATTTCAGGATGTGTCCATATTTTTTTGGAATGACCCGGTGTCGCAATTTGAGTGAAAATTTTGTGTATCAGACTAAATCTTTTGTTGCATTCATAAAGGGTGTCAATTTATGCAGCGCCTTTAAAATCTGGACGTTTTGATATTGGAAACTTAGAATCGTACATTGAATGCAATCGATATTTTACTTCAACAGGTATTATTACGCAAAGTGTCTAGCAGAATCCTGTCAGTCGTTAATGTAATGTAAACGGAGAATTTTTCTTTCGTATTCCTAGAATATGGGTTGCACACCTAAAGGTTCCAGTTTCACGAATTTTTTACGAGTTTTGTATGGTGGTTCTCACTTCTCAGTTTTATTAAATTGTTATCATCATTGTTACATAGTTAGGTCAACATACCTTTTAAAATATAAGAATTAAAACAAACGCCTTTTTACTTTTCCATAATTCTGTATGTTAAGATTATTGAATATCGCATCCAAAGAATCATTAACTAAAAGCAATAGTCAATGCTATATCGATTGAAAATTTATTAAATTTCAGTTTAACATGAATCTCTACAAAAATTGACTATTTTCATACAAAAAAGAGCAGAAATAGGTAACTTGAACAGCTAAATTAACTAAGACCAGTGATTCGACATAGGCTAGTTCATTCGTTTGCTTTTCGTTGAAATTTCATAAATCACGATCGAACAAAGGTCTTCCCACTTGAAATAAAAAAGGAAAAGATATTACATATAGAAAATAGTTTTGAAATGCAATCTCTTGCATCAGAGATGAAAAGGCGAAAATTAAGATATAAATATATAAAATATTATAAAAAATATAACTTTGTATAGTAACATGACGAAGATAAGAGTTGAAAAAACACATAACCCAAAAATTCTTTAGTAGGCCTGGCAAAAAATCTTACACTAATTGTATCACATCAATCTCATTGACGAGTTATAAAAAGTAGAAATTATAGATAAATTAATGAGCGTATCGCACACATTCATTGTAATCCTACAATATTTTATATGTTAGCCAAACAATACAAACTATAAGCATAATCCTATCGTAAGTTTGTATTAAACCAAAGAATACAAACGTCAGTAAAATCCTATCGTATTTGGTATGTTAAACTAAATCATGCATACAATCCATAAGAACAAAATGTATGTTAAACTGAACATTATAAACATCAATACATAAAATACTCACGTGATTGTTTTCTTTTCAGTTGACTTGATTTCTGGCTTCGCACGATTTACAACTTTAATAAAATCAGTCGTTTTTGCTCTCATTCTCGAGTGCAAGTACGCCTAGAATTCGATTTTATAAGAGAGTGTAGATGCAACATGCGTAAACTTTCCATCTTACAGTTGTAGCGAGGTTTAACAAATAATATGAAAACAGATTGCATGTATAGAAAAATAGCAAACGTTAAATGTAAATTGAAGTTTTCCGACAGATAATCAGAATAGTCGAATTATCGGAGACTAACTTTACCTGCGTCATACACCACAGTAGATGTTTGTAGATGTAGATCGTCCAGGTTAGTAGAGTCCTGAGAAGGACTGTTGGTGTTGATGTTGACTGACTTTTTCACAACCTTAGCGTTAGTCATCTTCAGAGCCAAGACTCTACTATTCTGGACGATCTACGTTCATCTACAAACATGTAACGATCTTGTCGGGTTCAAACCATTTACTTTACACCACAGTAGAGTTGACTAATGTCGTAAGCCGTAAGCTATAGGACTATAACGTGTATAAAATAAACTTCAGGTAAAAAACAAGACATACCTTGGAGCACTTGATGTGATAATGTAAATAGTTTCGAAATGTGTGAATCAAATTGATTGTTTTGTCCTTAGTTTTTTCGTTTGTATGCCGCGGTTCAAGTACTAAAACAATACATGTTAAGAATATTTAAAGTTTCTTCGTTTGTATGCCGCGTTTCAAGTACTAAAACAATACATGTTAAGAATAATTAAAGTTTTTTCGTTTGTATGTCGCGGTTCAAGTACTAAAACAATACATGTTAAGAATATTTAAGAATATTTAAAGACAAAGTATTTTTATATTTTCAGTTGTATATTTTAGTTCAGAAAAAAATATTTTCACTATGTTAAACTTGGCGTGAGAAAACAAAAAACTTGATGTGCTTAGTTTCTTATTTTATGCAATTTTCGATAAAATTGACAACAAAGATGCAATTTTCCTGTTGTCAACAGTAAAAAAACTATCACGTTTTTTCTTTATACGTACGTTCTAAATATCCTAAGTATAAAAAAAGAAGTTAACATAAAGTACAATATAAATTATTTTACCAAATGTAATGTATCCAATATTATCAGCCACAACAGCTCCAGTCCCTTGTAATTCCAAGGGTGGCTCGCGATGACTGAAAAGAACCTGAGGAGCTGTTTGACTGGCACGACGACCTTCTTTTAACTCCTGAAATTTTCATAAACAAAAGTTAAAATGGAAGGCTGTAGCATGGCATGGTGGGGGAGGGTGGACTGCCCCCAATATTTTCCATAGTATCATCTCTATATATATAACTTAAAAATGTTAGTCGTACAAAAGAGTTTGTAAAATATAGAAGTGACATTTTGGGGGTGTTTCCCCCCCCCCAAAAAAAATAAAATTCTGCTGCTGCCATTACATCCAGCACTCATACATTCGAGTGAACCGTTAAGTAAACATCCAACCATACAAATTTGATACATATTTCTTCAAGTTTAATAATTACAATCTCGTAAATTATACATAACACATAGTCATAAGCTTTTTGCTCCCACCAATCTTGAACATTCTGCAGCAATGAGATCATATGAATATCAATAAACTATTAACCCAACTATGTATAAGTATATCTTGATTCCTTAGTGAAATATACTACCTGCATAAATACTTTACCAATGATTACGTCATCATCATCTCGAAAAACAGTGCTGAAAATAACAGTGACACGATCTGGTTTTGCACCAACATACCTAAAGTTAAGAAGATGAAACAAATATTAACAACAATCAATAAAAATTTCACAGCAATTGAGAAAAAACTGAGCATTTTTTTTTACATTGTTTCATCATCTCTGTAGTTGATAATCGCATATTCCTCTTTATCATTTCCTGCTTGTTGATATTCAAAGTATTTCTCAAATACGGATGCAAAACAATTTCTCTTCAACATGGAAACCTTTTTGATCAATTCCTCTAAAAGTTTATCATCAAATACTTTTATCTTAGTAACAATGAAGGAAGAAAAGACAAAAGCAACATGTTATGATCATTTTAAGTTGTTGCAAAATTACCTTTCGCCTTGTCATTTCCAGGTAACTTCTCTAAGTCTATGAGAAGAGACACATCATATCCTGTAAAGTAAAATACTTTCATCATCTCAGAAAAATAGCCCACATCCCCATGAAGGCTGTAAAACGTATGATGATATTAATGCAAGACTATGTTTTATAGGATTCATATTGTCATGGAAACATTAATGAAACTATGTAAATGGTTTTTAACAGTGTGCGAATTAACGGTGTGCAATGTGCAATTTGATTATGCCACTAAAGAAACACTTTGTCAAAAAAATTGCACATCGTTTTTTCTGAACTAATTCGCACACTGGTTATTACAGTGTGATGCAATGTCTTCCATTCAATCATCATATTAGGACAATACAGAGGAATTTTTATACAAGTAGTGAAGTCTATTTTCCAACATATTAACTGAAATTCATAAATATATTTTAAATGGTTCAATCAGTATATAGTGTGTTTCCTCTATCAGACTTCAAAATTACATCAACTAGGGATGTGCATTATTCTGATGACATGTGGTTATCCAACATAATCTGATGTCCAAACATACTTTGTTCACCATGTACGTTCACAGCTTCACTAGCAAATAAGCAAATATCCTATATATGTACATCTTATGTGTATCCTATATTAGTATGGCTTCAATAACCACTACCATCTGGTACAATCCAGTATCGGGCAAAGTGGTATTTGGCAAATCCCTTCATGAGCTTTAACTCCTGCTGTCATAAACTTCACAAGATTTCAAAGGGCGGATGAACTCCAGGAGCAATCCAATACCAATCAGAATTCAATGATTCAGATTTGGATTCATGTTTTTTGTGAGTTGTTTAACAGATGATGACATATTTATGGACCTTTTGATTTCCATGATGTAAATGATTTTCAACTACTTTTGTTGGACAAAAGGTGAGGTTGAAAAACATTGGTTCAACTGTATCTTATAATAACTGTAGAAATTTATCTGGGTGGTACTAAGCAACTGCTGATGAAAATGTCAAATTTTGCAATTTTTTTACTGATTACAAACTGCAATTTTCATACTTTTTGCTGAGATATAAATACTAAAATTACCTTTTTTGTAGAGGTAAAAATCTTGAAAATCAAGGGTAGAATTATTGCCATAAAACATATGTACATATTTTATAAACAAACAAGTATTATTTTCTGCCGACTAAGGAACAAAAAAGGCAGAAAATATTTTCTCACACCCCCTTAGGAGCCAAATTGTGAATAGGTATGGCGGGTGGTGTAGGTTATATTAAACACATTTTGTTGTTGCATCCACACAGCTAGACTAGAGTCCCACCCACTCACCCAAATGGAACACTATAGACATATGTGTATTGGTAACTATGACTGTTGAGTTTAGGCTACTACTCTTAGGAGCAGAGCCGCTTAGCCCACGTAATGGTAGCTGTATTAACTGTTTTTATGAATGTAACACATGTCAAGCTTGTGGCGGCAGATTGGCTGCAGCAGTTCCCAGTTGCGTGTGAGAACTTACTTTTATATTGTGGTAATAGGGTGTGTCAAAATAAATTATACTGAATTCAACATTTTATATCACAAAAATTCATGGTAAAATGGACTCTTAGTTCATGTATCATTACAAGTTCTTGTAAATAAATCTAACCTGATTCGGCAGTTGTTAAGTATTCACCATAAACTTTTTGGATCAGCTGTATACAAATAAATGATTTAAATGTTACTTAATAATATTTTTACAATACTGATAATCCATTCAATAAGCCTTCAACATGAAAATCAACTCACCTGGTCAGCCCCATACTTTTGAAGATCAGAATAAAATTTAAGATGAATGCTAACCTAACAAAAAAAAAACATTAACCACATTAGCAGGCAAAATGATAAAAGTGACTTTTTTGACATCAACTCAACAAATGATCTCACAGTAATGCTACATGTGTGCTTGTGTTTATTATTGGCATTGAGCTTGCGATATCTGATACAGAATTATTGAATACTTTTCTGGCTAACTAAATGTGTCAGAAAAATGTTTTTCTTTACCTCAATTCCATCTCCATTCTCAACCCACTATACTTTAGTGCTGATGGGCCAGAGTCGGTAGAATTTGTATAAGACATATTGCTGCACTAACAACTTAATAGATGCTACCATTTTTTGGTTTACCAAAAGTAGCTATCAATGTCTGTCTGGCTAAGCATGAAAGGCATTACTGTGAAATTCTTTCTTTAAAGCAATCAGCTTCACAAGTGTTTCAACTTTAATGTAACTTACTATTATCTTGCTTTTCTCTCCATCTGGATTGGAGACATGAAAGGACACACCATCAAAATCTGTACAGGGTGAAAAGCAATTTATATAAACAATAATAAAAGATACATAGAGTAATGTACTTCCACATTCTCAGATTAAAAACATGAGATTCGCTAAATGCATTCAGAAATGGTCATTTTTGAATATAAATGATAATAAACAAATGTGTACTGTAGATTTAATGAGGCTTAACAATATTTTTGCACAACTTCCATGGCTTATAATACTTATATCCAAGTCTGATTGTAAATGTAATTGCTAAACTTGTAATTTTGATAATTGACGCCTAAATATAAAATATTTTCATTCGGAAGAAAAAGTGTACAGTATAAATCAACTATTGACGGACTAAAATTGCCAGAATGTACTTATAGGCTTCCCTATTCTCATGGAGTTATCAATGGAAAAAGAATCCATTTCAATATAAATTTCTCCAAAATAAATCAATTGCTACTTAATAAATTGTCTCGCAAGAAAGCAAATAGTCTTAGTTTTCGCATAACAAAAAGTTCTAAATTGAAATGCAAAATCTCTTCAGGAACTATGTTGAAAAGGAGCTTACCAGCAAATCTTATATCAATTGCATCAAATTTTTCACTACAAAAGAAGAGAAGCCGGTACGTAGATAATATCGTTAAAATGACATTAAATATAAATAGATAAAATAATTCACATTATGATTGTTATTCAGTAGATGGAAATCAATAACGAAAATTTAGTTCAAATCTTACAATACTTCAGGACTTTTTTTGATGAAGACAGACCACCTTGAAAATTTTGTAGTTAGCGTTTCCTCTAATATACGATTGTTCAACTCCAAAAGAATCATATTTTTGTACTTGTAGTCCTTCCTTGTTGTGAGCTATTCGGCATGAAATTTGACAGACGGGCTTGGTAAGTAATAGCAATAGTTAATGAGTCTTGTGTTCGTCTTCCTATTAAGTCGGAATCCATCGTACATGGTTCGGAGCTCGGTGCAATATTTTAAGTTGTGCCATATTTGGTATATGTCACTGACCATTTCACTGACATACTGGTCAAAGGCAATCAATGGTATAGTTTGGGTACAATACATGTTCACGTCGGGGTAGCACAGTACGGAAGGAACCGGAGGCTGAGCTGAATATTGAGAAAAGTTACTAAGGCCCGTTTCAAACGTCGCATTTTACATGAGCCGAACAAAAGAAAAATGGTAAAATGCCTCGTTACCTTTTGTTTTAAATGTATTCGGCTCATGTAAAACGCAACGTATGAAGCAGGCCTTAGTTCATCAATCCACACCAACGCAGCAATTTAATTCAGCTTTATGTCAACATAAAGTATTTGGAGAACTCACAATCACAGCTAAAATTATGTTACTGTTATATAATTAAAAAGGGCAAAAATGACTAATGCACATGCAGTAAGACATCGTTTAGCTACGAAACAAGAACCCTTTTCCTCCGTACCTGCCTGTAAATGGACCAGAGAGAATATAAACAGAAGCGAAAGACCAATACCTAGTCCTATCAAGCAAATGCAACCAGAAAACTAATGCTTTTGCCTTAAAAAATTAGACAAATTTACAGAGGGATTCATTTCTACTTATAACCGTGAAAGTATACAAAAGAGAATCTGTTTGGATGCGTTGTTGCAACAGAATTGCCAAATCATATTCAGACAAAGAAAAGGCACTGCGTCTCTAGGATCGTGAAAATTTGACTTCCCCACTGTTGGACCTGAAAAGGATTTATTTACTTTCCTTTCTTTCTCTATTTGTCATATATATACAGGCTGCTTCCATAAATTACAACTTCTGCTGAAAGAAACTATTCCATGCAAAGGTTTCTGAAAAGTTCTTTAAATATCACAATCACCACCACTGAAAAACAGTGCGTACAATAAAATTTTGATCGATATACACAGACAAATAAGAGTTTTGATTTGCAACTAAACAAACACAAAAGAACGTAGATTAAGCCTTTTCCAAAATTTTAACAACAAAGAACTGTAATGTTGATTTTTATGAGTCACTAAAATCGTAAGGCATTTTAACCGTAAAGTAATACGAGTCAATCTTAAATACCCTTTTCAACAGGTAAGTGCCATAGAAGTTAACACCCTCTCTGAACTTAAATGTGCTTCCTACGCCCATATAGAAGCCTGTGCATGGTGTTGCTTGATGAAGGGTGGGGTCAAGTGAGGTTACCGGGAACACGAATCCTATTCATGATATCGTAAAAATGAATAAGTAGAAGTTGAAGTATAAAACACAAAAACAATTGACACTTCGTAAAAAGTAACGTTTCATTCTAAATGTTTTGACAAGTATTACATGTCATCATCAGCGAGCAGTAGAGTAAACGTTCACTGGGTCAAAAAACTCTCGGTAAGACGTAAAGAAGATTTGTTGTTGCACACATCTTTATGGTATCTGATAGCAGGAGCATTTTTTGTTCAAGAGGGAAAATAATTGTGATGTATTGGCAACATCACGACAAAAGAGTTAACCGAGCAGCGAGAAGCAGTGGTTGTGTAGTTGTAAAGGACGAGGAATAACAGTAATTTCTTTAACTTTTTTTAAATCAAATCAATCAAATCATACAATGCAAACAATGTTTGTTCATTAGTTCAATGGTGGAAAATTAGGTCCTTCACCAAAATAGTAAAAATGCTTTTCATGGTTGCTCAACATTTCTCTAAGTTTGTTAGCAACGAAAAGTTGAGGGTTGATGTTTCACTTTAAATCATAATAAATGTAAGATGGATTGAAAGCAAAATTATGAAAATGGACGAAGGAAGAATATTGCACTCATCGACAGACCAACTTCGACATCGTGATTTGGTTCCAGCCGAAACAAGAACATATTTCACGGAGAACCTATATATAATAATGCATTTACTGCATTTCAACTCTACTTCACCTGATATTCGGCTATTTCCTTGTCTTTCCAAACATGCTATCAAGTGATAATCCTGCGAATACAAGAACAACCCCAATCCACTGTCTCGAAACGAGGGCATTTCCATAATATATCACAGATGCCAGAATTGTAAAGAATTTTCGCGTTGTAGTAACTATGGAGCACGTCAATGGACCAAAGGTCGCCACTGTGATGAATATAAAGTTCTGAAACAGAATGGTTTTCACATAAAAACTGCTGTAATGCATAAATTACACAAGAAAAACATTAAATACAGTAATAAAATTGCAAGTTGGCCGTCTGAAGTTAACCTTTGATCACACATAAAAGACTCATAGCCGATGACTCCTATTTATATGAAGAATGTTATATGCAGTGCGGTGTTTGAATTTTTAAATGAAGGTATGATCTTCGCACTTTGCTTAAATTGTCCAGCAAAGTGCGAAGATCATACCTTCATCTAAAAGACTCCTATTTATGACAGCAAATAATGTAGCAAAATGAAGTCTACGAAAAACTGCTGAAAAATATATTATACACTTGGACAAAGCTCCTTCCTATAATAAACGATACTTAGAGTACAATTCAAAGGATATGTATAAACGACGGTGGGGCAGCAAACCAGTATATTTGGTCCTGTTCTACAAATTGTTCTCTGTTCACTCAAAGCAAAGCACTTTACTTCTAAAGAATTGAATGATTTACATGGCAGGGCTAATAATACTTGCGGGCTGGCTACGTCATCGTGTACAGAAGTACATACGCTTCAGAAGTGAAAGTATAAGAGAATCGTCGTTTCTACAACGCAGTCTCTCCATAATATTTGCAGAAGCATTAATAACAGTGAATTAAACATTTTCGATGGGTATGTACGTATCTCTGTAAACTCACAGGTGTTCTTGTCGTATTCAGGAGTAGTACTAGCTAGTCCTAGTACCAAACGTATATTATGTGTCTAGAGCTACCAATATTGTTCATTGAAAGCTGGTTGTTTCAACAAAATATATCCTTAACTCTGTCAAACTTGATTTAAACTTAAATAACATTAAATTACAACTTTTTGCTCAAACTATTTTTAAAATTCGTCCGTTTGACAATGTATGAGTCGCAAGTTATCTTTTAAACGAAGTTTGAACATCTTTGTCACAAAAGCATAAACACTGAGTAACAACAACCACCTGGAATACCCATGATGCATCCAGTTTCCCTATCTTATACAATTAATACGTACGTCATGCATCAAAAACGACAGTTAAAATGTTATCATCTTGCCTGTATGCCTGGTGCTAACACTGTCAGTCAAAGCTAAAACTCTCTAGTATTGAACAAAGAGAATGCAAGGTAGTGCCAACACATTTGAACATTAGACTAACCTGACCCAAAGCACTCGCGATGCTAAATGATAGCATATTTGGCAACACAGAAGGATGGCGCTGACAAAAAGCAATTGATTTCCAAATTTCGCCGGTGAACACAATGCCTTAAAGATTACAAATCACAAGATTACAAATTACAAGTACCATTACAGATGACTTGCATTGTTTACGTTTTGCTTGCACGCGGATTTGGCAACACTAGCAAGAATGGTAAACCTCTCTTGGGATTAATCTGCCAGCCAGCAAAGCATAAACAAGGCAAGTCTTCTTTACTGTTCTCCCTAAACATGCGTGACAATATTCAGAGCAAATCTCTTTTATCATTCTTGAAAAGCTTCCACTGGAAAAGTATTTTCCAAAACAGTACTACAAAACTGCCCAGAGATCGCTCATAGATATCCTTATACGTATGATACAAACATGTCCATACTTGACAAACGTAAATCGACGTCATTAAAATACACGACCATGACGTTATATGCCGATATTTTACGATTAGCGTGTCATGTCGCAACAGTCTACTACTTAGCAGTCTTCACATCATAAACTGTAACATGAAGTACTCACTCACCAGTACCAAGGATGAGGAATGAACATATATTGATCTTTTGCATCATGTGATGTGATTTTATGTGATGTTCTGTTCTCATTTTATCTTGAGTGGCTCCAGTCATTCCATCAAGAGTTAAAGAAACCAACTAAACAAAAGTCCCACGAGTATATGTTTTACATAAAAAAAGATAATTTATTAATTAAATGACATAAGGTAAAAAGGCTAGTTGGGTATGACAGCTGTAAAAAGTGAACATATTACAGAGAATAAGGCCGGGCAGCTAAGTACAGTAAATAATACATAAAAAAACAAAGCTTTCCTATGCTCGATAGCAAAAGATTGTGAATGCTTCATCAGGAACAATAAAAACTGTTTCTTACTAGTACTATATTATTGAACTAATACATTTTTATTCAATTATGTCCAGGACCATACATGAGCAGTCAAAAAGTACATGAACAAAGGCTGCTCAAAATTTTAGGTGGAACTAGCATATCTTTTGTGTACAGGAAGAAAGTGGATTTTTGAATAAACATGTTTCATGTTTAAAAGAGAAATTGTCAAAATTACCAACAAAATTTCACCAAACCCTATCATCATATCGCTATGTTGATCGGTTTTCTGCTTTTTCTATAAAAAAAAAGAGATGGTGACAAATTTTTAACAAAAATTGGTTTTTGAAATCCTTCATGTGTTACAATAATCTGCGCAAAGCCCTGTTTACTTACATCCTTGTACAAAAATAGAGCAACACCACAGACTATCATGAGAACAAACAAATATTTCACAAGAGGATATTTTTTCTTAGCAATTAACACACCAAGTATCATAACTAAAAAAAGGATTATTAGTTTTATCGACATGTGAAGTTATCTGTTCCTAATTCATAGATTTCTTTCCACAAACCTGGTATGGGCTTAGCAGATTTACCCAAAACCTACAATATAAACGTAAACACATATCAACAACACATTAATGTGAAATATAATTTGAAATACATATCTTGCACATGATACACAGCTTCGATAGGAAAACCTAGATCAAATTGGTTGTTTTATAAAGCCATGTTAAAGCCACTTATTTTGCAAAGCTAAAATGCTCATGTCAGCACATTCTTTTCTTGTTTATTTCTAACAAATCTGAAATATGACAGTATTACAGAAAACTATGGCTTCCTAACAAATCTGAAGTATGACAGTATTACAGAAAACTAAGGCTGATTCATCCACTTTAGTTAGCACATATAAAGATACAGGGATAGATACACAATGGTTTTTGCAAATGGGGGGGGGGGAGGGTGCTCTAATTTGGACTAGATTTTGGTGGCTACTTGTTGCCATATTGTGTCAGACTTTTTTTTTAAATTCTGTTACAACAGCTTTTGCTTAATTGTTTGATATATTAGTATTTTGTATGGAAATTGGCATCCCACCTCATCTAACTAAGGCTATTAGGGGTTCCCACTCCTCTGCTAAATCCATCCCTATTAGAAAATATTAAAAAATTACAATGAAAATTCACCTGAGTCGGATAGTTGATAAATTGTAGGGCAGCATTGCTTGCAAGCATAGCTCCAACATATGAGAACGCACACCATATATATAATGTATTAGGAGTTGTATCTCTTTCTGATCCATAGTAAGTGAACTTAATGACTTCAAAAAGAAGAAATTGATCATCATAATATTCTACAGAACAAACAAATAGATAACACTCAAAATTCTTTTCCCTTACCTGCAGTGGCAAACAGTGAATTGACAATGCATTGAATGAAAACAAGTGTCATGGGATAAACAAATTTTTCTTTTTCTTCACCATAAGGAAATCTTGTTCTATTTAGTTGTCAAAAAAGAAAAGATGGCTTCAGATCAAATTTTAAAAGAAATACTTCAAATCCATTTCGATAATATTTAATACACGTACAAAGTCTGGGGTAATCATGGAATTTTTACAACATTAAAGAGAATATTTCCATGTATGAACGGGGGAGGCGCTAGAAAAAAGGGGGTCTCGGGAGCCGGGTATTATTAATATACATTTATTGATGCTGTTCATTTTTGTATTTATTTGGTAATTTTATGTCATAAAATTGTAAGAAAATTAATAAACGTAGCCAAATAATCAACACTTTCAGAAATTGACTACTTACATTCTTTCTTGAATAATACCATAATAAAAATAGCAGATAAAAATCCCCGAGCAACAAATAATTAACTTCTTGCGACTTTGAGTCGGTAGATTGGACATACTTTCATTCACTTGCCCTTCGTTTTTGTTTTCTTCTACACCCGATATGTTCAAGTATACAGAGTTATCATTAACGGCCATTCAACTACAGGGTTACAGGATGTATTTTTCGCATGAATTGAATGAACGCGTAGTATTCTCATTGGCGGAGATACTATTTTCGTTTAAGACACGTGTAACAATGGTCGTTCTCTTTGTAGTGCATGGAATGTAGAGTCGACAAAGTCCGGTCCACCGGCTACGTCATTTATAAAGGCTAATGTGTGACGTCATATCAATCATTCATATTTTGATATTCAGTTATTCTCAATTTCTTATTTACTCAATGATTGTCATTCTTCATTTCAATCAATTGATGTCAGGTTGAGGTGCAATGTGTCAATGTCTACAAAGAAATAACAAGATATGGCCGGCAAATATCCTGCACATGCCAATGAAAATAGTAAACTTTTGAAATTAAAACAAAAGGTAAAGGTAAAAGTTAAGTATGTATCACTATAATTCAACATTCAGTGCCATAGCCAGCCCGCACGTTTTAGTCTGGCTATGTAAATTTAAGATGAACATTATTGTTCTTTTCTATAGAAATATATTTTTTTCACTGTGAGGAAACACACAAACATTTACATAGCAGGACTAAATAATCGAGCTACCTTCTGCCACTGCCAACATTGACATCATAATACTGTGGAATGCAAAGTGCACATCAGAGACAAGGAAGTGTGGTCAACGCCAGCCAACAATAAACAAATGTCAATTGTTCAGCCTGCTTATTGAGTCCTGCTATGCATAATTTACTGTGCTCACTCACTGTGAAAACAATAGATTTTTTAGAAATAATTATCATTAGATTTGCTCTGCAGGACTAAAACTTCTGGATGTAGTCAACCAGGATGCTATGCTAATTTTTCTGTTTACATTTTTTTTGTATTTGTGACATTTAATTATAATTTTTGTAGGAAAGTGAACTAAATGTCTTAACCAGTGAACTAGCATCTCTCTGCCCAAATGCGGTAATTTTTTATCATCATATTACCAAGCACATCATCAGTTTGGCTAACATTTCAACAGTTCATCAGCAATGACATTTAAAGTGCTAATGAGTAATGAGTAACAATAAGTTTTTATTTAACATTAGTTTTTGCGTGGAAAGCTTATTTCCAGTTATAGGACAGCTCATAAACAGATTTTGAAAAACTGGGAGATTGGATTCCAGGAACCAGATATTTTTCTGTATACCTTTTCTTGTATCTGTAGTATTCGTTGTGACAGTTATAAATAACGCATTGTTCTGACATATTTTTCAAAACATTCAATGTCACTGCCTGATTTGCAATATAAGTTTACCCTTGTTATAAATTTTTCAGAAAGTCTATATACGGCGAGTCGATGATGGTGTTCTTTTTCTGGAAGAAAAAACTGTAGCGGAAAAAAAAGTACATGGTACGTAAGCAAAATAATGGATTCTAGTCATTGAATTTTTCTTTGTTTACTGAGCAAAAACTTTTCGTTTTGAAAGATAGTATTGTTATGTATTTAAAAAGTCTACAGAAAACGTAATTTTCTTGATTAAGAAATTTATAATAGCAATATATTTTTTGTTAGATGAACTTGTTGATGTGAAGAGAGAAGTACAAAATATTATAGAGAAGAATGACATTTGAATCGGCTCTCATTTGACAACTTTTTACTAAAATTAAATTGACCATGGCCATATTGTATGTTTGCTCTGTGCACATGTTTCATCTAGATGTATAAATTTACTTTGATTTTGTTTTTGTAAAATACTTTTCACGTGTTGCAGTAGAGCTGTGCGGTTTCAAAAAGTTTCTCTCAGTTTGCCAACTCTGCAAACTTTTTTGTTTCGTGTCGTCTTTCGCAAAATATTTCCAAATTCCAAACGAACGAAAGTGCATTGTTCTCCCGAAATTGTTTTTTTCAAAACGGTTCTGCGAAACGTAGGCATTTTAGAAAGTAAAACCGAAAGTCCGAAACTAAATGTTCTTTGGCTTTAAAAGTGCCGATTTTTTTTCTTTAACAGATTTATTTTGCAGCTAATGCTTCACTTCAACGTGTAATAAACATGCATTCTTCCGTGTTAATGAAATTATCAATGGAAATTATGGTCAGTCATTTCCTAGTTAAAAATTAAAACTATATGTTTTTGACTCGACTATATACATGTACATGATAATAGAGGTATATAATTATGTAGTTAATCATAGCACTGATCAATCGTATAACAGTTTTATTTACCGAGGAATTTAGTAGCACTATTGTAAAATATACCAATGTATAGTGCAAAGTGCAACTCTCATTTACAGGTCTGCATAATTATTTAAAACTTTCATTCAGTAGCGAATCCAGTATTTGTCAAAATAAATTATAGCTCAGAAAAACCCTATTGGTTTTAAATTTCTAAAGAATATAATTTTACCAATGGATTTGCCTCTAAGGTGCTTAGAAATGTAAATACATTCCAAAATGTGCTGCAGTAATTTATTTTGACGTACTCTAGATCCGTCTCTGCTTTCAGCTTGCTTGTATATACATCATTACTAGTAAGGATTTTTGTGGGATAATGGTGTAAAATCCCAACAAAGTTTGTGATATATGTATAAAAATTAGTCGAAAAACTGCTTAAAGGACTTTTAGCTGACATTTTTGGGCTTTTCTATAAAATACAGACACTACAAGGTACAAAAGTCGTTTCCAGAACGTAGAACACCCCTTATTTTTTTAAGGATATGCTCCCCTTGCAGACGACCAGTCTTATGTGGCAGAGTCTAAGACAGATTTAGATGACTCTTGTTCACTGAATGTTCGGTATTCTCCCTGTGTAAATATTGCTCGCTCCAACGTTAAACTTCCGTGAACATGTCAGAGAGTAGTGTTCACGAACTTAATTATCTCTAAGTTTATACCAGTAGAAGACGTTAAATAGGATGTATGCAAGAGGATACGCAAATTTTGTTACTTTATCAATGTTTGATACTATTTTTATGTCTTCTTCTTTCTTTTCAACCTTGCTTTCCGTGTTTAATGTGCAACTGCTGCTGCTTGCATGCCGACTCTTGTAATTACCATTTGAATAGCGTGCAATCTGACTTTCGGTCATTTCGATACTGTTCTTTGATGATGATCGTCGACTGATAAGTTGACCATGCTTTTTGCAGAATGATTCTTTTTCCTGAAAAATAAAAATTACACTTTATCGTGTTCACCGTACGTAATATAGCTAAACACTTCAGAAAAAGAAATTTTTCCCCTGGATAATGGCGTTTATTTTTAATTGAATGAAAATTAATTTGTTGGGATTAAAATCAAATCTTTGATTTGATTTCCATCAATATAAACATTACAAATTGCTTAAGAAACCTACCCTATCTTCCGCGGTTTTCTTGTCAAACATGTTGAGTTTTCGTTGAATTGCAGTCTTCAAGACGTTATAGTTCAGTACGATAATGTATTCGAGCAATGTAACAAGAACAAAACCAAAAGATGTAAGAAAATATACATCTACAGCTTTCACGTAACTCACAGGAGGCATGTTTGAATTTGTTGATGACCAGATGGTAGCAATAGTTAATAAAGTGGTCAAACTAAGAGCAACACGTGCTGGAGTTGCTCGTGCATCCACCCAAAATGATAATCCAGCTAACACGACCAGGAATATGCAAGGGATATACACTTGTATTAAGTAGTAACCAATTCGTCTTTCAAAGACAAAGACTGCTTTTAGAATGGAATATTCTCCTGGAGTAACAAAAAAATCATTTCTTATAAGAGTTTTGGTAAAAAATGAGTTGTTTGCCTTGGTTGGACTGTATGGTGTTTTTTAAACCTTAAAATACTAGATACCAACTAAGATTTTTGTTAAAATTTAGATTTCGTAAATTTAATCGAAAAGTGATTGTAAGCGTAAATTAACGGCTGTTTTTGGTGTTATAAGCTAGGCGCTTATAAAAATCTTCATATTGAAGTTGCTAAGATTAACAATATTTCGGTTCCTTAACAATGAATGTGTTTTATACGTCAAGATTGAACTTTACATTCACATACATTACCTGCCGCGTAGGTTAAGTTATAGCTCTTTTTATAGAAATTGGTGACATCGAACTGACTTAAAGTTGTATCCATTATACCAACGGAGTTATTTTCATTCCACATATATGTTATTAAATCGGTCGTGTAAGCATCTGAATAACAATAAAAAAATAACATTATATAAATGGAAAAAATAAATAAAAAAAAAGAAAAGTTATAGGAACTTACAACTTAGCAAGTCAATGAAACACGTCTGCTTGTCTCTTGGATACTTGAGTAAGTTCATAGGGCACATAGCCTTTACTGTGACTCTTATAAAGAAAATAGAAATGAAGAAATGTTTTTGATAAGATTTTGTAATATGAATTGACATTCATTAAAAGAAATCTTTCTGATGGCTCCATTTATTAAGATGATCGCTTGCATTAATCAAAGTCCTCAACACATGTTATACAATAACAAAAACATCTACGTTTACTATAAAGTTCTGTACATAGTTTTGTACCTAGTGGACCAGAACACGTCACCATTAGGAGATATATCAATTTTGTGGTTATTTGTGAGGACTTCATGTAAGTATGAAGTAACAGCATTTTCTATCATGGTATCAGGAACCCAAATAATCTCCGCTGGATGTTTCTTTCCCAAAGTCATTGTTAATTTGCAATCCAAAGAATTACTAAGACGTTCGTCTCGCCACTTTGTTCGAAGAAAAAAATCCACAGTGTAAGTCTGCAAAAAATAGTAGTTACTTGGAAATTTGAAGCTGGATTATTTTGTTGTTACAAATGTTCCATGATAACATTATGCTTGAGAAAAGTCATTAATTCTTTCGGAGAAAGACAACTTGGCAGCATTGTTTTGAATGTTTATTCATTTGAGCTATTCGATTCGATAAAGAGTTTTTACAATGTAGCTGATTTATTCAATCGAAACAATTTGCCTATTCCCGTAATCTTAATTCTATTCCAACGTGATAGAAAAAATCGCATTATTCTGACATAGCTAGAAATGTAAATATCAAATTTATTCATTGACTTTAGGCCAATGACGGATAAGTTTATTCATAGACTGACCAAAAATTTTCACAGTTTAATATCATCCAGAAAACAAAGGAAACTAAAAACAGTTAATGTATTTCAAATCTTTGCATTACAACTCAACGGCAAAGTTGTCGTTACTAACAAAATGTTTTATTTTGTGGATTTGTTATGTTGTCAATTTCTTTGTTTTCACAATGCATTCGTGAAAATAGAGCGATTTAGTCATTTACAAATGAACACATCTAGTTAAAAAGACACATGTTCTTAAATTAAAATTACTTGTTTTACAACAAAATCAAATGATACATTCAAATTAATAAATTCCACTAGCTTTCCTCATTCCTCGGTCGTCGACTTTTGGATGCATTTCATTTTAAAATTTTTTACTGTAGCTCATTATAAGGTAAAGCCAACAAAACTTTGGACCAAAAAATGCCAAAAAAAACATCAAAGGCAAAAGTAGCTAGTTTCAAATAAATTATGAAAAAATGTCAGAAATATTTTTATAATTGATTTTTCTATCACGTCAAGTCATGCATGGTATTCCCTTGTAGTTTAAGAATGACACGAATGTGGTTACATGGAACTTTGATATTCTTAACGTAAGCTATAAGAAAACGAAAAAAATAAAATAACGCTATAACTAACCATATCAACTTCCGACATGTCTCGAAACACAAGCACTGTGATTGCCAGCTTCACTGCCAATGGTTTACCTAAAGTACATTTAAATTATGAATTACAACAATTGAGTCTTACAATTAAACGATATGTTTGCCATATGCTCAGCATTAAGGAATGCACTCACTCATCTTTTGAAAAAATTATTGCTACGTTGTTTTGTCAAATTTCATATTTTGTCTGATGTACAATTACTATTAGCTATATGCGAGCTGACTTTTTTTTTATTTAGAGAAGAAACACCATTAGCTGGGAAATTCTACAGTTTGATTTGATTCTTTTCTGATCAACTGATGTTGGCAAAGATTTTTTCGTAATCCTTGAATAAAGCTTACCAAAACTTGGTATCTTATGAACATTATATTTTGAATTCTTCATGATGTTGCGCATGACAGTTGATACCTCGCTGGACGACGCGCAATACTTCCTAAAATAAATGAAAAAGATATGTATGATCAAGTTCACATTCCTGGAAATCTGTCATAATTGCCTTATCGAACATTTCTAGACATTTTGACGCACTTTTCGTATGAAAAAATTGTATCATCTGAGCAATTGAGTCATTCTTTTTAAAATGGATAACTTCCTGAATTTTTTTTTGCGTCTGGTAAATAAAACTATTCATTTAACAGTCGTTTTCAAATTGCTATAAGTTGTGATGTCTAAGGGTTTGAATGTGTTGTAAGGGAAGTTTGAATCACTATTTAGTTAAAACATAGCTTTTCTAGTCTCGCTTTTAAAATTAACGAATCATGATTACGTAATTCCAGAAATATACTTCATTAAATTAAAGGCATTTTGTTTCTTATGCATGAGAATCTTATAAATTGATAAATGGGTTGATTATGAAATTATGATTAACATGTTTGTGGATGAAGATCGTCCAAGTTAGTAGAGTCTTGAGAAGGACTGCAATTGTTGATGTAGACTGACGTTTTGACAACCTTAGCGGTAGTCATCTTCAGAGTCAAGTGAAGGCAAAGATTATCACAAAACAATATTTCAAACAACTGATGGATATATAATAACAGTAAAACAGTGCACAAAAAAAACAAAGAAAAGTGTTGTTTTATGGCATTCGAAGCAGGAAATATGCTTTCCGTTTTTGAAAACCGAGAAGTTTGTGAGTCTCGACAACAAAAGCTACGCACATGATTAATGATGAGCTATCAGGCTATATCAGCTACCTATATGCGTGGCGACCAGTATCGTATATTCAGCCCACAAGTTTTGGTGCTGCTATGTAAATTTCAGATCATTGTTATTATATTCATTTTTATAGAAATCTATTGTTTTAGCAATGGATGAACACAGAAGACTTAATTTACCAACTCACCTAATAGCCAACCCACCTAATTGGTTAACGTGGCTATGCCCGTTGTGCCCAACCTGTGAGTTTGATTGTGCTATATAAACATCCATTACTGCTAAAAACAAAAGATTTCTAAAGAAATAAAAAATGCTGATGATCTGAAATTAACACACAGTAAGACAATAATTGCAGTTTTATGTAACTAAGACCATCAAATCAGTAAGGGATGATTGATGATTAAATTTTAAAAACCAATAAATTGACATTCTTGCATTTTTTTGAGTAGTACAACTTATTCATGTTTGCTATACTAATTCCGAGCAACTATTGCGTAGAATCATGTAGAATCATTGTCTGTTTTTTGACAAATACGTTAAAATGGGTGGTGGCGCCTTTGTTGGTCATTTCACGCACAGAATCTAGAAGCATGATTTTACAATCTGCTGCACGCAGCTCTTGTTTTTGGTGAACTAATTTTACGGCTAAAGATAAGTTATCTTCAAAATTTATTGATTTCCTACGATAAAAAGCGAAATTCAAGTAATACATGTGAAAAACAAAGGGTTGTATATGCACTAACCAATTATCATCACATATATGGCCCGCACATCAAGTGCGTCAAGACTCGAGAGAAAGAAAAGCAGACAATTAGTACGACACATTCGCCGATAATATTTCATTTTACAAAGAAAGTTGTGCGATCATTTTGGGGAAAATTTTGTACGTTGGATGCAGCGATTATGACTCTATTGCCATGCTCAACCATTCATCAATTCTCGCATCAAAACTTACATTTCTGAATTTTCATCATTTTTTTCACTTGCGTTTTCAGTCTGTTCAGCGTCATTGGCATGTCCAGTTTCATTTATGGCGACTGTGTTGTGAGATGCAGAAGTCGCAAGGGCTGAAGCCTTGCAAGCAACTAATATCGCCATTATTACATTCACTATCATCAACGATCTCATTCTGATGCACTCTGCAATTGAAGAAAACTATGGTATAGAAACAGATTTATTTACGTCATCAGAATATTTCAACGATGTGGAAATGATAAAAAAAGTTTCTCACACTTGAGGCTGTCAGCTGCTATCAGTCAGCAACATCTTTGTAGGTATTAGTCAACCTGTCAGACATCATGCAGCGTAATAGCTAATACTTTTTCCAAGGCGTTATTTTGACTTGTTCATGCCGATTTTTAATCACCAAATTGTTGTTGAGCACTCAAAACTATATACGTTATAAAGGCGAAACCTCATATAAGTAAAAACATCACTGTAAAAAAACAACAGTGAAAAACGATCCAAATCATCGCAGCAATGCTGTTAACTATGTAGTTATGATGATGTCGTTGTTTTGGGTTGAACAAAACATTTTACATGAATTTTTTTGGTGTCACGCGTTCAGTTGTCAGTAAGAGTCGGAATACAATTAGTGAATCGTCCACTTTTTTTTACTTTTAGAGCTGTTTTGTACAGCGTACAAATGATCATTTAATACAAAAAAATCACCACATATAGCCATAGTATATATGAACTTATAGTATTACAGAAAAAAGGGGAGATGGCTGAGATTTGTTACGACATAATTATCTACCAAATATGAATGATTTTTCCGATGGAGTCAATCCGACAATGGCGATGAGCATTAGCTACCAAAATTGTCTCTTTAGACATACCAAATCATATGGCGCATTGTGTGAGAAACTAAACATAAACTCTGCCTACAGGTATATAGCTACTTATCCAGATATATTGTCCAAATATATCAGAATGACTTATAGTGTTTGGTAGTGGTAGTAATTTACAGTCACAGAAAAGATAGAGATCGTTATCCCTAAACGAGGTTATAGTTAGCACTGATTAGTCCAGTTTGAATTTATCTTTATCACATTTGTCTTTATCGAAGCACGTGCATCCAAGAATACTTGAAAAAGAAATTTCATAATTTTGTTTTCTGCTTTGCTGTCGTTTAATGGGCCAAGCATGAGTTATAATCCAACACTGATTCAGAAACACAGTTTCAGGCTTCAGTTTTATAAAGAACAGGCAACATGGTGCATGTGGAATCTATTATTTTTAATAACACATGCAATTAAGCGTTCATCACGACGCAACCATCACGTACTTAACATAAGATATAAAATGTTGAAATGAACTAACATAATTTATTTAGTATGAGTTATAACACTCTTGTAGCTGCATTCAATAATTTCTCTTCTTTTACTGCACATACTGTATATATGCTTAATTTTTCTGTTTTTCAGTGAAGCATTTTTTTCCAGAGTCGTTCCTACTATTGACGTTGATATTAATCCCACTGTTTCATAATCCCGCTACTCCATTATCTTCTTCACACATAAATGGTGTGAAATGTGAATGCTCTTAAGCTATTACCTTTACATAAAAGTGTACAAAAATTTTCCGTTACAGATCAATCGTCATGCATAGTTGCCAAAATTAACTTTCAGATCAATTTTTGCCTATTTTTTATGCCTATCTTTGCCGCCACTGAGCTTATCATCAAAAGAACTTTGACATACTTATGTACCTCACCTTTCAGAGATATACTCTTCTCTGGATTCTGTTTCCTCAGACGTCTGCTTTCAAAAACATGCAAAAAGGAATTGAAAAGCAGCTTTGTAACATACTTCTTTTTGCATGTTTTCAAAACAGGAAAATACATTTTTGTCATTGTTTTTTATCAACAGGACTAAAAAAGTGATAACAGTCTACAAACAAAGTGCTTCCGCTGTATAGCATTTGTCTTTATCGAATGTTTCATCGAATATAAATATGTTTTAATGCCTAAACTCTGAAATGAATGCATAATAATTGAAGCCAGTTCTAAATTTTTTTCGTAAACACAAAGAAAAAGTGGAAACAATTGAAAAATCCAAATTCCTTAGCGCATTTACACACGTCAGTCAAACATATTGACCTTGTGTGTCTGTGTTGCGTGAGTTGAAACAAAACAAGTTGTGTGTGTTTGAACTTTGAACGAACGCTTAAATTGTAAACATAAATCTGTTCAAAAGGAAATTACTTAATTACTAATCTCGTTGACAAATACTTACGAATAATAGTTACACTAATAATAGTAGATTAATTTTATGCTTTGATTCTAAAGTTAGTTCTAATAAATTTATAACAAGAGGGAGACAGATTAGTGAGAGATAGCAGAAAAGGATTTCATTTGACAAGCAATGTGCCCTCCCTTTGATGCACAGTGAGAAAAAACGCCATTAGGTAAGAAAAGAAAATTAGAACAAGCGAAGCTTGGTCATTTATCAGATGACGATTTCATTACAAAAGTTGGCAAAAGAAAATTATATGCGTATGATAAGTAAAGAAATTTGGAAAACTGTAAAATGAAAAGATAATTTCATGAAAAATAACCACAAATACATTCCACTAATTTTTCAAGTTCTTTCTGTCAAACCACAACATTATATTTATTCAATTATTTGTTGTATTTGATCCAGATCTACGGCATATTGTAGAGCATATTTTTTCTTTCTAAATTCACGTGATTATTAATTGAGGAAAGCGCTGAAATATTTATCTACTTTGCTGCTTTATAAAGCATTTTAGGTTAAGGAATTTTTTAAAAAGGTCATAATATTTCGCTGGTGTTTTTTTTTGGTGCAAATGTTGCTACAGATTGATATTTCATATTGTAGTAATCAACAGTTCGATTTCTTTGTTTATATTCCCTTATGAAATGAGGTAAACTGATACTTTATGAAACTGATCCTAGCATAATGAATCAATGCTACTTAAAACTATACGTTTGATTTTGGCAATCAAAATTTCACTAAATTTAGCAAGAAAAGGATGTCTATAAAAATGAGATGGATGCACAATTAGCGAGAGTTTATTTATCATCATTGGGACCTTTTAATGGTGTTTGAAAAAGCAGTCTAGATTTAGTCTAGATTTAGTCTAGATTTTGAATGATAAAACAATTGCCGACTGAAGCAAAAGCAAACTTTACGTTTTTTATATTATTGAATTCTCAAATCATCATGACTTTAAACACCGGTTTGAAACTTCAAGATGATCAAATTTTCTGCGATGTTTGACAGTTTACGTGAGAGGCACGCATTAATGCAAAGACTATTTTAAAATCAAAGTACAAAAAAGCAAATTAAAAGTCGGTTAATATTTAAAAATGAGTTCATGTTTAAGAATTTTAAATTTGATTCACATACATACACATCCTTCATTCTTACCAATTCATCGAAAATTTCTTGTTCGTGGAAAGCACGTCATTGCTAGATAATAAACAGCACATTCGCAATGGCGATGAAATCTATAATTTCAACAATGAAACAAAAGTTCTGCTGACTTTATTTGTTGAGGTAGCTAATTCCCTTTGTTAGTTTATAATAGACATTCTGTATTTACGTTTCTATTTTAGATTATTTTCCATTTTAACATTCCCTTCGTAAATTGATCTATTCGCGAGCAGTTTGTTTTTTAAGATCGTTATATGATGAAAAACAGCTGATGGAGAAAAATTAATTTCAAATTAATCTTTTACTCAGTGTGTCAGTGGCTGAAAGCATTTCTGTAGCGGAATCAGCTGTTTGAAATTCATTAAGAAATAAATGTCGAGATAGAATCATCCAAGTCTAATGCTATCTTCATCACGTATGCACATTTATAACTTACATTATTTTTTAATTACTTTATACGTTATAGCGTAATCAATACAAATAATTTGACACTCTTTGTTTTGAACGAAAGAAACATGCCACAAAAATTCTCCTTGCAACGGCGTAAAACGTCGACAGTGCTTCATTCGTTTATTACATGAAGTTTTGACTGAGACCAATTTCTATCCAAACAAATTTATTTGTAACTTTTCCATGTTAATTAAAGTTGACTAAGTTGTTGTTGCTATATATATAGCGCACATGTCTGCATGCAAAGCCCAATTGCCTGCAAACATGTTAACTTCTCATTCCATCACGAAATTAGTTTAAACATGCTTAGATTAAAAACAAACATATGATGAAAACCTATTTTTTACGTTTCAAACATGTTTTCCACACGCTAATTCCTGTTTCGTGTGTTTAGAATTTGTTTAATTAGCAAATATGTATTTCTGCTGTCCATGCGTAAGATTGTAAGAAGTTACCTCAGTTAAAAACAGATCTTGAAATTCTCACAATTGTACATTATTGTAAACAGTTATCGAGTCTTGATTATTTCAGTTTAGCTCACGGCAGAGCATTATGAAGGCTGTATGCTATTTGAATACACATTGCCTTTGCTTGTTGAAATTTTTAACGATCTAGCTTGTTCCAACACAATAAAAAATTGTCATTAGAAATACCAATTAGTGTTTAATTGATTCACCATAAGTTAACTTTTGAATGTAATAGAAGATATTGATAAACGATTATTTTCTTGCAACCCTTTCCGAGTTTTATGAATGGATTCATGTTTTTGTTAATAAGGTCTTGCAGCTAGTCTTTTTTAAGCTGTGTTTTCTCAAAGTCATCTTAGTAAAAATTTATATTTATGCTATGTAAAATTTGTATATATGCTATGGGTGCATTATTAAAGTCTATACATGCACTCGTGTGTCTGCGTTCATTTTGAAAACAAATCTGGCTTGTCGACTAGTAACAAAAAACATAATTTTATCAACAGTCGTGCATAAATAAATGTGTTTCTTTTTCTTTAAATTGAGTAATAATAAAATAAAAACAGTAGCAATAACAAGTGAATAATTTCCTCACTCATCAGGAAAACACCCTATAGGTGGACAATTCAGTCATAATCATATAATCAATGAAGAAACGTCATGTTACGTAACTGTCTGGGATTTACATATATTAGGAAATTTCAACCGTTGCCGAATTTTAAAACACCATGCTTCATTTTGTTGTTACGCCACAAACCTGCTTGGATTTATCAACAGTTTTTTTTAAAAAAATGTGTTATAGTCACTTTAGGGCATTAAACAATTACTGACGTTAGAAATTACAGACTACGCAAAATTTTGGTATCTATATTAACGTGCATGCATTAAAAAATATGGGTTTGTTCGGACCAAAGTTCAGCCTAACAGCTACAAATGTAATATTTGAAAATTGAAGTGATTGGCTTGAATATATAGTCAGGATTGAGTTTAATAATGTCAATGCGATGCAGACAAATCAGTTATTCTATTTCGAACATCTTGTTTTAAAACGTCAAAAAGCGATCACCTGACCTTTGTTTCTGCCATAAAAATGATTTATGTTTGTCAAACGAAACATGTTTCTATTTATCCATATCTCATTAAGTGATTTGTCGATTGAATATTTCATAAAAAACTGCAATAACACAACAATCAACACAGAAGGGATGAAAACGCATACAATGCAGGAAAAAACTTTAATATCTCGCTCTCATTCACAATGCTTAGAGTTTAGATGAGTTTAACATAAAAAAATCAACATGATGATTTTCATAATGATTACTCAGGAATATTTAAAATTTTTTGGATACAATTACGCATCAGTCATCACAGATAAAGTCGGAATTCGTGTATTTTGATAAAACTATTTAACGGATTAGAAACGGAACTTGTGTTTTCCTGAATTTCTGGCGTACAATAACAAATTATTTGAGTGTACTCGAATTTTCTCTGAGGCAATTTGGAGATGTGAACGTTTCTTGGAGGAACTTTCGTCATGCATCATCGTTATAAATTTCACTAACAATAAGATAGCTACACGTTTGTAGACGTAGATCGTCCAGGTTAGTAGAATTCCGAAAACTGTTGGTGTTGATATTGATTGACGTTTCGACAACCTTAGCGGTAGTCATCTTCAGAGTCAAGACTACCAACCTGTACGATGTACATCAACAAACATGTAACGATACTCGAGGGTTCAAGCCATTTACTTTAACAAGATAGTGTTTGGCAAAATGGTTAAAGTATTGTGAACAAAATTTATTCTTCACTTGGCAGACATTAAAGCTCATCCTTCCCATCCATTATTTTCTTTATGAATTGTTCTTATATGAGCACAGACAGATTATGAGGAAACAGCTAAAAAATACGCTTTTTCAATTTTATCTAATAGTGTAGGAGCTGAGTTAGGAACAAATTTATTTATACAGGCAGAAAATTATATTACTTGAAACGCGAAATGGAAAAATCGTTGGAGGGCCTAGTTACTTTAAACGAGAGTTGAACAGCAACGAGTTACTTTAAACGAGAAAATCTTTAAAGATTAAACGTGTGTGCTAAATATTCATTCGGCCACCAGCGATAAATCGATAGAAAGATTTTGACTATAATTATATATGGTGTATTCTAACCATGATTCTAACTACCAAGAAAAATATTTGTAATCTGAAAATTTTTAGTCTTTTGTTTACGATCATTTAAGCAAAATATAACTTCCATGATCTTTGATTTGAGCAGCGAAAGCAATGTTGAAATAAAGTATCATCACTATCTGACCGACTGCCACTCGTTTTTCAGACTTAAATTAATTCAATAAATGTTGAAGAATTTATAGAAAAATAACTATCTGGAAATCCCATAAGACCTTCAATATACCTTGAAATGACAAAATTTCTTCTTCCAAAAAAAATATGCTCGTAGTCAGACTTAATGATGTTCAAACATATTATGTTCTTCTAGCGAACTTCTCTCTGCGTTTAAAGTAAACTCAAACCAGTCGAGGCAAATAAGGTTAGCTGACAGAATTTGCCCGCCAGAAAACTGGAATGTAACAAGATTTTAACAGCATTATAACACAAACACTGTTTATAACACTAATCATGAAAGAATTGACGACGGGACATCGGTAAATTCCATCCCACAGGCTTTATTACCAATCTATAATTAATAACGCTTGAATTACATACTACATATGACTGAAAAAATACCCTTCCTCCCCCATTGTCATTCATGTCTCATAAAAAACGATCAAATTTTCATTACTTTTATTACAACTACAGTAGCCCTTTAGTATAACGTCACAAACACTAAAACAATACAATATTATAATAGACAGAGTACATGCAAGACAGACATAGTTTTCCATGTTCTTCGATCGTCATACGTCAAACGTCATATGCTGTTTCTAAAAAAGATTTATTATATTATAATAGGCTTCAATCGATTTGACAAAGCCGGTGTTGTGGCCTCCTACGTATTTAATAATAGCTACATTCCAGAGTATTGGGTTTAAAAAGTAATTTTGGAAAGTGCTTGTTTTTCAAAGAGGTACAAATATCGCTTATAAAATGTGATTGCATATGTTGAGCTTTCACTATTTATTCTTCTAAAAATGGCAGGTTTTCACAAATTCATTTATTGATAAATTTGTGATAAAACACAAACGAATGAAACAGAAAAAATCTTATTAAAATGTCTTCATTCAGCCATGACATGCTCTATAACTCCTAAATTTGTTTATAAAAACACATAGATTCCCTTGAATCTAGATGAACCTAGTGTAGGCTTTCCTTTAAACGACTATTGTTTTTCTTCGAGAATATTTGTCAATAAATATGGACCAATATCTGACAAACTCTATAAACAAGCTTGGTTATAAGGTTAATATACGGCTAACATGCTAAAATCACGATATCAGCATGTGAATTGCTGCATCATAGTTCTCTGTCTCGCCTTATGGAGTGAACAGCAGTGACGCAGATTATTTATACGCATGATAAAAGCAAACAGTTTACCGTTTGACCCAGAAGTTATGGAATTTGCGTAACTAACAATAGATATTCTTGAATTCACGGAATATCGAATGGTTATTGAGATAATAATGTGGTTCGACTATGAACAACCAGTTGGCAGGTGCACTGAACTGAATATAACTGGAAAGCAACCTCCCGCCAAAATTGGAAGCCAGCAATTAAACTAGTCCCAATCTTTCCAAACACGGCCCAAATAAAGTTCATCTACAACAATAAGCAATAAGCTTGAAAGCAGGATTGGCTTCATGAAAGTACAGGAATGTTTACATAAAGGTACCCTTCCAGTTATATATATATTTCAATGGACAGGTGTTGTACGCACATCAGCTGGGATAGTTATAATGATGAAATTTTTGATATTGTTAACAGCCGAAACCCTCATTAGAGGCTTTTCAAAATAACCTATATATTAAAAATTGATCTGTTTAAAGCGGGTATGAATGCCTGATTATAATTCCACGTTATATGTTTTAGAGAATCTTGCAGAGACACTAGCTATTTTTTTGCAAGTGGCATATTGCATGGCACATTTGCATGGACGATCCTTCATTTAATGTGTATCTAAATTAAGAAGTATTGTATGGTTGTGTGAATTGAGAAACACATCAATTATGACTCGGATGTCGTAGCATTAGAAAGATTTTGTACTTCACAAACGTTTGTGGCGTATGAAGAGCGTCTGAACAATGTGACAGTCAGACAGTAAGTATAATAAACAGCAAAACAACCTCACTGTGTAACTGTTGCTACATATTTAATTTAATTACTGATGTACGGCTGAGGTTAGCCAGCTCAATAATCCAATAGAACAGAAAAGGTAATTCATCAATGATGATAATAAGCTTTGCGTTACACGGAACATTTCAATGCATGCAGTAGTTTATAACTCTCTGGTGTGGAGATGCAAATTTAAATGACTAAAGATCACGGATTTGAAAAAGGGAACACGGATCTACATCTAAGGATACTTCTTTGTGTTTTTAAATCACATTATCTATGAATCAATCATGTAGCTATATTCGTTATATGACCACAAAGGTTGGCGTTTCGATTAATTTTTCATAACCTAAAAAAATTTCTTATCATTTTTAATGTAGTAGAATATTTTTTAAAACGTCGAAAAAAGTACTATTACAGCCAAAAAACAATATGCCATTTTTGAAAGATTCATTTTTCGACTAAGTATGTGATATCGAAGTCCATAGAATAATGAGCTGCCCTTTTCGATTAAATTTGTTCTCGCATAAATTTAAAAAGATAATATATTTGGAAAACATTCAAACACAGACAAAATGTCTATAAGAAGTGTCACGTGTTCCATCTAATATTTCTATGTTTTGAAATCTTTTTGTAAATTTCTCATTTTATTGTTAGGTATCTACCTTCTAGCTGAAAAGTTTGGTACGTACATATGTTGGAAAGAAAGATTGATCATCCCAATATAAATGTTAAATATGGAGATTTGATAAATGTTTAAATCTACAGATGAGTTTGAAAATCTTAGATAAAAACATTGGTTTCAATGCCTTGGAGTGGTGATCAGCAGAGTAAACGAGAACTATTCAAGCAAACGTACAGATTATTAAAACGTGAAAAAAAAGATGCATCCACTGCAGCCTATTTCATCGTTTTAGATTTCTAGCTGGTAGCTAGAAACTATTTAAATCTTCCTATCTCGATAACTACAATTTGCGTCTAGTAAATCAAAAGTCAAAAACTATTTATGTACGATCAAAGTTGTGGTAATTGAGATGTATGATCAAAGTTGAATTTGCATGCACGTTCCACCGTAATTTGAACGAAATTAGACCAGTTAAGCATAGAATTATAAAGCGTATTAAATAAATATTTATTCTAACGATTATCCAGTTTTAAACCTTTCAATCTTTTAAGGAGATTATTCCATGAATTAAAAATTCGAAGAGATACTCAAATCGGATTCGACCTTTAGATACTAGGCATCAAAAATAGTTAAAATACCATGCACTTCTTAAAATATCTTCGACCACCAAAGTGTAAAATTGAATCACTCTGCAAATCAATTTCATTGACCACTTAGGGCAATTTACAACAGTTTGAAATGCGGCGAAAAATCATACACGAATGTTTATACGGGGATTTCTTTCAACACAATTCAACGCGTGGTGGCATTGGCCAAATAATTTCAACAGTCAAAATAATAAAAACTAAAAAAAAGTCAATCGTAAATAAGTACGGCAAAATGATGTATCAATTGGTTGGACGAGATTATCAAAAAACCTGAGCCATTTCTGTTGCTGTTTTTCATTTGTGTAACGTGTATTTTATTGTTAGTAATAGCAAGGAATTATAATTCCAAATATAAAAATGTTATAATTTCACACACCATTTTACACGTTAGACTGGCATGAAAAAGTATGTGCCTGCATGCTTATGAGATATAGTAAATATCATCTAATTAAATTATTTTCTTAAAAAGGCGCCAAAATAACCGTTAAACATTGCATTAAATATCAGGCTTCAAAAATCTTGGTTTGTCAAAACACAGCTCAATTCGAGATCACAATTGTTAGGAACTTTTACTATGCACAAGCAATCCTTACTTGTGCTAAATCTTTAGCGAAATCAATAGGATCTCAAGTTAAAAGATAACATTCTTACAACATTACACGAAAGTGTCGTTAGAGAAAAAAGAAGTTTTATTTGAATGTGCAAAAAGCACATAAAGTCATGAACCAACCACTCGCCTGTAAATTCTCGCTGTTAAGCTTCCTCAAATTTTATATGTTTTGATTTTTGTTTTCTTTCACCAGCCATGGCTTTCTATACAAGGAATAGGAAAAAAAACAACTAATTACAATGACGAAAAGTCACGGTTATTGGTCAAAACTTGTATTTGGATTGAAAATTCAAACATGGACACATACTACTTGCTATTAATAAATTATTACGACGCCACAATTCTTTTGGCTATCAAATTTCTTATAATATTCTCGTTATACGCAGATTAAGCAAAAGTACTTGAAAAAATGGCTTTCTTCTTTAAATAATATTTTATACTACGGGATAACCGTCAAATGACAAAGATTATTTTGGTAAAAAACGTTTTAAAAAGTATTAAGTGTGCATTTTACATACATATCCAGGAAAACTATAATCTATCCCCAATTCTTCAAGCTTAGCTCTCTTCCTTCCTTCTTTTGCAACCAGTTTACCAATTCGTTTCGCGTTTTGTTTAAGACTACGTGGCTGCAAAAGCCAATGCAAAATGAAGAAAAAAATTCCACTCAAGAAATATCTAAAGTAAAAGTAGTATTACCTTATTATGTATGTCAGTGTTAGTTGGTCCACTTAACTTGGAACGAAATCTTCTGTTACATCCAGCCCATAAACGTGGATGAATCTTTTCTTTTGAAACAACGTTACCTGTTTGGATGAGAAAATTTTTAATCAGTAAAACAACACATTAAGACGAAAGTGAAACATCAGTTCACACAGATACTATCAAATAATTTCAACGTTTTCACAACATAATTATGTTTGCATGAAGATATCAATGAAGCCAATAATAGCCCAAGCATAAAATTGATGCATTAGGGACAAAACCTGGGTAATTTTTAAACAGTTTCTTCAATTTTTATTTGAATTGCCTTGTGTTCGACTGCCTTTTATGTATATTACATAGCAGTGTTTAGATTTTTACTCAAGGAAAACCTGAGATTTACTACCACCTTTATTACAAAATGGTCGTAAATAAACGGTCATGAAGTCATGTTAGATGTAATTTGCTCCAGTAAAACCTGAGATTTACTACCACCTTTATTACAAAATGGTCGTAAATAAACGGTCATGACGTCATGTTAGGTGTAATTTGCTCCAGTAAAACCTGAGATTTACTACCACCTTTATCACAAAATGGTCGTAAATAAACGGTCATGACGTCATGTTAGGTGTAATTTGCTCCAGTAAAACCTGAGATTTACTACCAGCTTTATTACAAAATGGTCGTAAATAAACGGTCATGACGTCATGTTAGGTGTAATTTTTTCCAGTAAAACCTGAGATTTACTACCACCTTTATTACAAAATGGTCGTAAATAAACGGTCATGACGTCATGTTAGGTGTAATTTGCTCCAGTAAAACCTGAGATTTACTACCAGCTTTATTACAAAATGGTCGTAAATAAACGGTCATGACGTCATGTTAGGTGTAATTTGCTCCAGTAAAACCTGAGATTTACTACCAGCTTTATTACAAAATGGTCGTAAATAAACGGTCATGACGTCATGTTAGGTGTAATTTTTTCCAGTAAAACCTGAGATTTACTACCACCTTTATTACAAAATGGTCGTAAATAAACGGTCATGACGTCATGTTAGGTGTAATTCGCTCCAGTAAAACCTGAGATTTACTACCAGCTTTATTACAAAATGGTCGTAAATAAACGGTCATGACGTCACGTTAGGTGTAATTTGCTCCAGTAAAACCTGAGATTTACTACCAGCTTTATTACAAAATGGTCGTAAATAAACGGTCATGACGTCATGTTAGGTGTAATTTTTTCCAGTAAAACCTGAGATTTACTACCACCTTTATTACAAAATGGTCGTAAATAAACGGTCATGACGTCATGTTAGGTGTAATTTGCTCCAGTAAAACCTGAGATTTACTACCAGCTTTATTACAAAATGGTCGTAAATAAACGGTCATGACGTCATGTTAGGTGTAATAGCATAGGCCAAATAAAAAAATTAAGACTTGACTAAATTCAATGCATTTAAAATACAAAAAATCAGTCGTACATTTGAGCAGTCTACCAAACATCATGTAGTTGTTCATTGTTTCTGCAACAATCTTAGCAACTTCATCACAAGCAAACTCTACAAATGCATAACCTTTTGAGCCACCAGTCTGAAAAAAAAACATGAAATTTTAATAACGAATAAATTAGTTTGATACGTAAAATAAAAGACCAATTAAGAAAAGCAATTGTTTGTTCAGGGGCAAAATTTTCTGAAGGGTGCAGGGGGGTTCACACCCCCAAAATTCTCTAGCACCTTTGCAAGAAAAATTCTAAACTGGTGTTATGTACGGTAGATGATTAATATAACAGTATTAGAAGCTATGAAATTGTACGTAAACGAAGAACTTTTCATTTCAAAGGCAATTACATATTTCAAATTAGTACAATTGTGCATCTCCCTTGGAAAATCTGCACCCATCCTGTCAAATTAGCATTGATATGCCACTGAATTTTTAATGGCTTTATGTGACATAAATAAGCAGACATATACTTATAAATAATCATGTGAGAGCATTGTTACTAATTTATCAAATATAACCAAAGACTCGAAAATTTCCAAAGTGCCAATCTTCTTAACCACTGAAAGGATAACTAAACAAGTTGATTGGACGTCAAAATAATTTCACTTTTCAATTCAAACAAAAAAGTTTCTTTTGAAACAATATTCGCACTAGGCTGGGGCAGTTCTTGAAAAAGTTTTCAAGAGCTGCCGTAAAAATCAGCTTTGGTAGTCAGGGTCAGCATGTTTATTAAATTTATTTCCTCTACATCTCAGTATGTATTCTTCTGAAGGCATTGCTATTAAAAAGTACATTTGATTGTTGGCTGTGATGGAGAACACTTATTGGTTCCATCATTTTCCTCAACAGTCTGGTTTTACTGTAATCTCAAGGTGCAAATTACGGATAAAAAATGCATCACAAATTCAGTTTTGAAACTTTCCTAGCCCCCCCCCCCTTAACCCAAAAAAATCATAGCTTGTTTCATACAAGACTGAAATTTAACTTAAAGAAAACATATCAAGAAGTAAAATGCATATTGTCGTCGACAAATGTTCATGCAACCCTCAAAAATTAGGAGACGTTTAAAATTTTCATGATTCAAACATAATAAATGCTTGGCATTTGCAATGTGCAGTAGCAACAATTCATATCATCTGTTTGTACTTGTACGTATGTTTATTTACAAACATCTGCAATTCAGTACAGTAACTACTTGTCTTTTTGTGGTTTAATGAGCCATTGTCATCAAATTGGTTATTACTAAATAATGGCATACACCACAGCATTTTCTCTACATACGGAACTACCATGTGTTTGAAAATCTTAGGAGAATAAAAAGACACACAAGCAACTAAATTACTTCCAAATTTGTCTAGTTAATATTTAACAAAACAAACATCATATATAAACTTACTTTTTTACTTCTTGACAATCTAAGTCTGTTGACTGTGCCAAATTGTGAAAAAAACCCTCTCATTTCACGCTCATAAAAACCATGAGGAATATGACCAACATACACAATACCAGGAGTCAAGTCATCTTCTTCCTATAAAATATTATTAATATTTTATATATTATTATATTTTATATTATTGTATATAACATACACTATAAATCCATCCAATATTAGATTTCAGATTCTGGTCAAAATCTGGAACTTAGACAATTTTGATTTTACAATACCTTCTTCTTTTTTTTCCTCGATTTTTCTTCAAATTCTTTCTGTTTTTCAGCATTTAAAGACAAACTTTCCTCACTTATTTCGTTTTGTTCTTTCTCCGCCATCTTGCGCATGTGGTTTTCAGCTGAGCTTCAAGGACTGCAGGCTCAATATCGTGAAGGCTAGTTGTCATGACAATAATGTGGCGTCACCAAAAAATTCATTGACAGAGAGAAGAAGGTAATTGTGAAAATGGCTAAGTACGTTATAGCAGGAAAAACTGATTGCCCCTTTTACGCAAAGGCGGAAATGCTTGGTGATGAGTTGCAAAAAACTTTACGCAATTTCAAGTTGTGGAAAATCCCAGTTAGCCCGGAAAAATGGACGGAATGGTTAAAAAATACGTGTGAAAAACATGAGTGGGAGCACACAACTTCTCCATTAATTTGGCGCGAACTAGTCGATCGCGGTGGTAAAGGATTATACCTTGGAGGGTGTGATGAATTTATGGAAATGGCTGAATCTTATTACGGGATACGCTCAACAAAAATGAGTGAGGAGTTACTTGCAATTTCAAAAGAAAATCAATTGACAAAACAAATGCTTGACCAGGAGAAAATCGATGCAGAAAAAAACATAAATCCAATGCGAATAACCATTGTTTCAGCTGCTTCCCGAGCGCACTACATCCTCTTCAAGTCATTGCTAAATGGCGAGATATTTGGTTTTGAGCAAGACATATGTTTGACGTTATATGATTCCATTGATAACCAGGATATTTTGTCCGGTTTGACGATGGAGGTAATCGATTGTGCATCGCCTTTACTAAGGACTGTTAATCACACTTCCGACATCAATGATGCATTTCATAATACAGATTTAGTTTTAATTCTTGATGCAGAATGTTCTACTGAAGATGATGAGGTTTTGGTGCGCAGTGCAACTCCATATAAGCAATATGCTGAAATGATTGAAGCTCATGCCAAAACCAGTGTGAGAATCCTTGTCTGTGGTAAGACATCAAATCTTTTTGCAAGCGTCATGTTAACATTTTACCGAAAATTGAAAAGCAAAACATTCTTGCTCACTCAAGACTTCAAGAAAATCAAGCAAAGGCAGTCTTGGCTAGAAAATTGAAGGTTAATTCCTGTGGCATTTTAGATCTTGTAGTTTGGGGATGCCCGGGTAATGATGACACATTTGACATCAGTATGTCAAAAGTAAAAGGTTATGATGGCGCAATATGGTCACCACATATTGAAACATTCTCAAGATCAGTAATGGAGTTGCTTTATGATGAAAAGTGGATTGGTATTGAATTTTTCAATGAGATTAAGTTGCATAATGATGCACTTCAAGAAAGCCACAACCTTTTCCCAAGTCTTTCTAATGCTGCAGCAATAGTTGATTTTTTAAAAGATTGGTGGAAATGTTCCACCAAGCAAATCATATCACTTGGAATAGTCTCTGATGGTTCATATAATGTACCAGAAGGTGTTATATATTCCTTTCCTGTTCACTTTGATAATGGCTTCTGGAAAATTTCAAGTGGACTAGATATAAATGATGAAATCTCATTTCGAATAAAACAAATTGGAGAGAATTTGAAGACAAAGGCTGACATGGTCGTTCAAGCTTTATCAAAACCATCAAATGAAAACATGTAATAAACAATATATGCTGATTTTTTATAGAACTTATAAAAAATTTGGATTTTACCTCAACTACTTAGATGTGCACTAGCTTTTGATAATCTCATTGAAATATTAATTCAAAAGTTCTGTTCTGTCATCTGAGAAATGAAATGTTGATGTTCTTTATGACAATACGATTTGATTTATGACGCACGCGTTGCTTTTGGCAAAAATAGGTACGTGGAACGTACATATGCTCAATGAATCTCCAAACGCACAAAACAGCGCTTTTCATAATCTGACGTCCAGAGTGAAGTCGGTGATTTTTTAAAGCAAATCACAAGGGTAGTTTTAAGTATTTATTTTGCATGACTTGCGACGATGCAAAAACATGTTACCTTAGTGTATACTTAACTTAAACCAGGAACTTTTAAAGTATCTATCCTAATACAAAATAATCAACATGAGACCGAAGCTATGCATTTTTTATTCTCAGTTACGATTACTACAAAAATAAGATTATTATTATAAACAATTGATATACAAATATGGCTTAGCACGAAGCTAGGCAATTGTGAAAGGTTGTAATTAATAATAATGTTGATATATTTATACTAAGTGTAAAATACGTTTATTAAAGAATAATTTAATTGCCAATCTTTCATTTCCACATTATCGTCTCGACAAACCAAATAGATCAACATATGACATACTTGACAGCTGTGTTTTCAAAATGGTCGTCATTACAACATTTGTATCATTTGGTTGATGACCGAACAATTTTTAGCATTGCTAATAATATGAGGTAAATCTGTCCTACACTTTACCAGTTCACTAATTGCTTTGAAAGCTGGTAGCTTGTCTTCATCTCAGGAATTCATTCATTATTGTTGTCACTTTTCAGTGTTCAAAGTAAACTTGAAAACTCTGGAAGCGAGATTAAGACATGGTAGCTAACACTGAAAAAAGTTGCCCAATGCTTCTCGCACTGAAATCGATTTCCTAAACCAGGCTTGATCAGTTTTATAGAAGCTCAACTTTCCAAAAACTGAAATGGCACTTTTTTGCTGAGAAAATTTACCTTTCGTTCACAAATAAAGTGATCTGTCTCACTAGAGAAAAACTTTTATTGAGGTAATCACCTGGCTCTTTACAGCTTTCATAAGATGGTGGTTTGTAAAACACCGAACTTCTGTCCTTCCATGAATGATGACAACATTCACCCGATTTTGTTCAACAGACAGACGTCGTCGGAGCTTAATTTAGAAAATTAATCAAAATACAAAATAGTATAGCGTGCATGTATGAATGGTATTATTGGTCTATATTCGTTCCTCACTGTAAGTACCTATTTACGTAGATATAATGAATCCACCTTTCCGACGGTAAAAACATGTGTCAAAAATACAAGATCAAATTACAAAATTCGGACAGTCAAATGGTCGGACATAGTATTGCATTTGCATAGCGTGGAGGGGCCGAAATCTCCTACCGCAATGTTAACAAGCAGCGTTCTAGTGCCTTACGCTTAAGAAGGTATCGGGAAGGATGGACCGAAAACGGGGTTTTTTGCTTTTGAATTTTATCTTTTTGTTTATCTCGTAAAAGGAACTAGAACATCCAAGGATAGTACAACGGTTCAAAATACTTCTGCCTCTTCGACTTATAATTTAAACCAACTCTAAACTTGTTTATACGTTTTTTACTTGTTACCTTTTACAATGTAACTTAGTCATAACTCTCTCGTGATGAACGACAGCCTCCTTATACAATAAACTCGTTGACGATACACATGAACGAAAGCATCCATGGGCCTCGTGGAAAAAAGGGATTATCTACTTTTTTTATGATAGTTTTTACAAAGATAACATTAATTAATAAGCCAAGCAATTTGCATAGTCTAAATTGAGCCTCTATGTCATACAGTATTTTCATGATTCAATATAGAAAGTAACTTCACGAGTAATTTTGCCATTAAATAGTACATTTTTTGGATTGAAATACTTCGAATCAGTCCAATAGAGACAGCCGTCCAATTTATTAAGTAAATGCATGTAGTAAGCATTTCGTTGTAAGAAACCACCCGACCAAAGAATGCCGCATGAAGTAAAAGCAAAAGAAAATAACTTTACTCATAAAATTTGGGCAAAACAATTTAAACAAACATGACATTATTATTGGGTACCAGCGAGATTAACATGCATTTGAAATAATATAAAAGATTCTCAAGGTGAAATACTGACATCACTAAAAATCAACATTTCTTTTTCGTGTCAATACAAGATTCCTAAGGCTTGTTTGTTGAAGATAAATCTTTATCAACAAGAGTATCTGAAGACATAGTACTCTTTGTCGATGATGGTGCTCGTGTTGTTGAATCATTGTCAGGAGATGACTCGTTTCTCCCTAAATCTGATACTTCAGAAGGTACTTGAGAGGTCGAAGAGAAGTAAGGAGGTTTTACATGCATTTTGGAAGACGAAGATAATGCGTTGTCGGACTTCGATGATTTAGATTTTAGTGACAAATCGTCTTTACTAGACATTGTTGATGATTTTTTAGAAATGCTTTCATCTTTGGAAGTTGACGATACATTTGAAACACGTTTTTGCACGATGCTTTCTTCTTCCTCTTTTTTAAGTATAGGTTTAATATTTGAATTCTGGGATAGCGTAGAGTGTCGATCAGAAACAGGAAACAAATCTTTTGGTTTAGAGTCAACAGACGTTCCATGAGACAAATGTGACGAAGACGATTCAAGAGAAACAGGAATTTTTGTATCCACATTATTTTTTCCATCAACACTTTGGGAAGCAACGACTCCCATGTCTTTGGCCAAGGAAGCCTTTTTGTTTTCCTCGTTTTGCTTTTCTTTCATTCTACACAACCAAAAAAAAGGATAACAGCAAAAGTGGCGAATCCATCGTTATGAGAAATAAATCAAAAGCTGATTATAACTAATGGCAAATATAAGCAAGAGCATTGTTATTGAGGCATTTTAAATTTAACTTTTGCATTCGTTGCTGAACAGCAAAAAACGAATACGAAAATCTGGACACTATATTGAAGAGATACTTCAAGTTGTATGATTTGTAAGTTTGACACACTTACAATACATATATGTCAACGCCTTCATAAGTAGTTGTTGACTCGTCTTAAGAAAGAGTATAATTTGTAAACTTTTTCCATTCATAATAATATATTACATACAAGACAGGTTTTATGACGGGAATGACAATCTCTCATAGATATGAAAACACACAAAGTAATTTTAAAAAAGGCTTGAACAATGAATACGTGATATCAGGAAAGATCCATATGAATGTTAGGCCCGTTTCAAACGTCGCATTTTACATGCGCCAAATGCATTCAAAACAATAGAAAATGAGATAAAATTCCTCATCATCTTTTCTTTAAATTCGTTCGGCTCATGTAAAATCCGACGTTTGAAATAGGCCTTAAATTTTGAAAACAATAAAAAATCAGAGGAAAAAGTAGTAACTAACCAAAGTCTACCATTTAGCTCCACCAAAAACAAAACTTTACTTCACTTACATTTGACGCTCTTCAGCTTGGCGTAGCTCATGTTCTAAATCGGTAACGGAGCAGTCATTGCTCCGAGGTAGATGAAGTATACATTTCTCATGATTGGAAAAATTTGGTATAGGTGCATTACAATATTGGTTCATAGAAATTTTATGAGGACACGGCGTAAATAGTTTTTGAACAGGATCATCAAAAATATCTAAGGCTATGTTAAGAATTCAACAATTGTCAACTTATCTTTAGCGAGGAAGAGTTTCAGTAACTTTGATTTAGCGATTGTTATAATTATTGTTTAATAGAAAGCTAATTGTAGTTGAAATACTTTCAGGAAACTTTGTTTGCTGGTATCGTATTATTTATGGTAACTTTGATAACATCCTCGCAAAATTAGATCCGGGATACAAATCTAATGATTTGCTTTGTAAATTCATGCAGAAATACTTAGTGTTCAACACAATAATATGTATGATTTAGTTCGTCTTTATGATTCCTCTCACAAAAAAAATTAGATGATTCAATCAGTCGCCGCAATACAAAGGAACATTCAACAATCACATCAACTTCTTGAACAAATTGTTCTTCAGACTTCACTCGAAAGCAGACATTATCATCGATACTCCATCAAGGATACGTTTTAAACAGTACACAGCAAAAGGAATGATTCTTGAGGTACATCTGTTCCCGTCTGTATAATGAGAGCAACGAAACTGGGGTAAGATTTGATTCCGAGTAGTTACACCATAGCGTTTCTCTTTACTTCGTTTTTGTAGCAAAGCGTCTGTTCTATATCTCCTATTGTACCCTCTACTGGCGATATGTAATGCTGTAAGTGACCCACTTGGTTTAGGTAGGCTTGGACGCTTTGCTATAAACCAAAATAAGAATTTTACTGAAACACAAATTTTGTTAATCTCGGCACTTGACTTCAGTTTTTCTGAACTTTTAAACATCCATTCCGGATCATTTCGATGTATTTGTGTAACTTTACAATTTCCCTTTCTAAGAAAATCTTATCCTAAAAACTGTTTCAACCCGATATTCGCATGCAACGTAATATTTCATAAAAACTTCGTACCTGGTGTACCTTCATTATTCGCGCTCATGGACATAAGGAATTTCCTCTTCTTGTTTTTATAAACATGTTTTAATCTTTCAAACTGCGACATATAAAGAGATCTTAATCTTAACAATTTATCGCGGCACATCTTCGTCGCTTCCTCAGCAGTCCATACACCAGCATGTCTAAAACAAATTAAAGTATAATTACTGCTAATTAAAAAACTTTGTGTTGATTAAAAGAACATGCAGATAGCTGAAGACATAGTGCATAGGTACAGTATTTTCTACGTTTTTCTATGTCAAAGCTACGTCTCCATCTTCACTTAAAGTTTTCTATGTCATAGCTACATCTCCATCTTCACATGAAGTTTTTCTATATCATAGCTACATCTCCATCTTCACTTAAAGTTTTTCTATATCATAGCAACATCTCCATCTTCACTTAAAGTTCTTCTATATCATAGCTACATCTCCATCTTCACTTAAAGTTTTTCTATGTCATAGCTACATCTCCATCTTCACTTAAAGTTTTTCCATATCATAGCTACATCTCCATCTTCACTTAAAGTTTTTCTATATCATAGCTACATCTCCATCGTCAACATTATAAAAGAAAAACTGTTGGAAACCATTCCAAATTTGAATTAATTCAAATTTATGAAGAGAAAATGTTAAGTATTGTCAGTGTCAAGTGTACACTGCATTAATTATGCTACGAATGATCTGCAGAAAAATGCAATCCAGAATTGTGTGAAACACCTATTACATTCTAAAGAGCAATGGATACAATTATTTCATTTGAAAGCTAAGACACGTGGCACGGCCTTCATAACAGCTGCAAAAACTACTATTTACATAACAAAAGATGACTAAAATCCCCATGGTTACAACCCCATTATAAATCTTGTATTCTTGTGTATTTATTCTGGAAGAGTTTTATACAATAAGATATTTGTCACTAGTAAGCATTTTACTCGATCAATTAAGTTGTGGTATCTTCATCAAACTATGCACGCTACAAGTACAATAGTTATAGAAAGATTTTGAGCTTCTTGTTTCGAATGACCTGAGCAAATGCCGAATTCTGACACCCAAAACAGAAAATTCCATTCTACAAAATAAGCTGCGCGTCAGCGCATGAGGAGAAACAAATAAGCTATGATTTTGCAAGTGTTAGATACAATGCATAGCATATGCTAGTGTGCACTAATACATCAAAATTTAACTTCTTGATTTTTACGAATGGAGAATATGTAATAATGTGAGATTGTCCAACCTGAGAGGATCATCCATATCGTTGTCAAGAGATTCCGAGTCACTTTCATAATCACCGTGCCAAGAACTATCAACTCGTAAAACATCATCTCGTCGATATTCATTTTCTAATGGTTCAAAATAAAGAGGGTCGTGATTCTATAATATCAATGAAATTAATAACAACAAATAATGTTATGTTTTGTCTTGGAAGGGTTTTCAATGAACTATTAGACATTGCTTACGTACCTCTTCCATGGCTTGAGCCCAAACATGACTTATAAAGCTTGTATTATTGATAAACGTAGAAGGTCATAGAACATACGACGGGGGGGGGATTCTTTGGTAATCTCAGACAGGGTTAAATGATTGTGAGTTTTGGTGACACTTAAAATTTGAAGTTTTTTTGAAATCATCATTGACGTTTTTTTTTGGAAAAAATTAAAAGTTTTTTTTGAAAAACACTGACGGTTTTCTATGCACGAGCGCGTACGAAACAGTAGTTGCATACAACCTACTTATATTGGATGTGACTGCGATGTCAATTTTTGGTCTTTTGGAATTGTTCTTTACTCCCGGAGGTCTTCCTGGTCCAGGTCTTGTTGGTTTATCTTGTTTTTCCTGTTGACTAACACTGATTTTCCCTTTCTTTTTCTTAGTTTTTGATTCCAGAGCTTTTCTCAGTTCTGAATCACGAGTATGAATAAGGCAGTACCTAAAAATGATCTCACTAAATGTTGTGCCATTCCAAAGAAGCAAGACATCTTAAGATTGCAAAATATGAATCAAAACAAGACGAGAAGTAAACTGTAAATTTTCGACTTTATTTCAAAGTCATCCTCAGACAGAATGAGGATATAAAGTCAAAAATTTACAGTTTACTTCGTCTTGTTTTGATTTATATTTCGCAATCTTAAGATGTCTTGCTTCTTCGAATTTTTTATATTATACTTCTTTAAATTGTCAGCTGGTCATGGTTTTTGTTGGGCCATTGATATATGTTAAAATAATATACAGCAATGATCCATAAATTCCATCCTTTATGGATGATACACACTATGCAAAAATACTGCTACATACACATCCCTGCAACAAATTTCATAGTGTGTATAGTTTAGGGTGTGCTGTCACATGTCCCAGCAACAAATTGCCAAGAGCTTTAAATGATTTTATCATAGCCACATGCTGCACAGAATCAAATCAGTTTATGGCAGTTTGCTTTAAAAACCACTGACATCAATGGTGCCTTATTGTGTTGGATTGAAAAACCTTACCACTCCCGCACACATATATCATACAACTCCTAATTAAACAGTGACAACTAGAAGTGAACATGTGTATATTGTTCATACAACTCCTAATTAAACAGTGACAACTAGAAGTGAACATGTGTTTATTGTTCATACAACTCCTAATTAAACAGTGACAACTAGAAGTGAACATGTGTATATTGTTCATACAACTCCTAATTAAACAGTGACAACTAGAAGTGAACATGTGTATATTGTTCATACAACTCCTAATTAAACAGTGACAACTAGAAGTGAACATGTGTATATTGTTCATACAACTCCTAATTAAACAGTGACAACTAGAAGTGAACATGTGTATATTGTTCATACAACTCCTAATTAAACAGTGACAACTAGAAGTGAACATGTGTATATTGTTCATACAACTCCTAATTAAACAGTGACAATTAGAAGTGAACATGTGTATATTGTTCAACAGGAAAAAACCATTGAAATTATTTCATAAATTGACTCTTGTTCTGATATATCTTTAAAAAATTTTTGCAAGTCATTAAACGAAGAGTGTTAATGTTAATAAGTAAAAACTCTTTGGCTGAAAAATTTTCATTTAATCAAGCATGACTTGCAGTGTCTCCAAATATTGCATGGAAAAATTACAACAACTTTCACAATATTCAAATTGCTAACAATATTTTATTCATTTTCAAACTTACGACTTTTGTCCTGCAGGAAGTTTTCCAGCAGGATTGGTGCATTTCTTTCCACTGCTCTTTGAAACAAAGTCACATGGCTTAAATGGACTGGCCTTGTCTTCCAAAATATGCTTATGACAAAAGTCAAACCCTTTCAGCTTTTCTTCATTACATTCCTTCAGAGAATAACAGCAAAGATTGTCTGATCTTTTTGGAGGACTTTCACTCTTGCCCTCACTTGCAGAATCTGGAGAAAAGTTCAGTGTAATTAGGCAAGCTAGAATCATTTATGGGCAGAACAGGGGTAACAAAGTTACTTTTCGAATACGTTTTTTTAAGTTGAAATACAACAAGTTGAATAAAAGGCACAGTCAAACCTGTATTATGAGGACACCCATGGCATCAGACTAGTGTCCGCTTAATGGAGGTGTTTGCTTTATAGATGTTTCATAATTACGAATTAGCTACTTGGGATTATATTTAGGTCTTTACAAAGTGTGCGCTTAACACAGGATGTTCGCTTAACACAGGATGTTAGCTTAATGCAAGATGTTAGCTTAATGCAGCCTTCCCGTTTGACTGTAGTAAAAGTTTAAAAAACTATTTTGCACACATTCAAAATCCATATCAATGTCATTTAAAAATCTATGACCATTGAAGAAGATCTTGGTCAAACTTTCTAGACAAGTATCTGTAGTGATAATATATTCTTTTGTTCTGATCTAAGACATGGCTGAATTAGGGATCTGGTGGATCTTGTACTTTATTGTTGAACAAACTCAACATGATAAAACATATCTCTTGCTGTATTATTCTCATAACAATGTATGGTAAAGATTAGAATAAACGTTAGTATCAAAAGTCGTAATGAGATTCTTACTGAATTTCTCCTAATTTGAAATCTCATTTCATAATATTGTAAACATATAAACGCGTATATTTTCGAATTAATTTGGAGATTAACTGTCTGATGTACTTTATTTTAGGAAAATTGTTAGATATTGGACAAAAACCAACCACGCTCAATCTCTAACAAACCTGTTTCCATCGAATCAACTTCAGCAGCGGACATTTTGAAAATGGTCAAATTATTAGCAAGGGTGAAATATGAAGCCGTTGAAAACTGAAGCTAAAAAGTATCAAATGTCAATCGAATAAGTACATTGGACAAAGAAGTACGGAGTTTGGAGTTTCCTAATTTTAATTTGGAAATTCAATGGCTAGTGTCAAAGCTCAAAAATTGTGGACTAAAATTTTGGGTGGAGGATCATTAACACTTGGTGTTGCTGTAGCCGTTTTTGGTGTTAGTTTATATGATCGTCGTAGACATTGCTTGCCTGTGATAGACAGTCAGGTGAATGTGAAATGATTTTTATCATGAGTTTGTTTTCACATTTGACTTTCCTTTTATCTGTAGTGTTTGCAAAAAGTTAACTCAGCCGAATTTTTAATCATGCATTACAAATATTTTTATTTACTAATTACAATAAGTATTAATTAAAGAAAATAATTGTAATTTTGACAAAAAAGAAATTTGCACAGCACAATTCATGTTTGAGAACTCTGGTGTGCAGCCTAATGTTGAATACATGCCGTAGCCATCTCAGCATTCCTGATGGTTTGAAAAAGAGTAGTGCTATAAGCAATTAACGTCCAGACACTGTTGTAATCCAACCATATGCATCATAACATATGTTTCACATAAAAATATTAACCACCCTGCTTAAAATCATCTCTCAAATTCATAAAAGGTTATCATAAAAGGATGTTCATTCCACTGCATGAAGATGAGAGCAAATGATCTGGAAAAATTGCACCATATAAATAAGTAAATCATTCCTTGTATTGATGATTCTATTTTTAGAAGAGTGGCAATTCACAAATTTTCAACCAAAAGGAAAGTGCAATCTTAATTGAGAAGGCCAGATCAATCATAAAAACATTTAAAGAAGAATGTGGCAGTCCAGGCTTGTCAATCACAGTCTGTGTAAATGGGAAGAATGTTTGGAGTGAGGGATTTGGATATTCTGATGTAGAAAATGGTGTCAATTTCACCCCAAATACTGTAATGAGGATTGCTAGTATCAGTAAACCTTTAACTGCCACAGCTGTAAGTAAGTAGTTATTGAAATTTGCCAAGAAGTGCAATTTTTAATGAAAAGAAATATTTCAGTTTAAACAAATCACCAACTAGTGAACATTTTAACCTGCAAAATTTTGTCATTATTTATGAAAATTGTTTGTGTAGTGCAATTGATGGAAGATGGAAAGATTAGTCTTGATGAACCAGTTCAAAATTATGTACCTAATTTCCCTGAAAAGAAATTTAATTTCAAGCCTTGCATTATCACAATTCGTCATTTGCTTTCTCATAAGAGTGGCATTCGACATTATCATTTCAGTCACAAAAGTAAGTCAGTGACCATAATTATGATTTTTATCCAAAAAGTCCTGCACTATGTGTATGCACACATACAACTCTCAACAGGGACAGCTGTTTTATGTTTGCATTAAAATTTTTAAAGAAGTGCAGCATTTCTTGACTAACAATGGTGTTATCCACAATATTCCAATTTCTCAGATGTTGCAACAACTAAAAAAATATTTCTCACATCTTTTGATATATTTTTGTATTAACTGTGAGTTAACATTTTTTAATATTGTTTATCCTAATTCAAGCAGGTGAAACACTACAAGAACAAAAAAAGAAAGACAGGATGTCAGAGTTTGATGAAAAAGAATATTATATTAAAGTAGGTGTATAACCTTTACTTCTGCCAGGCTATAGTTTCTCCCAGAGTTGATTGCTCTGAAATTGATTCTAGCCATTCTAGGAAGGGCGTTTAGTAGATAAGACACAGGCATCTGTAACAGTTTTAACACTTTTATGTGAGACTGAATTTATGGTTTCTGAGCCCAGTCAAAAACCCACTATTGTGATATTCTCATAGTGGTAATGTGGTTGTAGGTGTCATTTAAAGACGGGTGTTTTATTAGAGAGAGGCGTCTAATAAAAACTCACTCTCCAATTCATGGGCGTTTATTAGATAGGAGGCTTTTGCGTGTTTATTGGGGTCGTTTATTAGATCATTTAAGTACATATATAATTTCTTTTAGAACTTGATCTAAATGAGAATATTGCTGAACTTTATATATGTTACATACTTAATTACTTTCAACGAAGGAAAGCACTACCCTAATTGTATTGATTTGAGATTTTATGATTAGACATTTCGTTCTGGTGTTTCAAAAATTCTACGTTATTGTGATTCAAACACTAACTTGTATTTTAAGAATGCATTACTTTCATATTTGGGCCACTTTGAGTATCGCGTCATGTATTGTATCTGTAGGATGTTAACGTTATCTGCCATATGGCACATATGAACTTATCTGTGACAATAATTTTATCATTTATTTGAAGGAACACTATGGAAGTGTTGAAAAGTCGTTAACGTTATTCAAAGACGATCCATTGCTTCATGAACCTGGAACAGAATTTCTTTATACAACGTATGGTTGGACTCTTTTGAGTGCTGTCGTCGAGAGTGCTGCTAACATGAAGTTCTTGCTATATATGAGAACACTTTTTGATAGTCTTGACATGAATGATACAGGGCTGAACTTCATCTGAATCTTGTGTATGGAAGAGCTAGGTAGCCAATAATAAAATGTATAACACAAGAATATTTCTCACAGTAACAGCTTCTCTGGCTTTAAAAATTTCATTGATCTCACATTTATAAAAAGAGTTAAAACATATAACCAAAATTAGAAACGTGAAAACATTGCACCAATAATTTTATGTCAGAAATAATAATTCAGTTTTATGTTCGCTTTATATCTTGCCAGCAGTTTGTTTCATTTTAAGACACTACATGAGGAATGAGAAAGGACAGTTGATAAACACTCCTTACGTTGATAACTCTTATAAATGGGCTGGCGGTGGTTTCATATCAACGACAGAAGATTTAGTCAAATTTGGAAATGCTATGCTTTACGCAAGTCAGGTGGATGATTATGAAGAAAAATACAACAAGAAATTATTGCCAGGCAAGTTTTTAGAAAAACATGGGCTCATCTCACTCTCTCTTTTTGTATCCAATTATGAAAAATTTTACAGCACATTCACGCACTAATGCGGTTATTTACCAGGAATTTTATCTTCAAAAAATGTGGCATTGTCGTGGACCATGGCTGAAAATACTTTTAACAAAACTTCCAAAGGATGGGGTTATGGTTTGGGCTGGATGATAAAGCCAGTCAAACGCAAATATGGATGCCTTAAAAGTCAGAAGAAAATAATTGCACATACTGGTGATTAATTTAAAATTGATTGTGTTTACTTCGATGTTTATACGGCTTTGTTGGGTTGTTAAAATGTACAGTTTAAAATGTTTTATAGGCGGTGCAATTGGTGGAAGCAGTATTCTATTAATATGTCCTAATTCCTGGAATGATGAGTTACAAACCAATGATATTCTCCCACCAAATGGTGTTGTAGTAGCCATCTTGGTTAATATGGAGAGAGTAAGTCTGGAAAAGTAGCTATGAATGTCGCCCAAATCTTCAACACTTGAAATCCTTCGTACAATTTCGAATACACACTAGAATTTAGAATTTCTTCCGAATTTGCTCGAGGTATTTTGTGATTATGGTGCTACCATTCTATGCACTTCTATAGTAAAACGAAAAATTGTTTAAAACTGAAAATTGTAAAAACTATTAAGATCTTTAATAAAGCATGTGACAGAACAGTAGAAATGTTGTCACCAAAGCATATGAGTAGCTATTTATCATGTTTCGAGAATATTAGGTGCTCATTGTATTGAATTGGAAAATTTTAAACTTGATCTTTGCTCCAATAGTGAAATCTGCAACTATTGGCTTGCATCATAATTTTGTAATGGATCTCAGAATTGCCATATGATGATTGCAATCGTTCAAAATATAAGAATTTGCGAAGTTGTAACGAAATTATGCATGATGGAATCTTTTTTTAAATTTTGGCCATTCAGCTGAATATCATGCCTAAAATTTACAGCTTCAATTTCAAAAATTAAGATCGCAAATTTCAAAAGTAGGAATACAAACTATTGCTGTCGTATTCACTCGAGTTGATTTAAAATTATCGTGCTGTAGTTATCTTAATTATCAGCTTCACGGAAAGAAAAATTTGCAATAATTACTAAATTTCATAAATTAGCGATTTACTTATGAATTAGTTGATTGTTATTTATAAATTACTTGATTTATGTACAATGTTTGTCACTCACGCCATCTCGAGTGACTTCCACGTATGTGTGGTTTTAAAGGTCGTATATTTTAAAACCGTACATGAAACTATTCTTGGTTTTCACAGCAATATTTCTAATTTCGTCATCAAAATGAGAGGTAGATTAAGGGCGAGAGAAGAGATCTTACCGATGAATCAACACATTACGTTTATGAATAGGAAGCCTGAAGCCAGTCTTGGAATAAAATAACAGAACAGTGTGGTTTTGAATAATTCAGTTTGTTAGAATAGTTATGGACGGTTTAAAGTCGCATAAAAGTCACATAAAATAAAACTTTACAAAATGCTGCGAAGTTGCAAAATCAACGGACGATTACTATCATAATCTGGTTCGAATCTTACAATACAATTGTGTTTAAAAAACTCAACTCGCTGTGTACTCGATATTTTTTATTTCTAACCAACAATTCTTCTACAAAATTCATTTAACAAAATGAGAAGGCAAATGACGTATTTAACCCATGATTTAATGTCCAAATCGACGACGTCCACAAAAGCAGGAAACGTAATGTTTAAAATAACGATAGCGACATCGCAGTGGAGTTCGACATTCTATAAAATTTAAAATGTACCATTAGTCTTTAAACATGAACGAAAAATCAAACAGTTGGTAAAGGAAATTGGAGGCGGGGGAAAAGAGTTTTTGCGATAAAGTTTGTAGTTCTGTCGAAACTCCTTACTATTTCCGTTTGGGCAGCATTTTCCTCTTCTTATCTCATTCACAGACCCTTTCTTGATTTCTTGAACTGCAGAATGAATACTGTCGTAGCGAGCCTCAAACATAGTTCCCAGTTTCGTGTTCACCTTTCTGTTTAAGAAGAACAAATATTCCACTCCAAACCGAGGATTCGACAAACACAGCGACGAAGATCCAAATCTTGAAACACATATGTAATTTCGTCGAATTCCTATTCCTTTGTAAACATGAGTTACGAAAAGACAAGCTTTGAAAATGTTAATATCGCTGCCTTTGTTGACGACATAGCCTCTGACAACAATGGGTGCACTGCGAGTGAGGTTTGTAATAGTTGGTGGTTTGTAACCTGGTCCAGGACTACATTGCTTGCTTTGTTGTCCCTGCATCAGGAGAAAGACCACGGGCAGGAAAAAAGTAATAACATGCATCTTGCTTGCAGTGGTAGTGGTTTTTTTCAATCTACACAAAGTTAACAATATATCTTTTGAATATTAAATACTGAGTGTATTATTTCACAGATTTAATACCTTTAGCGAGTCACTAACTCTCCAATCCACTACCACGAATGAGCTGGTGTGAATATTAACCTAAATGTACTCGCTCTTCTCTTTTTTATATCCCCCCTACAAGAAACAAGAAACAACAGGAAACAGTTGGAGGTTTCAATTGACGTCAAACAAATTATGCTGCTTCCGATGGAAGCTTTATTTCCCCCTTAAGTATTATAGTGATTTTATAAAAATGCGTTTTCTTTTATATTTAACGCATGATTTCCACTGCTTAGATGAATAAAATTTATACAAAATGAAAGAGAATAGGACAGCACTGCGAGAAGGAAGTAAAAAATTTGACAATAAAACATTAGTTTTTAAAGTACTCAGATAGTGATGCACTACCATTTGTTACAGCGTTCAGTACACTTTGGAGGAATGGAAGGAAACTGAGTCGCCGGGAAAATAATACATCATTGCAGGCTGCAGCCCTGCTTTCAAAGATGGGAAGCATAAAACAAACTGTAGACGAGGACACAAGCATTTGATTCTCAAAAAGTGTTGTACATCAACTTTATTTGTTTTAATGTTGGTTATTACCTATATCAACAACACAACATGCATAGTTACAAAATCTTTATATAAATCCTGTATTCAAGTCCAATGGGGAAACTAATTTTTTCTTATAACAAATTAGAATAGATAATGGCCATTACGACAGGAGCGTGAAGACAATATTCAAGACAGCCGTTTGTCGTAGCTGGTTGTTCAGGTTATAAATATAAATTTACATTGAATGCAGAACAGAAGTTGCTGGGGAAATGTTGTTAAGGATATTTTTATAAGTGTGTCATTAAAACGATATTGCGTTTTGGTTGTGTCAATGACAAATCCAAACAAAGTTCATCACAGTTTTTTGAAAATTATAAACAAAGCGTATTGATTTTCAGATTTGTGCCTTTTGGAACTTTCGTGTCACTGTGTCTCTAATCCAATTCCAAAATTGAGCTTATAGCTATATCCATACAAAAAGCTCTCATCCTTTCTTTAAACCCACAGCGACGAACAACATGAATTATGTGTGTATTTTAATTGACCAAGCAAAGAATGAGGGAAAGAAGATATTATTTTTAAAAGTACAGGAAAAGATGCAGTATCCATAAGTAATATAATATTGTATTTTTCCAAGTATCATGCATCGACTTTATTTATTTTTATTTTGGTTGTTTGGTTGATTTAGAGCTAATATCCACTTCCTAACATGTATAAAATCACTTCTTTACATAAATGACAATTCTTGACTTACAATTCAGCCATGTTGGTGGTATGATACAAAAAATATTTTATGAGTGTTATTGTTGGCACCAGCCGACGTGGCGAGCAAAATTGTTTGGTAAATCTCAAGAGAACGGTTGCAAGTCAAGAATAGGATACTTAACCATGTTGGGTTATGGTGACTTAATAATTGGAAACTAGTTTTATGAGGATGCACTGAACTCACTGAAGTCGGAAAATTGTTTAGTAGGAACTACGAAAGAAGTGACAAATTACTTAACAACATTCTATTGCTAAATAAATTAAATTTGCTAATCATCATAGAAGAAAAATCTAGCCTAGGTCTCGAAATTTTTTTAACACAAGGGAATTAATTAAAATTTATTAGATTGCTGCTAGTTGCATGTTATATACTATTTACATGACACATGAGCAAAAACTGTATTCCAACATGATCTAATGTCAATAAGTTAGATTGTAAAATCATATACTTTATAATTAACAGTATTAGAGCCAATATTTGTTCTTGCTTTATTCTATGTATTCCAACATATGAATTATATGTTCATTGGACATTCTTTTTATGCAATAATTTTTTAAGGCTCAAATAATCCATTAGAACGTATGATATCCTTCGTTTTCACTGGCATCACTTAGTAAGTTTTCCTCTACTCTATTCCTTTGTTCTACACGTTGTTTTCTCAATTTTTTGACGTTCAAGAAAATCAAAGCAAGTGAATACAAGAAAGGAACGTAAAGAAGTATGTGAATACAGTAGGAACAAATGTTGAAAAAGACAGGGTCAAAAAACGAACATGCCAGTAGGACTTCGGCCAATAAACTTATTATGACCAGATAAGACAAAAAAAATGCATCAATTTTCATGAGAGTACTGCTTTTGTACGGTTTGAAAAAGAGAAACAAAAGCAAAACTGCTACACAAAAAAATTGAAGAATTTTGAGTCGAATGTTGACATCTGAGATGAAAACATGTAAAATGATCGCTATTAAACGACAAAATATGTAGTATGCTGCAAACCAAGATCTTTCCGGATGATAGCAAGATTGTAATACGTCAAGTAGAGGTTTAGTAACACGCAACAATTTCCTAGAACACCTTGTGAAAACCGTACTATCAGCTAATATAAATGGAAACGGTACAATGATAAGAAAAATAGCTACTACAGCTAAAGAAGCATGTATTACGTGCTCGCCCCTGAAAAATATCACATTGGCTGCTATGTATACGCGCCACTGTGCACATATAAAGACAGGTCTGAGCTGTTTGAAACTCACATTTACAATACTTGCGTACGATAAAACAAGAATCGTACAAAAAGGACGAAAATAGTTACCTTGTAAAGCACGTTTGGAAAAAAACTTTATAAAAATAATGAGGATAAGAATCATATACGCTGGTGCAACGTAGCCAAATGAGATTTTTTGTAGTTCAGTCATTCCGTTCCAAATGCACAAATGACCATAAATGATTTTCATGTTGGCTATATTCATAACAGCAGTCATGAAAGGATCCACAGTGACAAAGTGGTCTGGTAAAAGAAGATAAAGCATTTGATATGTGTACAACCAACAGTTCAAGTAACCTGAAAAGAAGTCAAGCTTGAAATACAAAACTAAGACAACCAACACTGTTATAATGACGAAGAACAAGATTATTTCCCGAAAGTTTTTTTTGTCACACTTGACACATTCATAGCTGCCAATAACGGCACTGAGATTCTTCTTGCATTTACTACATAATATTCCTTGACGACCTTCTTCGCACTGATGGGAACCATTGAAGTAACACTCACATTGACTTGTAAATCTGCTGGAAACATTATCTGGACACTTGCAATAGCCATACGGACATGCAACTACAGAAAACGTACATGCTTTTTCTGGTGGCTGCATGTCGTCTTTTTGTGGGCCACCCCAGTACCCTTTACGAAGATATAGACTTTTTCCGTCATTATCACATCTGGAGATTCCAGCAACTCCATTTAAGCATACACAACTATTTTTACTGCCAGTATAACCCGGTGGGCACTTATCTATCGTAAGATTAGTAAGCGTCATCTTCACTGACTGAGAGTTAAGGGAAATAATATTTGTATCAAACAAACTGTAAGGTTGACCGTTAAACCAAAGAGATTCAATCCTATCTTTGACAAAAAAATAAGGTGAAATTCCTTTTTCAATTGTAACGGGAGAGTGAACACTCTTTGCCTTCACTACGATCTTAATCAATCCATAAACACTGTGATTTCTTTCATCAAGAAGTTGTATAGACGGTGAAAATTGCACATTTGGTGAAATACTTTTCCATTCTTCTTGTTTAACTTGAATTTGAACAGGCTCAGTAGCAACTTCAAGCTCATCGTGCGATGGTTGGCCATCATGATTATTAAATACGATCGATTTCCAACTTTTTATTGCATCATTGACCAATCCTTGCTGGTTGAATCTGCAAAATTGTAAGGTGTTGGCAAACAAAGTTCTGCCTATGTTTTGTGTGGCATTATTTCCTTGAAATACAACACGAATATTCCAATCGTCAGGGTAAACAGAGCTATCAAAATATCGAAAAAAACATAGATGCCTTTGAAATATGGTTTGATTAAATGCAGCTATATTCGGCCCTGCAGTTTTTACATATACAGCACCAGCAACATGGGAAGCAATATTCTCTTTGAATGTTAAATTGGCTCCAGGTTGAAATACTAGAGATGAAGCACCGTAGATACCTATTGCTCCACCTTTTTCACCTTGATTTTTATAGAACATCACATTCCCATGAACCTCTGCACATGCATTATCGAGAATCAATGCTGTGTTGAGATTTTCCTTGAAGGTTATGTTACCCATCATAATGATGGGTACGAAAACTACAAATACGGTCCCCATACCAAACACAGCTACATTCACTACAGTCAGTGAAGCTCGAATAATTTTATTGCCAATGAATGTGTTGTTGTAAAGTTTCAAGGCAAATCTAAAACCTCGCTCATTTTGTCCCATTGACATCCTCCAAAATTCGTGAGGCTTAGCAAGAGCACCAATGGCAGCCCCTGCCGTAGCAGAATTGTTCCGCCAAGTACAATTAATAAATGACGGAGTTTTATCACCATGCCAACTTTTACTACCCAAATAACCAGTTGATCCGTAGGCTGCAAAAGCCCCACCCCAACCTATATTGGCTGTGTTTAGTTCAAACACGCAATCTTCGTGCGAGTAAAAGTTTGGCTCACGAGCCATAAGTTCATGAAATGTCCCAAATACAGTAGACCCATATTTCATAGCACCACCAGCATAACGTGCAGTATTTTGCGAAAAGTTTGAGTTCGTCACTTTAATTAAATTATTGCAAGCGTTGTCTTGAAAATAGACCACATAACCAGCGCCCCAATCAGCCATATTTCGTAGAAATGTACAGTTGTCTATATGGAAAATATTATTAGTTGCATTTCCTTTGATTATTAACGCAATTCCACCACCGCGACCAATGGAATTAAAATATTTTCCATGAGGATTTCGGTCAAAAGTTTGATTGTATTTATGCGTTGTTGCAGCATTATTATCTGCAAAATAAGAATTACGGATGACAAATGAACTTTGATTATTAAACATGTTTGTTTCAGAATCATAACAATCAAAAGGATATAATGCACCACAGAACGTGAATTCGATTTTCAAACCACCACCAACTTTCAACTTTTTTGGCGAATTTGCAGTATTCCTAGAATTTCCAATGAACCTAGCATTTTCTATTACAACGAAACCTCCGACGTCATACATATTCAGACCAACTCCGGGAGAATTGATAATACTACATGAGACAAGCGTCAAGTTTCTGGTATACGCAACAAATAATGCAGCCTGAAATCTTGGGTGGTTGAAACTTGTGTTATTATGCCACGAACCACATTCTTCAAATGTGATGTACGAGAATTGAAGATTTACCGAACGCACAAATGCCAGTCCAACATTTTTGTTACATCGAATGACGACATCATTGAAAAATTCATGTAATTTATCATCATGGTTATGAATGTCACCTGACAAATCAAAATTATTTACATTCTGTATGGTGTGACTGCTGTTTAATATATAGTTTCCGGGCTCGATAACAATTTTGGTAGGAATATTGAAAAAAGTGTGACTATTTACTTGATCCAAAACAAAATCAAGAGTTCGGCAAGATATTGACATGTTAACTGCGTTGATACACAAAGACGAATCATTTCCATTTGTCGATATTCTAATTTCATGAATACCAGCAGTGGCGTAGCTAGGAAAAATAGTGACTCCCGCCAATCCATCTCGCGCCGGAACCTAGGGGTCCGGGGCATGCTCCCCGGAAAATTTTGAAATCCAGAGCCTTGGAAACAGCATTTCCTGCGATTTCGAGGGCGAATTATTTGTTGTACAATAATTTATAAAACCCATTTTGTTAGCTGCATTCTTAATGTGGCAATCGTTGAAACTGCAACTAGTTAAAAGGTACTAAAGGTGGCTCAGAGAAACGTTACGCAGGAGACAATTGTCCCTAAAACATAATTTACTCATCACTGCCCCTGCATAAACAGAAGAAATTTGTATTAGCACAAAAATAATATAGTATACGACACTTCTAAAGTGCATAGAGAGAGATTTTTCTTAGCATTCTACTTGTTAGTTTAAACTTGTTTAGATTGGGGCAAGTAGACAGGGATGGCTTTATTCTTTAAAGTTATGCTTAATTTTCTCAATGAAGTACCATGTATTATACGAACAAATATCAAAACACATACTATACTCATCATTTATAAAGAAAGGCCAGCCTCCTGGGTTTTCTACAAATTTTCAACCACCTCGTTATGCAACACCTCTGATTCCTCTTTCTTTTCAATGATATCTTTGTGAATAGATATTCTACACAAAGAGCTAAGCCGACCTTGACCCATTCTATTTCTTAAATAGCTTTTACCCTTTTAAGCAAGAAAACGACCTCTCTACTGAAGCACTTGCCACTGCCAACACACCATTCAATTTTAACAAATTTACCACTTGACCTAAACTCGACTGGAGATTAAATTTGAAGATGTATTTAAGAACCTCATTACTGCACTCTTTGTGAAAGTCCTTGTCGTTGTAAATGAAGGAAAGTTGACTCTCCAAAGTTTGGATGTCAAAAGAGGACTATACTTATCTTTGAGAAGATTGATCTTCTCCTGTGGAACTATGCCCTTCCATGTAGTAAATAGTTTAGGATTTACAAGGTCTAAAAACTCGAACTGATTAATATCTTGAAATCGTTCACTTAACATGCCTTTAATGGAATCAATAATCTCAAAATAAAGCTGTTTGTAATTGTATCTACTATCTGCTCTGGTTGCTGGTGGGCCTACTTTTCTAGTGCAGTTTGGTAAAACTCGGTGAAAGCTTGATCTGTGCGAAGTGACACAATAAACTGCTTGAAATTGTCAATCTTGCTTATGCCATAGTTAAAATGGGTTTCCTATTTTGAAGAATGGAATACAAAATTGTGGACTGTTCTAAAATCCTGTAAAAACACACACTAGAAAACAAAGAGAAAGCTATCAAGATAATGCAGTAAGCCACTTATTTTACTTAATGACTCATCATCCCACCCAGCTGGTTGTTCAAGTACCCCTCAAAAATATCTAAAAGTTTTTCATAGTTTTGTGCAATACATTGATTAATCTAGAGCGATAATACCATCTTGTTTCACCAGGGCAGGAAACTCAAGGTTGTTAGATGTGAGAAAAGCTTTTCTTTTGGGGCATTGCTTGTAAATGTGCTGAATGTAGCTATATTAATAAAAAGATTTTAACAGGAGAAATTGATGAGGCTGACTGGCATAGGACCAGGTTCAATCTATGAGCTGCACAATGAACAAAATGAGCAAAAGGATACTCTTGTCGAACCAATGCTTGAACACCATTGATATGGACAGAAGCACCATCATATGTTTGTAAACCAGTTGGTGAATACTCACCAAGTTTATCTTTGACAACTTGTGATATTGCTGTGGCATTTCTGTTCATACTTACATCCACAAATCCTAATTGCCTCTCCATAATTTCACTTGCTTTGTCAAACCGAGAAATAACACTTAGCTGCTCTTTGGTGGAGACATCAGATGCTTCATCAACCTGAATACTCATAAATGTGCAATCATTTATTTTCTTTCTGATTTCATCTTCAATAATTGAATCAAGACAGCTGATAAGACCATTTTGAATTTCTGGGAGACTCCAGTAAATCTTCTGTCACCAACTATATCAGATTCTGCTAGTCTACTGTGCAGTCGACGCTCAAATACAGAATCAAACTTAGCAAAACATTCGAGCAACTCTCTATAATTACCTTTGTTCAAGCTACCTTCGGACTCATTGTGACCTCTAAATGGCAACTCTTGCTTTGACAAATACAGCACGGCCTCAGTAACAGTTTTAAAATTTCTCGATTTTGTCTTACCTCCTCATTGTGACGCTGAATCTCATTTCTTCTAGCGAGGGACATAAGACAATCAATTCGTTCACTAGCTCCATATGTTTTCCATGTCTTAAATGCAGTCAAATGCGATTTAGATTTTTCATGCTTCTTAGCATCAGACATAATACTCCGCATATTGTTGTAGCCATTCTTAGTCCACGATGGCGATGTTTTGGGAAAACATTAGACATGGCCAACAAAACACTTTCTGCAAGGTTGTACTGCCACAGCCAGTCCTTCGCCTCATACCAATCTCTCTGAAATGCTCTTCCCTTATTTTGGATAGTTAAATCAGGAGTAGGCCGTTCATGAACGATAACATTCTGTTCGACCGACGATCGAGCAGAGAACGGTTTAGCTAATAAGCTATTTACTAAATCAACATCAGTTGAGCAAATCGCAGTCGATTGAAGCCATTGTGTCATACACAAATACAAAATAGCAATTTGAGAGTAAACACAATGGAAAATTAATACCGACAATGACACGTAATTTGATAATCACTAATCGCTGTACTCGTATTAAAAGGTCGAATAATTACAACCTCCGCCAATTTAAAATAGCGGGAGTTCGACTATAAAACAGCAGATTTGAGCATGCGTCAAGTCCCTTACCCAACCAGAATTCAAAACTTCTTATATAGAATTATATTGTATGTTCCGCCCTCTGAAGATGGGCGGAATACGTGGAGAATCGCGCGAGTATGCAATGTGCGAGAAAAGGCGGTTGCTAGGTTACATAACAAATCTTGAGATTTTGCTGTATTACGATTACGAACCACCTAATAAAAGCGTAAACATGAACGAATAAAACATAATATTACAAATTGTTCGTGAAATAATGTATATCTTATGTCCAAATAGAATATTTATTATTTTTTTGGGAAATTTCTACTCCCGCCGGGCGGGAGTAGCGGGACCGCTAGCTACGCCACTGAATACCAGTAACATGATGTAGACCAATCACTCCAAGAAAGCAACAAACGACATATAAAAGTTTTCCTGCCATTATCAGAGAAAATATAGTCACATTACACTTTACATCTTAAGAACAGCAACTTTGAGAAATTGAAACATGAATTTATGTATTGAAGAGATTATGTCTGACCTTTGTCATCATATTTGATAAATGAAACTCAATAGCCTTTTGTATATAGATAATATACGGCGTTTTAACACGGTATTTAAATATGCACATGAAAAACATGTGACTTGGACGAGATTTGAACTTGAACCTTCGAATTATAGCAGTTTACTGGATGGCACCGTGTTTCGACTTTATTCCAAAGCCATCATCAGAGTATATACATAATATATTAATCCTAACACGGTATTTAAATATATAATTATACATAATATATAGCCTTTTGTAATCATATACATATAACATGCATGAAAAGCGGGGGAGCGAAGCACGGGGGAACGTGTGACTTTTTTACTGTACTTGTTTTCACAACAGCTCATTTTTCGATGTATTATCAGATATATCATACATTAGATTCGACATATAAAATCCTATTTCACAGAAATTCATTGGAATGCACAAATTCACAAAAAGTCATTGTCCAATATCATTGTCAGGTATTTTAGAATAAAAAATTGAGCAGGCAGAGCAGCTATGATTTATTTGACTAAAGTTCAATCCTCCACAGGCTTCACTGCCGGCAGAGCAGCTATGTCCTAAGTAAGAGGCTAAAGATTCCTCGGTGTCATGTGATTATAATATACTCTTTGATGTTCAATACGTCACTTGCGTCATAAAACACTACAAATTTCCTTTACTCAGTTCATAACTTCTCACTTCTATAACTTTATTGTAAATGATGTGAAACACAAATTTCGTAATTGCCAAGTACACAGTCTCTCTTTACAAACGTAGATCAACATAAGTGAACTTATCTTATTTTTAACAACACAAAAATAGGACATTGTCCATACCATTAACTTTGTCAAAAAAAAATTAAATAAACTCGAGATCTTTCAAAAATACTTTTTGAAGCATTACCATTACTGGTGAGTAATTAAAAGAAGATTACGCAACTTTGAAAACCAATATTTATTTAATTCAAAAGTACACAGACAAATTAGAAAAAAAAACATATGAAAAAATCTTTATGCACGTATGATTAAAGCCACGTCGTATTCAAAAAATTCTTGTCAGCACATAGGTAATGTAAAATTTTCTTGACGTCCACACAAAAACGCCGAAAACGATTCAAAAACAAGGAATCAACGTCGTATCCTCGGACGTTTGCGTTGCTATACTAAAATGATTATCTACATGTTGCTAGCATATATACACAATGCTTATCTATCCATTTTTTTGTAAAAAATCTTTTTATATTTTTACTAAAACTGTCATTGCTGATGTTTTAATTGGTTCCCGTCCCTTTTTAAAAGTTTCTGTTTTCACTAAAGAAAACGCAGGCGTAAGGGACCCAGAAAAATAGACTTTTTCCCGAGGCTTATGATTTTCCGGCAATGTGTAGACGCAAGACCCATAGATATGTAGCAATCATAAATATGAATGAAAAAATACATATGTAGACCTGTACATATATAGTTTTTCTATGCACACTACTATAAATTGCTATTTGAGAATTTTTGGTTTCAGAAGGCGATAAGAAATAGTTTGCGATTCTTATAAAATAGTACAGTCATCCTTTTTCTCGCTCGGACCATTCTGCTGTTTCTCAATTTCAGCCAGAATACTGTAAAACACTTGTTCTGCACTCTACGTAGGAAATCCAACAAGAGATGTTCAACATTAGCAATTAAGTAGCTAAGTAGTATAATACGAGACAATAAGACACATCAATGTAGTTACATTTAGTTGAATACCTTGTGTTCTTTGGCAGAAGTTTCTAAAAAAACTGCTTTCCATCTGTTGGCTAGTTGTTTTCCTGCCTCTGTTGAAATGACCCTTCAAGACACAATATTGCAAGAAATCAACTTTACTTAGAATGTCAAAGTACCAGTAAGTGAGCATTATGAGGAAATTCATCACTACCTTTCCATGTGCAAGTCATTTTTATTTCCCACCAATATCGTTGGAACTCTATGTTAAAAAAAAAATGATCACAATTTATTGTATATTACACATACAAGTTTAACCATACAAATCATCATGCATATACACCTGTTCTGTCCAGTGAAATCTAGCAGCTTGTCATGGATGACTTGGACAACATCAAAGCTGAAGAAGTTAATACAAACTGAACTGAACATGTTTGCAAGAAATAAATGTAGCATGCTTTTTATAAGACAAATTCATGTGAAAACATGGGCTTTATATATTAAGCAAAACATAGCTTTGTTTTTTGATATCTCACAGCATAATTTTGGCATGTTGCTGGAGCCGTACTTACAGCATGTAAAAATGTTTACGAGAAATTTACCAACATTGTTTGGTTTTTTATTAAAACCAGATTTTCAGGTTTTAAAAAACATAGAAACTCAATAAAACATAAAGAACAGGAAAAATGAAAAAAAACCAGAGGTATTCAGTGATCAATTGGCCATAAAGATTCACTAAAATGGTGATCAAGTAACAAAGCTAATAGTTGTCTGCTACTATCTAAACTTGCCTGAAAATACAATTTTCCAAAGGCTATAAATGCTAGTAACATCTTACTGTAATGACTTCATCACAATGTTAGATTGCATACCACCATGTAAGTAAATTACGTCGAAGATTTTATGGTCCTTTTGTGTAATACCATAACATTTTAATTGGTCAAAATCAAAGTGGTCTTGACTCAGAATAAAAACCCAATTTTCAAGTTGTTTTTTGTATTTTCTTAACAATTTACTGCTTGATTAACACTTTGACTTTTCACACAACCATTCCAGCCTGTTAAAGCCAACAAAACAAAGAAGTGTTTCTTTCTCTTATCAAAATAAAATTACCTTTTCTGTGAGGTAACAGAAAAAACAAGTATATAACCATGAATGCCCATTGAGTATGCTTGAGGAAATATGGAGTACTCATCCTAAATAAACAAATAGTAAAATTAATATAAAATGACAATATTTTGTATGTAAATAGGGTAATCATGTATAACACAAGAAGATAAACGAAAACTTAAGTAGAATATTAAAATATGTTCTCCAATGTCAAAGTATGATTAAAATAACTGCAGCATACCTGACCAGCAGTATCAACCAATTCCAAGTTATAGTCTTGCCCTCTGTTCTTTACGATCTTTGTGAATGCTAATGTGTATATAAAACAAATCAAAAACTTATATAAAATCAATATGATGTTGATGATGAAATCAATTGGCAAGCTGTATCAGATCTTACTACTCTTCACTATATGAAAATCATGTAGCATAAGGATATAAGTTAATTATAAGGCAATGTACAGTGTATACATATGTACATGTGCAAATGTTCACAATTTAAAAATTAATTTGAACCAACTCCGGGCATGATCCCAGCCCAGGATTTACAGCTCAGAGTTTACATTAGGTACACTAACATGTATACAAACAAAGCATTTTTCTCCTGGTACATATTACATAAACATAAATGTACAAACACATCAAATTGTGTATGTAGATCAAATTTTGTAAAACACCTTAAAGAATCATCATTTATTCACCAGCAAAAATACTTCGATACGTTGTCACATTTGTCGATGGTACGTAGGTAATGCATAATCTGATTTTTTTTTGCCTTATTGATCATGTAAGCAATAAAATAGAATAATAGGCATTAAGAAGCTATGGTATTTAAAACATATCTGTTTCTGTACGAGTCGTGGTCGTTACTCGTAACTTTTTCATAATTTAGATAATAGGAATATAGGATAACATACTATTTTCTATTGTTGGGTCGTAAGAGTCCACGAATTGATTTTCGACAAATTGAATCGTTAATGATGACTTTCCTAAAAAAGAAAATTAGCTGCATCGATATTCTTCAAAAAGAAAATTCTGAATTCGAATATTTTCATTTGTTTTGTAGAAGAGATGAATATTTTGAATTTGAATCGTTTCGTTACCAACTGAACGAAAGCCCATAATTGCTATTTTTCTTGATTTTGGCGGTGCCATGATATACGTCTACAGAAAAATCTTCTACTTCAAGGAATCATCTTTTCTGGAAAAAACAACTTTAAGGCAGTAAAATATCTTGTGTTGACAAGGAAATCAGGAGCAAGCAATTCTACTTATATACATCTTTCACAAGTAGTTGGTAAACTTTGACCCTGTCCAAATTTGTAAAGTTTGTCATGGTTTTTTATTACTATCATTGTTGTAGGAACTATATAAATTGATTAAATGCTGCAAATTTATTTTTTGTATGATTTTTGAGAGCTTCAGTTCCATCAATTTCATTTCGGTGAAATCCTACCAGACTTCCACATCATTTTTAAGCCAGTCTATAAATAAGTATACGACATCACATAACACCGACACCAAATGTTAAAAAATTAAGATTTCTTTTATTGTTTTGTGTTAGGTATGTTAAACCATTGAAACGTCTAGAAACCTTTTAAAACCTCTGGAAAATTAGCCATTATGAAACTGTTTAGTGAGATAGTATTTCAAAGGATACAAAATAATGAACTGTTACATTTTTGATTTTCGAATTGCCGCACAATGTGGAGTATATAATGTAATGTAATCGTAATTTTAAATTGCTTGATTTGGATTTTGGACTTTGGATGGACTATAGGGAAACTTCACTATAGAGTTCATATTTCCGATCGTTTTATTGGGTATTGTACTGATTTTATCTGTCTCATTTCTACAAATATGAAGCAATTCGAGCTCTTAGAGCAATTTCCCATACTCTGAGTCTGAGAGTGGGACAACTATAAACATTTGATTTATCTATTTTTCTTGAAAGATCAAAATTCATTTTACTGTACGTAAATTCGACTTGTAAAATGATATTTGTCAATGGGCAATGGCCGACTTAATCAAATAATTGGGAATTATTTGACCCGGGAGATGTTTTAAACTATGAGCAATTGAATTGTTCTTATTTTAGCTGAAGAACTTATCAGCATTAAACATCTGAGAACAGATTTCTTGCATTGTGTGTTTAATGCATTGCTACATTCTTTTTAAAGGATGAACCAGGTTTTTTGAATGGCCTCAAACAAGCCACCATTTAGTTTTACCTCCAAAAATTTAGTTTTTTGATTGAATACCTACATTCTAGATATTACATTTCAAATTCACACAAACATGGTTATTCGATTAGTTCTTGGATTTCTGATACCATTGCTTATTGGTAAAGCAGTATTATGTAGTGATGATAGAAAGGACCTTTATTGTGGAGGTAAAGAACATCACTTCATTTATTAATTTATGTTGTACATAATTACTTTACATAAATATGTTATCCTTGTATGCAAGCATTGTGTACTCATTTTGTGTTGTACTAATGTTTATTACTTATATCTCAATTTATTCAATTCAATAATTTCTAAATATGCATGATTTCTTGATATGATGATTGTATACAACATGCCAGCTTTGGTTGATGTTTGTATGTACAATTAAATTTTTATACTTTTGGATTGACAGCCTTCTATGTCGGCCAGGGATAGATTTGATGACTATATGGGTCACCAATCTTCATATGAAATATTAATATATGAAGCAATTACAAGCAAAGGCAATTTGTATTCAATGGAGCACACTTCTAAAAAATTAGCTCCATGCAATTATGATACAACTGTTAAAGAATTTACCTAAAAAGTTTGACTTGGCATGATGACTGCAATCACAAAAAATTCATGGACATTTATTTCAAACTAAAGCAACCCCTCCATGTCATCCGAGATCTATCCCTGATGTTTGAACATGGGTAAATATATTTTATTTATTATTTGCTAAATATAAAATTGATTTTTTAGTTTGTAGAATAATTGCAGAAGAAATAGACTGGGATGTTTCACAAGTTGACCCAAGAAAAACATTAGAGGTTTGTAGAGTATAATTTGCATTATAAATTGTGCAGAAAATTGATCAATGTGAATTTTGCTTACTAAGGTTGAGAGTTTTCGCATTGATTCTCAAGGAAATCAAAGAAGTAAAACAGTAAGGCTAAAGATTATACAATTTTTGTAGGATTTGTTCTCAAATGATTTGTTTTTGTGCCAATCAAATATTGGTGTAGATTCCATATGCTCGCTCTGAAACACATTTAGTTGAAATTATGGAAAATGTATGCGAGAGAATGCAAAATTATGCTGAATCAACAGACAAAGAAACAGGAAGAAAAAGCTATATAAGAACATCATCAAGAAATGGTGAAGCAGTAAAATTAGAGAACATTTCAATGAGTGGAGATATTGCAAAGACCTTGAAGTTTGCAGTAAGTGAAAATAATTCTCATTTTGTATGCTATTGTTTAAATCCATTTACCATGTTTAATCTTAATTGGCAAGTAGACATTTGTGAGAAATCCAGCTGTCATACTAGATATTGCTTGCATTTCAGCCTTAACACCAGAATTCAGCATGATTAACAATTCTTGCTGAATTTCTAAATGGGCTTTGACATAGGGCCTTTCGAGTAGATGTGATATCTTCTTCTGATCATGTGATGAAAGTGGAATTAAGGCTTTCTTGTCTATTGAAAGTTTTTCCAAATCAGATGGTAGCACACCAATCCATTTTATTGATGGGACTGTCAAGTTGTTCACATCATATGATTGAGACTTTGATCCAAATCTATACACACACATGATTTCAATACCATGGGGGTCTGCATCAACCATAGCAAGAACAGGAATTTCCAAGCTATCAGAAAGTTTTTTTACAAATAGACGAGTATTGAGATCAGGAAATCCTTTTCCAGTAATGAGAATAATTGGTTTTAGTTTTTCCAAAATTTTTTCATCCAGAAGACTTTGGTATGTTGCATCTTTCTCAATTACTATAATTGCTTTGGCTTCAGAGCATATGTCATAGATTCCATGAACATGAGTAGGAACAAGCATTCCATTGGTTTGAAGACTACAGTCAATAAAGTTTCCACTGTGTTCCTTGTATGTTAAGTCTCCACTTACGTACCCCTTTGAACAGGCTAAAATGTGAAGTGAATAACGAGGGATATTTAGCATGCAAGATATATCATCAACAGCATTGTCTACAAAACGTTGATTACCAAAAAATGGCACATCATTGTAATATATGTCTCTTTTTGTCGCGTAAGCATCTTCTTTAAGAAGTTTATGTGCAATGGATAATATTTTCAAAATAATGGCATACTTCTGCACTGAATAGCTTGAACTTAGTTTTACATAAACCTCCGAAGCACATTTACTCATTCCCACTCGAGTGTCATTAAAAGTAACGTTAGCCCACGAGCTTCTATTTTTCACCGGAATATCAGGAAAACTACCTTGAGCAAGTTTACTCATAAGACCTTCAACAAAGCATTCAATCTTTTCTATAACATCTATTCTTGAAGTAGGTTTACAGTAGTTTCTCCCTTTATCAAAAACTCCAACTATGTTTTCAATTCTCGTTCTTTTTCTCAAAGTTTCGGTTAAATTGTCAATTTCTTTCCAAAAAGTGTGTCCTCTGTTTAAATTCGCCATGTTTGATCCTTTTCTCTAACTTTTTGGTGTTTTTCAGTGGTGTTTTCTATGTGTTTTTCACTTTTCCCCTACGTTTTCTGAAAAAGGTTTATACCGCTGCCACTGATCTCTTGTACCTCTGCACCAGACAAATAATGATCATTAAATATATACGCACGTGTTAATCAGTTAAAATAATATATCTTTATTAATTCAGTGAAGCATTTATCCAAAATCACTATTCAGTGCAACTGAAAAGAGCATCCTAAATTTAGTCGCAGTGAAAATTTTTGTAAGGAATTATTGTTTGCCAAATTTTCTTGTAGTTTCTTTTGTAATCAATAAAATGTACCGTTTTATTGACTTATGTGCAGTGGCGGTGGCCAAAGAAGGCTTCCATCTTTCGTGAGCCCTTAAATCGTGAATTAACTATGGAACTAAACCTACGTACGTAACTGGTGCTTTGCCACTCACTGACAATATCACCATGCTTTGTTAAAGATTTCAAACAAATGTTAATAACTGCTTTTTGGGAAAGCTCGTGTAGTCAATCGTTTTTCTCCAGATTGACTTTACAATTGTTTTTGCTATCCATTTATAAAGATAAATAATACAACAAATAAGTATACAACCCTGCATTGCTGAGTATAATTCGCTAATTTTGTTATATAAGTTTTGCTTTGCTCCATTTTACACGAGTCATTTAAAAAAAGAAGGTACTTTTTGTTATTCATTGTTGCCAGCGGCGTACGTTTGAACCAGGCTGCCATTGTCCTTCCAACATGGGGGTGCCCCCTCCACCGAAATCTGACAACATAAACATTTTCCTAATAATCTTCACTAGAACACGATATCAACTGGGTTTTTTTATTTATAAACAGAAGAATACCAATTAGTGCTCTCAATTTACTATCAGCAACACGAATTTACGAATAACTTTGAATGAGAAATATCCACTGCTTCCACTAGCCCAAACATAAACCTACTTTTTTATCTTTATTTTTATAAATATTACCATTCAGGGTTTCCCTTGCAAGCAGATTGCCTGGGTACTCGTGGCTCTGCCCACCCGGAGCTTATAGCAGTTACGCCACTGATTGTTGCTTATATTTTACCCACTTAAGATAAGTAAACTGACACAATTCTTAAGTAATTTTAAATGTTCTTTTTGATGTAAACACAAAGCTGTGTGATATAATTTTACTGTCATAAACCCATAATACTTTGTTATTTTACCATCAATACTTATACTAGTTGATCATTAAATTTCAGTGTGAAAGTATCATTGAAGATTATGAAGACACTATCGTACACGTATTTAAAAATAAGCATGAAAAGATAGTCCAAGAACTATGTCGTCGGCAAACAAGTAAGACAGAAACACTAACTTAAACATGACAGAATTATTAGTCGTTAGCAAAAACTATGGCAAAACTAAAACAGTATTATTCTGTTTTTGTATGTGCAGTTTTCACTTTGTACATTCAACTATATTTTGCAAAGTGTCCTTCCTAAGAAATGTTTTGTTTCATTATAGATCTTTGTGGCGATAATGGCAATCATGCAGAATTATGATATTTTGTAAGCTATGTAAAGATGCATCGATACAACTTTTAAGTATTACGTGAGATTAATAAAATAAAATTAAATTATGTTGTTGAAATTGTATTTTTTTATTTTCTTTCTATCGTGGTGGTAACAGTGTTATTATACACCCATGAGTTTTGCCAACTAAGGCGTCCCTAACAGGGGTGCTCATCCTGCCAAATTTTAAAGTTAGCAGTGTAATTTGTTGCAAAATTTGTGACAAAAACTGCAACCTTTGTCAACCAAATTAAGTGTCACGCCCTTATGTTGGGCAAATGAAGTCCTTCGCCCCTAATCTTGAGAGCCGAGTTACGACCCTAGATCCCGAATAGTTCGGTTACTGGATAACGGCCTTTTCGTTTTCCACACAAATCATTTGGAAACTTTGATCCTAACAGTTAATTAACTTCCGGGGTGGGATTATTATGATTGTATAGGCACTGGCAAAAGAGAGCAATCGTCCAACCCTTCAATATAATTTTTAAAACTATAGTCTTTGTTAGTACAATAAAAATACAAGAAGAAAGTAGTAAAATATAATATTTCTTACAAAAGAATTTTTTAAAATTCTGAGGGGGTGTGTTGTATTCCCCAGTTCATCCCAGTGAGTGTTCCATACTTCCACTTTATTTTTTGCCCGCGAAGAGGTAGCAAACCAGTAAACCATAGGAAACGGATGCAGTACCCTGCGAATAGGTGAACTGTTGCCAAACACTACGCATATTTGCATGACTTTTAAATGTTTCATGACTTATGAGTACAGGAAAAAAATTGAAGTGGATTATGTTTCTTTTGTGGTTTTTTATTTTGGCCACAACGGCAAGAGGTAAGGTACATCTATAAATGTCTCTAAACTAATACTTTTTAATGATCTTGCAAATTGTAATATCCTTGTAATGTCTTGAAAGTGCCCTGCTTTTTGTGCAGCTGCTTCTGTAAGAAATGCATTATTCAAAAAGCTACTTACTGTGGTAAATTGTAAACAGAAAAATAACCAAACATATCGTTAGTTTTAGCATAAAATATTTCATTTAAGAAAACTCGAATATTCCATGCAAGAATAGAGAAAAAACATTGCTTTGAATAACATCAAACTAACGCTACCATTTGTCCATTTCCACTATGGACTAGCTAATATTTCTGTCATCTTAGTGATTACTTTTATGCGTCTAATACATATGAATGTAGAAAGCAATTTTGTACATTTAAGCGTTGTGATTGCTTAGAAAAATTATTATCAATTATTAAGATAAATTTCGTAATTTATTTGACTACGAAAAGGAAGAGACTTAAGAGAGGGGGTATGCCATTCAATTTATCTTGGTCCATGGTATTAAAGGGAAACATGACATTTACAAGAAAATTATTTAATGATTCTTAGAAGGGAACAATAGTTGTAGCAGTATTTGTGGTGTAAAACTATTGATTTAATAAAGGACCAAGGACTTGTTGCTATTTACTACTTTAATTGAAACTTAAAAGAATGGTACTTTGAAGGCAAGGGCAAGTGGAGTGACAGGCATCTGTTGAGTTAAGAATAACAAGCATTTTTTAGAATTTTTTGTTAGATTTTAGAGATTTTTTTGAATTTAATGTAACAGATATATTGTAAATTCTTGTTTTGGTGTTGCTCTAGCTTAAGCTCTGTCTTTGATTAAGTGTTGCACCAGGGTAACACTTTATTGGAAGTAATAGAGAGTTAATAAGCTTAAATTTTAACTGGCATTTTGTTTTTGTTGTAAACCAAGTAAACATTATTTGTTAAGCAATGTATCATCATGCAGAAATTGAGTAAAAATTTAGCTTCTTGGCTTTTTAAAGAACCATGTTAATAAATGTAAAGCTTTTAAAAGCAGGCTGCTCAAAAAATTTTAGGGGCATAGACAAAACTTTTCACATGGCCCCTCTTTCCCGCAAAACCTGACCATAGTTAAATTGCATTTTGAAATTGTAATATGTGATTTTTATGTTTTATGCTTATGAATCAGCACAGTAAGATAATATTAACATACTTATGTATGTAAATTAGCATACTTATAAATTTACTTACTAATTCTTATTATATTTGCGTGCATATTTTCATAGCAATAAATTGTTTTCATCTTGCTTTGGGGGCACATGGAGGGGGCACATGGAGGGGCACATAGAAGACTAATTGCCCTTTCTCCTCCCTGTTTCCAACTCTTCCCCTCTTTGTAGCCCTGCTCAAAAGGTGCAGATTCCATTTAAAACTTTACTGTTTGTGTATTATTTCCATTTTATGTGATTAAATCTGCTCAATGCAAAAATTAATCACAAAAATTTTTCTCACTTCAAATTTTAATTGTTTGTAATTTTTGTGTTTATGCTGTTACTCATGTTTATGTAAATTTATTCAGTGCCGCTCGTCACAATCTCATATTTATGTAAATTTATTGAATGCGCCACACATCACTATCTTATTGTCTATCATTAGGCTCATTTAAGACTTGTGATGATGTAAAAGAAAGTGCAAGAAATATTTCTGGTCTATATGTAGTCCGTATTGCTGATAAAGACGTTCAGGTTTATTGTAACCTAACATCAGAACCTGTCAAGACAACCCTTCCTGTTTATGACAATATTTATCATATATTAGGATCTGCTGTTCATGATGTACATTCTCAAACCATAACATATCGTAATCTATTGACAGAAGATGTCAAAAAGTTTATTGACAAAAGTGTTAGTTGTAAACAGTATGTAGCGTATACTTGCGTTAATGCGACTTTATTTGGAAGACTGGGGAAATCGTCTTTCAGTTGGACATCAATTGATGATAGCCCAAAGTATTACTGGTCTGACTGTAGTTTTGCTGACAAAAACTGCCATTGCGGTGTGCATGGTAATGGAACATTTAGAGAAAATTTTGGGTATTTGACCAACAAGGATGATCTGCCAGTAAAAAGTTTTCATTTTAATCATTTATCTGCTTCTGCAAACGTTAAAATTCAAGTTGGAAATATCACTTGTTATGGAGGTCAGTTTTCTCTTCCATTATTATTAATGACTTTAAAAAATAACTAATTAGGTTTCTTACTATTTAAATGAAGATATGATTCTAAGATATGATTCTTAGTATTTAAATGAAGATATCTTCATTTAATTTCAAACACCGCACTGCATATAACATTCTTCATATGACATTCCTTTCACGAGAAAACATGAGCCCAACAAAATTGACCTGCTCTCCACTGTGTGACTTCATAGCTCAGTTGGTCAGAGCACTGCATAGGTTTCTTAGTATTTGTTACTATATTATTGGTTTTGTGGTACTACCACCACAGATAGTGATATCTGCTGCACAACGACGTATCATTGTTGCAATTAAACTATGCGTTTCACGAACGTCAATAACATCCCATTTTTCAAGGATGGCACCTTTAGTTCCTTGTAAGCACTTGCAAAGCCCACGTACTTTCTAACTTTTTCTTTATTATTTTCCAAAGATGCTCGGTGGAGCGCTCCCCCGAGGAATATTCCTTATCCTGGGATTAGCTTAAAAAATTAATCCCTCTCCCGTTGCTCCACTTACTATCGTCTCTTCACTTCTTACACCAATCACAACGTCTCCAGCGTTTCATCAACAACCGTCGATCGATTGTATTTAACGATACATTTTTTCTAATGACATGTTCTAACTCTTGTTTTATGGTCTTTGATCTTCTCTTCATGTTGCTGCCCAAAGACAGCCTTCTTTATTACAGTATTTTAACATAACTGTCTTGTTTTTTCCTTAGAGATTTCTTGAACAACTTACTTGTCTTGTTTTTTCCTTGAAGATTTCTTTAACAACCTGTCTTGTTTTTTCCTTGAAGATTTCTTGAACAACCTGTCTTGTTTTTTCCTTAGAGATTTCTCGAACAACTTACTTGTCTTGTTTTTTCCTTGAAGATTTCTTGAACAACGTAACTGTCTTGTTTTTTCCGTGAAGATTTCTTGAACAACTTAACTCTCTTGTTTTTTCCTTAAAGATGTCATGAACAACGTACCTTTCTGTTTTTTCCTTGGAGATTTCTTCCACTGTCACGTTTTGTCATCTCCCTTGACGTATACTGTAACACTCTATATTGTATACTTGTGGGATGTTTTTGCTACGTAGGTATATACTTGACCGCCTTCACGTGTATTGGCATTATTTTGATTGACAAAAAAAATTCGTACCTAACACATCATGATAAACGCTGAAATACTAAATATAATCTAAACTTCTGAACAGTAATGTATATTTCTGCAACTTGCAACTTTTTGTGGAGAGTATGCCTCCAAAGATTTCTCATCTCAACACAAAAAATATTCTATTTGAACGACAATATGTACTAGTATATCAAAGATGTACTATGATTTTTGTCGGGTGCCCGGGGGAAGCCTTGGGGTAAAGCTTGGGGGCTAAAGCTACTAATCTAAAACTAGCTACATCCTAACGCCCTCCGTTACCCCAATGAAATTGTTGCAATCAACTAACTGCTACTAATTTAAGTAATTTGGAGCGAGGTGATCCCTATACTTGTTTGCTATTTTTTTGTTTAGATGTCAATCGACGTTCCTTCACTTTAACAAACAAAAATGCATTTGCTGCTCTCAAAGTTTCATCATTGAAGAATTTCAGTTTCATTTTTAAGCTTTTTGATCCTAAAGAAGAAAATCAAGCTATTGCTAGTGTTAGAACAATGGACCATGGTGATATTAAGGTAGGAAGAAATTCATGAGATGTCATTTTTGATATTTATTGAATTGTGTGATGAATGTTTGTTGAAAAGTGTTGAATAAATATTTTGCAGTAATGGTAACGAGTGATGAGTACAACTAACTTTTGGTTGCTTTTAGCGTCATAATGTATTGCTATTATAATGTTGATATACTAATCTCTAAACATCGTTTTAAACGAATGGATCCATCCTTGGAAACATCTTAGCGTTAGATTATCATGATTTTACTTGATTATAAATGGTCGTTGATCGTGCGTACATATAGGCTCACGCGTATATATATACTTTTGTAGATGCGCAAACGCAATATCCTTTTATCGTGCATTTTCAACTGTTTTGATGAAGGCTTTCAGCGTCATACGTACGTCAAGAACAAGCTATCGAGAACTTAAGCATTCTTGACTGCTCCATTATTAATAGTTACGTTTATTCTACCCCAAAATGTTTAGCACGAGTGTCGGACTCGTACATGTAACAACGCTTGTAACAAGTACGTGTAACAACGCTTGTAACAAGTACATGTAACAACGCTTGTAACAAGTACATGTAACAACGCTTATAACAAATACGTGTAACAACGCATGTAACAAGTACATGTAACAACGCATGTAACAAGTACGTGTAACAACGCTTGTAACAAGTACGTGTAACAACGCTTGTAACAAGTACGTGTAACAACGCTTGTAACAAGTACGTGTAACAACGCTTGTAACAAGTTGATTGTTAACCAAAAAATTTCCCTGGTCCTGCTAGTTTTCAATTTTTATTTTAATTTAAAGGAAGCTGCTGTACTAGAATTGAGTTATATCACATGCTTTTTCGTTTAGATTTTAGTGCACGAATCCAAACTCTACGTACACACAACTCAATTGAATCTGCATTTAAAAAACATTGATACTCAGTGGCATACTATCGTAATGGCGAATGATGGACAATCCGTGAAAATTGCTATCGATCACAGCAATTTTACTACTGTCGTTGCACATCCAGTTATGATAACAAAGTTGTATTTGGGCTCTTCTGAGCGAAAGTGCAATTCGTTTCGTGGCTGTATTAAAGACATGGTAAAGTTGATCATTCTGCAAATATTTTCTATTTTTATATTTTCATGATGTAGTATAGCATAAAGCCACGCAATTGACAAGTAGCTTTATTCATGACAAAATATCGGTATTTCAGTGCATCATTTTCCGTATATAAATTATTCCTTGTAATGTTTTACTTTCTTTAGTATCTCGATGGTAAAGACTACACAGATGTCATAAATCAGACTGAGATGAAAGAGTTTGTGAAGGAGGGCTGTTCTGAATCAATAAATACACATTGTTCTCACCCAAAGACGAGAGAAAGCACTTCAACTATTGCTCCCAAAACTGTCGTCCACACATTTACTCATCAAAACAACCGCACAAATCACACTACTAACTGTGGTGATCACGTTAAACATGTAAACAACGATGATACAACAGTCATCGCCATTATCGTTGTCTTCCTCGTATTAATCGTCGTATTGATTATTGCACTCTTCGTTACGTGGTATTTGAAACGCCACAAGGGCGTTTATCAAACACACGAGGGTTCAGGTGAAAACTTAAATTGGGATACAGAAAATTTGACACTTGTTACTAAGTCTGGTAATGAGACAGATGGTCAGCAAGGTAAAGAATATTATCTCTGAAAATTAGTTTATACATCAAATATACGTTAATTAGTAAACTACGGTAATTCATGGTCTGCTCAATGAAAATAAAATAGCATTTAGATATTACCGCTGAGATTTATAATCCTTTAACTATTGGCAGAAATCTTGTCACACTCTACTATACAATACTATGAATTGCTCTTATCCTGCGTGTTTTAAGTTTTAAATAGTTGAAGAAAGTTTTAGACTGTTGAACGTTATGTGAAGATTTTTTATTGGGTTTAGTTAAAAAGGAAAAGCGTCTTTTAGTTGTAAATATTTGTTAATATACGCGCGCTTGTTTTGTGTTGTAGTTCATTTCTGCACGCTGCCTTAGACGAGAGAAGCTTTTCTCTTCGAATAAAAAAACATAATTTTTCAAACCAGTTTTCATCGTGGTTTTGTAAACACATTTCAATTTGAAGTTTTCAGTAAAGTACTACGTAAGGAAAAAACCACTCTTGGTCTCATTATGAAAGTGAAAATTCTCCTGTCATGGTTCATCAATACCACAGAATAAGAATATACAGAGAGTCACTCGTGTCGGAACCTTTGATGTTTTTGTCCTTGCATGGTGGCCGCCATTATTCCAACCAGATGATTAGGGTTTTTGACTGTTTCCAAACCTTTAAAATGATCCGAAAGTCATTTCTTAAGTCAAAATATACTTGAATTCATTATTAAGTATTGACGTTATGTAATTTTAATGATTGGAAACAAGTGAGAAATCCTAATCAACTGGCTGGAATAATGGCCGACACGAGGACACGTTGTACACCTGAGTGACCCTTCTGTAAAATCATTATTCTGTGTCAATATGCTATAACGTATGAGTGTCTGTTAGTTCAATAAACCTCAATTTTGAATAACTACGGGTATCAATATATTAAACAAGATGTAGAAATAATAGTTTTAATAATACAAATCGTCCCCATCTCCTCAATTCTAATTTTACCCTTAATCTACCAAAAAGGTGCATGTTCCATGTTTTGAGTCCATTTGAAATTTTGAACAAAATATTTCAATATCACACAGAGTTTGAGTCACTTTCTGCTGCTTTAGAATCTGATTTTAAATTTCTCTGGTAACTAAATAAAAAAATAGTTTTGAATGAATATTTACATGTTTTTGAAGATTATGGTCACAGAAATAGACATTTACGCATATTTTGTATAACAAATTGAATTTGTGATTAGGAAAATGATAATGGTATTTTAAATAAGTTAAGAGTTTGTTTGGCATTTTTTACTTCTATTTGGTGTTCGATAAACAGCAAATAACTAAATTATTATTTAATTCATGTTCTTATTTCAAATTTATAAATAAATAGTCACCGTCATTTCTCATCATTGTTGCAAGGAATATTAGAACACACTTTAAATTCTTAATCTTATTTTAATTAGACACATGTTAAACAACTATGTTGGAAATGACATGTTCTGACAAAGATACTAAAACATGCTTTAACTTACTCCCAGACACGATAAAGCTGATTTAAACCAGTTAAACCTAGGAAAAAATTCACGCTGAATAAATTCCAACTCTTGGGTATAATAACCAATGAATAGCGTGACCAGATAAACCCTAAAAAATACAAACTTGTTTTCACAAACAACTTGAGTTTGAAAGACAATTTGGGTTGCAAGGACATACCAGTTGCAGTCAAAGACAAAGACTGAGATACACTAAGTTTTTCAGCTGGTCTTGTATAATCAGCTATTCCCGCAATCACTAAGCCCTACAGAAAAGTAACAATGTAACAACTTATGTAAACCAATGAAAATCATTTTTGCCAATGATCAGTCTTACCCATTTGAACGTTGGTGCCCAGAAAAATATGGTTTTTGGCCCTATCAAAATTCAACACCATTATCATCAAAAAAACAAAATAATGTATTTCAGTTTGGGAAAATTACAATTCATTTCCATTCAAGGTAGATTTACTCAAGTTTTTCAAGATTTTAGTTTGTTAACAGGAAAAGTATTTTTCTGTATCTTCTGACCATGCACTAAGTAGCATTGCCATCTTTTTTATCCTTATGCTGCCTATATTATGCTGCCTAAAGATTGTTATCAGGCAAGTATGAAACTCTAAATGTGCAGTGCACATGGCAAGTGTTTTGATCCACAAAGTACACCATCAGTGCTTGGCATATGTACAAAGCTAATAGATTTTAAATTGAAAACTTGGGAACTCTAAACTTAAATTAAAAGAGAGAAAGGAATGTAGCTAAAACAGACGAAATGCAAAGTTTTTGAAGTAATGAAAATGTGGCGATGTATAAGATGGCAGATTACTGAAACTTATCATAATATTTAGGAAAAAAGCATAACAAGATTCTATAATTTACCTAAGTTACAGTACCATTTTCTCCTATGAGTGTCATAACCAGATTGCTAAAATATTCCTTATTTATACTGTACTTACATGTATTGAACTAAAATAACAACAAAATGTAGGAGAATAGTGGCATGATAATTAGAATGCAGTTTGAGATGCACTTAGATAACTTTAACTGATTACCTAATATTCTTTCTTTATAATTTGAAACATTGGAGAAATCGATATCTTTAATCCCTCTCGTTTAGGAATTAAACACGATCATTATCTTATGTATTAATGTTCTCCAAAACCAACCAACAAAAAAAGGACACAATTATGGAATATCTATTTGATAGCTGGTGAGCTTGTGTGAATATCAAGTTATACACTTCAGCGGTACACAGAATGGTATCTTTTATCAGTACTTATGCATGAACAACAAAAAATACCGGTGTCGCAGTGTCGGTTTTAAAAATTATACAACGAAAACAAATAAAATAAAATAAAATTTAACAAATATAGCATATATAGCAGTGCAATACCCAGTTACTCATTTATTTACACAAAAAGCTGCTGCATGCTGGTGTTCAATTGTTTTATGAAAAGAAAACTTTGGCGTACATATTGAAAGACATACAACCTAATGTAATGCCTAAAAAGCCAAGATTGATTTATAATTTTTCACATGCACAAAAAGGGGGTGCAAAACATGAATTCAACAAGTTTTGTAGAATTGACTACCTGCTTCGTGATTCCAAAATTTTTTTCCTAAGGGAGGAAGAAATTCGTTGATTCGAGCGTCGTATCTTGCAAGAATTTTAGAAACACTAGCTCTGAGCGCAGCCATTTTTTAATTTTATTCAAATGAGTGAAAAAAAGGTACGCGTGGCGAACACGTGAAAGTACACAAACACAAATAGAAGTACACGAACACAAATCGAAATACACTAACGCCAGCCGTTTTCTGCTTACTTTAACAATAACGAAACAATAGGTATTCAGTTTACATCACAATTGCTAGCGGTTTAATACTCTGAGCTTACATTTTCAAGTTCGAAGAAGAAATAGTATATTACTCTTGTAGGAATTATCAAAACAAAACTACAAGCACTCTTATACGTTACAAGAATTACAATACTGTCAAGGAAGTGATGAAAAGACCCTACATGGTTGTTGCCAAAAAACCCATACTGAATGCTAAAGTAAAGCAGGTAGTTATAGTTTCTACATAATACAATTGATGAATCAATCAGCTGGTGAAATAATTGTTTCAACAGGATATTATCGATTTCATTGGAATGTCGTATAATATTTAGATGTGTAGATACGACTTTAACGTCCCGACTAGACAATATCGAGCGTTCATGAACTATGAACTTTTCTCGTAAAGAAAGGATAAAAATTCTTCAACTAATTCATTGTAGCACTGATAGGTGCTTGGAACTTCAACCTGAATGTGACCTTCAACTTCCTTTCTGGCTGAACCACACTGTCTCCAGTAGCTAACTGAAGAAATGTAATGACGTCATTTTTAAGAGATTTAATGAATTCGGTCAGGTAGTCTAACTTACGTGCTCATTGTCATTTTGCGGAGATGCATCAAACATTTTAGACACTTTCTTTGGTGTAGGCTTTTTTATCAGACAAGAAAATGTTTGAGATATTCTAATTCTGCACCTTCAATCTTCAACAATTGTGGTATTAGATTCCAGTAGTTGCTATTACTTGATAGTATTGGATTCCAGGGTTAGGAAATTACTTGGTCATATGACTAAAGAGCATTTTCAACTCTTTAACGAGTTTAACATAAATAATACTTAAGACATGATACTATTTTAACTATGTTGGTTAAATCTTTTTCATTCAGTAGCTATATACTTGCTGGCAACCAACATGTAGGCTTTCCGTACTAATTTTTTTAAAATGTACGTATAAAATAAACACAGTGTTTTGGGAGATACACCCAAAGGCCAAGAAATGAAAAAGAAACGTGAACATTCATGATAGCTACAATAAATAATCTTATGCCAAATGGCTTCGCTTGGCCCCAAATGTGGACATTGTTTTTATTCCAAAACAAACGAAATGGGAGGGCAGACCGGTGGATCTGGAGAAAAACCTCCAAAAAAAGAAAAGATCGAAAACTTAGAAAAATTTCCTCAATTTTTTTGTAGTTTTAAGATGTTTCATATTTTTGTTGTTTTCAATGACCCGATGATCTACTTTAACATGCAGCGTAGTCAGATCGATCGTGCGTTACAGTCAAAAAAAAATGTAAATTTACAGAGCGACAAAAAAGTAGGCTGACCGGCACCCTATTTATACACAGCAAATCTTTTGTGTTCAAACAAAAGACACGCAAACTTTGGAAGAGAACAAAAAATGAAGGAGCGCAGAGTGCTTTATATAAATCAAATGAAAAAATTATTCAGTACGTACGACCTGATCATTCACCTTCCAACAACAATGAAAAATGAAATGACCAAAATGACGTCATGACTTGGACAAAAATCATTTTTGAATTCTACTTGACTTTATTCGATTGAAATGTTCTATGTTGCTTCATGAAGAGCTTCATTATTAGCTGGCTTTCACTCGTATGTTTTGTCAGAAAATTTAACAATTGTGAATAATTAGTTTAAGTGAAATTTTTAACGGTTGAATTTGAAAATGCGTTAAAATGTGAATATTATGCATAACTGAAGTTGCAAGTGTGAATCTTTCAATAAGGACGCTTGTTTCTTGGTGCTTCTGTCCGACTTGGTCATTCATTAATTGTCCAGTTAGTAGGCCTACAGACATAGCTACTCTATAAAAAACACGTTATAAATGTCAGCATAATGAATGATCAAAAACAAAAACTGAAATACATTGAAAGAACAAAAGTTTAATACCTGATTTCCTAGCGTTGCCCGTGTCAGTCTGATCCAGGCGACTTAGTCGGTCTGTTCCTTTTTTTCACCGCGCAGTTTTTACGTCTGCATAGTTGAAATTGATTGTAACATTTTTATCTTAGAAATTCAATGAACCCTACTTGCAGAATTGCAATTATCTTAACGTTAAATAAAATCAGTAATAAGTAGCAAGTGAAAGCCAGTTATTTTCTCACAGCAAGGGACATCTTTTATTGACAATTTTTTTAATTTGAGTGTTTTTCATGATTAAGGTTCAAATTATAAAAATAGACCATCAGGATCCTTTTTTAACTATCTCATGCAGGGACTTTCACAACTCCATCCAGGAGGGATCTACAATGTAAGGAAATATAAAACTCATGTTTCGAAATTTCATGATGAATAACTCTGCATATGACGCTAGTTTGCGTTTTTAAATTCTTAACCAGATATATTGAGAATGAGCAAACTGCATGCATTAAGTTTTCTGTTTGACTATCCAAATGGTAGAACATTCATCTACATTGCACGAATAGCTTCAGTCAGTTGAGTTTGAACGATGCAACAAGTTTAACACGATCAAAGGCTTATCATCGAGGTCTAAGCATTTTACAGTAAAAACTTTAATATTACAAGACCTACACTAAGACTAGTTGATTATTCCATGTAACTCATACTTCAGTACATCGTAAGTAAAAAGACAGAATTTACCTTTCTTTCTACAAGTGACTAATATTCCGTTGAAGTGAAAACACAATGTTAACATATGTTAACATTTCTTTAATTGACGTCATGACTAAGATTTTTTATTGTGATTGGCTCTTTAGGAGCTGTCAACTTTCCCAAGACAATAAGTAATCCTCAATGCGTTTAAATAAAAAAAAATCATTAGAATCTTTAGATTTTTTGAAAAATAACGAATATAACGATGCATGATGTTGTAGGATGGGATTCATGAGACGATAATAAATTTAGAAACTAGACTTTAATTTTGTCCATATATTCATTGAATCTTGGAGTCATATCTTGCTAAGAGTTAGAAGAGGGTTTAAAGGCGTTCTGGTTGACGTCACCAACATCTTAATGCCCAAAATCATAATATGTGCGTTACTTAATAGGCTGAATGAATTAATTAATTTATAATTTGCGTAATATCACAGAAAAATGGTCAATAGTCATTTGTATTTTACGTATACTAATGAATGGAGAGCATAGTGCTTTTGTTTGGCAACAATACAGTTTGTTTTTAAAAATTAGATTTGATTGATATCCGGTAATTTGTTCAAGAACGAACATCCTTGTAGTATACCTCATTTCCAACTTAACTCCTTGCATAGAGGTGTGAATAGGGGTTTCTAGAGTGGTCTATGCCTCTAATCCTAGATCCGCCCCTGGAACAATGAACGTTAAACAATCATGTGGAACAAAAACATATAATGACATGCTTAACATCATGTATAAATATATTATTCACTTCTAGGCTTGCCACATATAAGCCACGAGGGGTCATGGAGAGCAGATGTCGCTCATATGAGATGGAACAAGACAATACACATGGCTAGGCGACAAGTATAAAGATTTGTGAATGTACAAAGCAAACTAAAGTTGTTCCCCTCATGTGTCATCGATGACAAGTTACCGAAAAACGTCTCATTTGATTGCAAGATGTAACTTGGTAGTAGCCGATAATTTGGACATAATTTAATCAGCAGCAAGAGGCCTTTTCTGATAATTTTGAGAAAATTCGATAGATAAGATATCACTCAGAGAAGAGAGACCAAGACAAGTGAGTTTGGAAACAGCTGTCACCGAAACCTGCATTCGAACTTTGATATCAATCAACGTAGAGCTGCTACAAAATCAATGACAAAAAGCTTTTTTCAATGGACATACCGCAGATATTTGAAAATTTGAAATCCACGATGTATTGATGAATACTATCAGCATCATATCCAAAATGTCGTTAGCAGCTACAAAAAGAAATTTGACCAAGGAAAACCCTTTTGAAATGTGTTGCACACATACTTGCTTTTATGTCATGTACGAAAATAGATCCCACAGCTGGAAACTATAAATGTAAGTGACTACACTGACGGTAAATGATTATTTGCGTTTTGATTTATCTGTACTGTTCTTGTGAAAATCTCAATGTTTTTATTGATTCTACTGATTTTTGATTTGCTTCTTCAATGTGACATTTGTCATTACTGAATATATGCAATGGATACAATAGACTAAATTTCCCACATGTCTCTAACACACTGTGTGGTTGAGTGCGTAGAGGTGCAGTTTTCACAGATTTTGGTGCAGACTTTCAATGAACGAGAGCCACAATTGTCTTTTGCTCGAATTATACGGCTCCCTGAGATATTTTTAGTTGTCGAGAAACGTCAGGGCAAACAGAATGCCCTTAAACCTTCTCCTAAGTAGAATATATGACTGCAAGACTCAATAAATATTTGGAAAAAATCAAAGTTTACTTTCTAAATTCATTATTCGTGTCAGTAATCTTACCTAAGCACACCATGTCTGGTTACTTTGCAAAACGACATTAAAACGCAAAAAAATCTGAAGATTCTAATGAACTTTTTTGATTTAAACGCATTGAAGGATTACTTATTGTCTTTGTGACAAGCTGCAAAGGCGCCAATCACAATAGAAAATTTTAATCATGACTCATGACGTATATTGAAGAAATGTTAACAACGGAAAATTAGTCACTTTAAGTCGTAAGAAGAAAGGTAAATTTTGTCTTTTTACTTACGATGTACTGAAGTCACATGGAATAATGAACTAGTCTTAGTGTAGATCTTGTAATATTAAAGTTTTTATTGTAAAATGCTTAGATCACGACGATATGCCTTTGATCGTGTTAAACTTGTTGCATCGTTCAAAACTCAACTGACTAAGGCTATTTGTGCAATGCAGGTGAATGTTCTACCATTTGGATAGTCAAACAGAAAACTT